GGTGTGTAAGGCTTTAAAAATTTACTTTTCTTTAAATGTTCCAATTACAATTGTTATTGATGAAGGTATAAAGTGAATGATGAAATTACAAAGTAAAAATACTTTTAAAACATACTTCTAGCGGGTGGCGTATGTCATGACAGATGTTGCTGTAGTTTTCATAAGAGAGAGAGAGAGAGAACGTACAAAAATATTGCTGTGTGTGTGGTGTCCTAAGTCCAAAACATGAATTCCAACTACGGATAGGAAATATCTTGACATTTTTATCTTTTTTTTGGTGGATATGCGAAATGTCGATTGTCTCATAAATTTTGTTATAATTTTTTTTAAGCTCGTAGTTGGTGGCGTCAAACATTTTAAATCTGTTTTTAGAGCTTTAATAGTTCTTATCGTATGGGGAGATATACGTAAATGTTTGTTTTGTGATAGGTCACACAATATATGAAAAGAAGCGTTGCAATTACTTTTTTCTTCTACATGGTGGTACGATTATAACTTCGGTCTGACGTTTCAGCTCTCAGCTTTTTTAAATTATAGCGTTTACGATGTCTTCATTATTACCCTCAATATAAATGAGTTACATTATGTTGTTCATGAGTTTAAACCAACTATAGGAAGTTAGTCACTTGAAATTATATATCAATGCGTTAACATGTTAACATCGTTGATATTCTATGAAATTCATGACTATATGATAATCTTAAGGTTTACCCAGGATAAAAAATGTAAAATAATGTATGACATGCCATAATATCAGAAGTAAAAGCTATTCGCCTATGCAAAAATGGCATTTATGAAAAAAATCGAAGTTTAGACGGGATAAGAGTCGTAAAATCATATTTATTGCAGAGACCAAAAAGTTGCAATGTTAATGTGCAGTTAAATTTGAGATACTGTCTCATATAAATTCAGAAAAAAGTAGAAACGATTTTGGGAAAATTCTTTCCATTTTCCGTGTATTTCCGGAAATACTCAAGCATCAAAACTTTTCAAATGAATTTTTTTTCTAAAATATATAAATATCCAACTATGCCACTATTCAATGGTGAAAATATGAAAAATGTGTATCAAATCATTCTAGAACAATCTAGGTACATATCCTACAGATTTTATAAAACAATTTTTGGCTATATGGCGAAATTTCAAGTAATTGTAGAAAAACAACGAATAAATATTGACAAAGAGAAATTATTTCCGGAATTAGTATAATATGCTATATCCCAGGCTATATCAAAACTTCTTCCTTTAAAGTGGCATATTTCAGTATACTAAAAGATGTACGGTATTCCATTAAAAAAAAAGCGTTTCTGTCGGTATGAAGTAAGAAGCGTATAGTTCCTAATTTTTGTAAATAACACTTTGACAATGTTTTATATTATTGAGATATTGTCCAATTACATACTAAAAACTTACCCTGTATGTCTAATTTGTTGCAGCAGTTACGTCGCTGGAGAGCTTAAGCATTTTAGATTTTTTTTAATTTAACCACAACAAAGGCTTTAACTTTTGACTACTATTTTATATTTATTCTTATTCACTTTTCGGCAAAAAATGAATGAGTCCTTACAATAACCAATTAACTGTTGCAACGAACTGGACATACGAGTACCCATTAGTTCTAATTTTAAAGGTATTTGCATCCCTTTCTCAGTTGTTTGCACTTTGATTAAAAAGTTACCCACCTTAGCATTCGCTATACATAATATATAATTCTGAACAATTTCTTTTACAAGGTTCAAATTTGGCTAGTTAGCCTGATCAAATAAGTTTTGTGACGTTTCTAGATAACAGAATAGTTTCCCGTTTCTTAACGCAGATTCCACTACACATATTTTCAAATTGCACATTTTTTAGAGTTGGTTTTTTAATTTTTCAATTTTTTAATAAAATTGCCAGGAGTTTATTGATGTCAAGCCAATCAGCTGACTAGAGTATTATCCATCTCGGTCGTTTAACCTGACAGACAGGGAGAATGCCCAGGTGTTGAACAGTTTTAGTTTCAATTCTAAAGTGTTTTCTGTCAGGGTATCTTTACGGTATTACTAAAATTTCTTTCAATAAACATTAGAAAATATTTAAGTTTTTTAAATATTCGGAAAATAAACCCTTTGCTCCAAAAAGTTCGTCTAAAATTTAGGTTCCGAAAAAGTTCCTACACGATCCAAAAAGCTCTGCAAATCGGAACTTATTCGGCCGATTGGCAACACTGAGTGGTCGATGACTGCTACAAAGTAAGGTTAGGCTTTTGTAGCTTTTGACGCCACTATTTGTTTGTTACAAGACGAACAAATGTCGAATAGTAGTGCCACTTTTGGTACAAGAGAATAAACCACTGAAAAACACCTGACAGCAAGCTGACACGTGGCTGACACCTCCAACTCGACTTTATCACTCGCACTATATTTCACAAAACTTTCCACCACGGATTTTTCGAAAACCACTGTTTGAAAAGAAAAAACGCCGAGACACGTCAAAAGCTTTGTCAAGGGGACAACTTTTTAACCAAAAACTACTTCACCCGCTTTCACCCCCTTTCACCCTCGGCCCCCCTGGGTCATTCCCTTAAGAATTTTAAATGACAAGGGGTATCGAGTAATAGCTTGTTTGAAAGGTCTGTCAAAGTTCATTAATTTGACGTTCGATTTTTTAAAATCAGTCGATTCGTTTTCGAGAAAATGAGAAAAACACGAAAAATCACTTTTTATTTATTGTTATGCCTGTTTAGTTATTTGTTGCTAAGGGACAGAAAGAATTTGATTTGCTTATGTTATGTTACCTTTGTGACAATCTTGGAATAGTGAGAATTAATTTATTGGTTCAGATTTTACTTCCAAAATGGTTTACACACTAGCCGAAAGACTGGGAATGATTCTAATTTATGGTGCCCAAAATCAATGTGCTGGGCAAACGCCGTCACCTTTAACTTCGCATAGGTATGTTTTGGACCTTGTTATTAAATTTACTCAAACTTTATCTGTTGCTAATAAAAAACGTGATCATCGGAGAGATTTGGATGAAACCGCTCAAGTTGAAGTTTTGGGTCATTTTGGAATAAAGCCTAATACTTCTTTACGCAAAATTTTTGCTGCGACTGGTATTTCATTAGGCTCTGTACACACAGTTATTAAACTCCATAAATATCATCATTTCAAAATGAAAATATTGCAAGAAATAAACGAAGATGATTTCGATAGGCGAGTTGAGTGTTGTGAACAAATGACTACAAGGATTTAAAGAATATCTGCTTCCGTGATGAATGCACATTTTATCTAAATGGATATGTAAATAAGCATAACTGCATGTATTGGAGCACTGGAAATCCTCATGCTTTTGTACAAGTAGCCCCAAAAGATTAATGTATGGGCAGGCATTTTAGAAAACAAAGTGATTGGGCCATTGTTTATTAATGGAAATTTGAATAGAGACATTTATTTGGATATGTTGGAAAATACCATCAATCTACTTATCACTGAAACCATTGAAAACCAAATCGACGAGGATGGAAACCCTATACTTGATGATGGCTAGACGACGAGTTTCCAAATAAATGGATAAGGCGAAGAGAGCCTATTATGGCTTCCTGATTTGATTAGATTAGATTTTTTTCTATGGGGCCATTTAAAATTTGTGTTTACTCCCAAACCTGCCATGATATCCGATTCCGATATCCCATTTTGAAAATGTCCGTCGGGAATTTGAACATCGCCTATATCATTGTTTGGCCAACAACGGACAACATTTTGAACACTTATTGAAATAAAAAATGATATTTTCGTGTGTTTTTGTTTTCTATCTGAACAAATTAAGATTTTTCTAATTTTCTTGAAAACGAATCAGCCGATTCTAAAAAATCAAACGTCAAAATATAGGACTTCGAAGTACCTTTCAAACAAGCTATTACTGGTGTCCCTTAAATTTTTAAGGGGATGACCCTGGGGGGCAGAGGTTGAAAGGAGGTGAAGTACTTTTTGGTTAAAACGGTCTCCTCCTTATTAAATCTGTTGATGTGTCTCGGCGTTTTTTCTTTTAATCAGTGGTTTTCGATAAATTCGTGGTGGGAAGTTTGCAAATGAACACCCTGCATAGTCACACTGCAGGGTTAAAATCAAGCAACAAATACTAATAAAATAGGCAGTTGCGAGGTTTATGCAGCGCTGTAGGTTTTAAAATTTTAATTTCAATCAGGAAGTTATACAGGGTGTGTTCCTTAATGATATGCGAATATTTAAGGGTGTGAATCTACATGGAAAATTAATGTTAGTTTGCTTTATAAACTATGGTCCAAAAATGTTTCCTTACAAAAACTCGGGGTGTTGAAGTTTTAGGAAAAAATGGAAATTAATTAATATTTTTTGAACCGCTCCAGATATTTCACTGATATTTAGTACGTAGTGAAAAAATAATTTTTAGCTTTAACAGTGGCGTGCGTACGGGTATTGACTTCGATCCTGAAACGAGTACGAGAAAGATCGCTAGACACTTAAATATTTGCCATCAAATTGTTTGAAGAGTTTTAGTGGATTTTTTGTTATATCCTTACCATATTTTACGAGTACAGGCTTACTTTCCATTGATTTTCTAAGGCGTGTGACCTTTTGTGAGTGGTATCTTCAAAAAATTTCACAAAATCTGCAATTTGAATCAATGATTCTGTTCACGGACGAAGCTAATTTTTCTTGAAATTTCCACAAAATCGTTTGTGGGCAGAAGAAAATCTCTATGCCGTAACCGAAACCGATTTCCAACACCAATTTTCGGTTAACGTTTGGGCAGGAATTATTGGCTACCACTTTATTGGTCCATTCTTCTTGCCGGGACGACTTGAAGGACAGACTCACCTCAATTTTCTTCAACAAGAGTTGCTTGATGATGTTCCGTTAGTAATAAGAAACAATATGTGGTACATGCATGATGGTGCACCAGCGCATTTCAGTGTAGCGGTTCGTAATTATTTAGAACCTGTTTATCCAAATCGTTGGATTGGCCGCGTGGGCCCCAAGCATGGCCACCAAGATCTCCAGACCTCAACAGTTTAGATTTCTTTTTGTGAGACTATCTTAAGACACTAGTTCCATTAACACTGTAGATGAATTAAGAGAAAGAATAGTTTGCAGCTTGTGACAGAATAAAAAACACTCCAGGGATATTTCAACGAGTGCGCAAATCCATGAGGAGGGCGGAAGCATGCATACTAAGTGAAGGGAGACATTTTCAACAATTTTTGTAATCATTTCGTTGCTTTTAATGTTATGTTTATGTTGTCAGTTGTTGTTGTTCATTGCCCCTAAACAAAAGAACGGTTTTTATTTTTTTACTCAAAAATGGCGCATCAAAGGAAAACAATTCAAGATAGATTATTTGTTTTAAATTGAACTTGAAATTCAAAAATAATTTTTATTTGGCAAAAAATTATTGGCGTACCATTTTTTTCTTGAAAAAAGTCAATACCCGTATGCACGCGACTGTTAAAGCTAAAAATTATGTTTGCATTGAAAAATATGCAACTTTATTAACTTTTACTACGTACTAAATATCAGTGAAATATCTGAAGCGGTTCTGAAAATATTAATTAATTTCCATTTTTTTTTTTTTAAACTTCAACACTCCGAGTTTTTGTAAGGAAACATTTTTGGACCATAGTTTATAAAGCAAACTAACATTAATTTTTCATGTAGATTCACACCCTTAAATATTCGCATATTATTAAGGAACACCCATAAACTATTATTTAGAATTCAGAATTTACCAACAATACCCTAATAGGGGGGAATTAACCCCTCTATCCCTTCTCGGCTACGCGCATGGGCTGGAAAGCTCAATTGTGGGTAAAATTGAAAGGTCGAACTGTTCAGGTGTACCAGGTCAATCTACAGTTATTTCCACTTGCCAATCAATACAATCATATCAGTGATAATGGTCATAATATCAAAATGATAACGGCGATAAGGTGTATTTTAGAAGCACTCATGCACTATATAGCGCACGTTAGTTGCCCGAACAAATATTTTTGATAAGGACAGATCTTTTCATAACTCGTTTTGGATGAATTTAAATATGACTGCAAAGTAGTTTGAAGTATAGTTCTACTATTTTGCGAATAGGTATTCGAAATGAGAACAACAAAAAATGGGTGAACTGGCTGTTATAGCTAATAGTAATAATTCGAGTCAAAGCCTGTGTGATATGCGAATGTATTCGTTAACCTGCAGATACTTTAAAAAGCGTAGTAGGCTGTGATCCAGCGCGGTACGTAGAGTTGATTATCGCCAGCTACATTTTGGGCCGTACTAAAATTGAGTAACGTAACTTCAAGATGCTCAATCCTATGGTGCAATAATTGGACGTTAGTTACAACCACGTTGCCAAGTAGGATCGTAGTAAATCCCTTCAAGGTAATGAAATCGGACTCCATTTTGCTTTGCAGTCGAATTCTTATAGCTGTATGCTAATACAGTTGGCTACAGCTCCTACACTAACATTTTCAACTAGCTGTCTAGTTAGTGCGGATAGGAGAAACATAGCTGTGACAAATTCTCATAGATGACGCTATGGTACCTCATTTCATCTCGACTAATTTTTTGGACGTCGGAATATAGTATTAATCTGGTTATCTTCAGGTAGAATACGTTAATATTATACTAACAGCATAGCCAATACATACAAAAATTTTGACCCGTACAGAGGAAAAATTGAATAATAACAATGCCATTCTACTTGAATATACGCCGAAGTTAGTGAAGTTTGACATTGAAAATTGTATGTAGTGTATAAGAAGAGTGATCCAATCTCAAATTAGTGTTATTTGAACAAGATTTATGTTATGTCCTTGCTCAGTCTCGTCATTGGCGTAGAAATTTTTCTCGATAATACAACATTTTGGACCTATTTTTGTTATTTTTGATGTCCTTTTCATCCCCAGGAATATTGCCAAGATTTTCTTAATCACTCTCTATAAAGGCTTTCTTGCAAATAACATATAGAAACAATAATGAAAATTTTAGCACTTCGAAAAGCAAGCAAAAGGTGGACGAAACAAGCTAACGCGTGATGCGAATTGCATGTGCGCTCCACTACGTTGTAGTAGAGACCTAAGATTTACACTCGACAGTAATGGAATATTGAAGAGCGACGAACTAATGAGACCAGTCGTGCGCTTTAGGCGTGGGGGGGTCTGGTTCAGGGCACATTCCTCAAGGTCTACTTATTTTAGATGCAACGTATAAAGCAAGTTATCGTCAAAACAATTATTTTTGAAGACAGACATAATTTCGTAGCTATTTTCGCAGAGTTAAATCCTTCAGATATTATATCTATTTACTTTTGACAAATTACCTCGCTGCCAAACTTTTCAAGCTCACAATTGATGTTTGGAATGTAATCCGATACCGCTCTTATCAGGATTTCAGCTATGACTTTCAATGTACTGGAACAATACTTAGATTATTTATTCTTATAAATATTTGAATAACTATACAGGATGTAATGGAAGAGGATCTCTCTTACGAAACTCACCTATGGAGATACAGTTCCCTGAAGGACGCTACTGGATACCGTTTTTTCTTGAATAACTTTTGAAAAACACTGAATCGTTGAAGGAAATTTTGGAGGCTTAGTGATTGCCTGAGATGGTCTAGCCCTAATGCAATATTGCATGATATTATCTGTAAAAATCATATTCATGCTTGAATTCTATGAAATGAGCCGTACATTGCAGTTTTCAGCGATTTAAACTTTGCGGCCGATCCCCAAAAAGATCTACACAACCAATGACACATTGTGGGGGGCTTTGAGGCTCAAAGCCACTCCCTTCACCCTCTAGAGCTTCACAACCTAATTCGTTTTCGTTCATATAAAACAGCAACACTATTTTTCTTAATGCTTGTCTATAGCTTGAAACTTAAAAAAATATTTTTGTGCTCAAGACCACTCCCCTCACCAACTAGAGCTCCACAATTCCACATCCATTAGGTTTTCCTCATATAAAACATCAATACTATTTTTTTCAATAAATGTACACACATGTATGTCTCTAACTTGAAAGTTCAACTTAAAACTAAAAAAAATTATTGCAACTTTTCCAGAAAGAATGGATGTGGAATTAACAACACCATCATCCTGAATTATTTAAAATAAATATCTGAGAGACATAATTTGCCAACTAGTTGGTGGAGCTATAGGCTATGAAGGTGCGTTTTGAATGGCATGTCTCTTTTTAGTAATTGGAAAATGTGCAGCAATATTTCTCGTCAGCAAATAACACCATTAATCGGACTTATAAATCATATTGTGGTTTTTTACTGATTTTTGAAGCAAGTTTTTGTGTTCTGGTTAGCATTACGTGCAAACCATCAAACTTACACACCTAGAACTTTTTTACAATGCCATAGTACCTTCGGGTGATAATTGATCTCCAGGGTCTCCAAAAAAGTGAGAAAAACATATTTTGAGAGCAAAAATGAGTATTTTAGAAGATGAAATAAGTAAAAGATGAGTAGTTTCATAGATTTTCTCTAAAAATTGAAGCTTAACTTGAGTAACAATTCTGAAAGCGAGTGCCGACGATTAACAAAATTAAAGTGCCTGGGAGGGGGGACGAATGTCTTTATCACAAATGGAAAGAGAGAAAGAAGAGGCATCACAAGCAATTTTTGATTATTCGATTTATTGGAACATTTAAGCCTGGGCAGATCCAGGGGATGTGGAGATGTCTCGAGGATACCCCCCCCCCCACCCGAGACATAAATCTTCCTGAACATGAATGCTGAGCCCCACCCCCCAGCACTTTTTCTGAGCGGGTTATTTCAAAATCACCAAATGGGCTTTCCAAAAATATTTTCTAGATCCGCCCGTGATCTCATCGTCTACGGGGCTCACTGCTGCAAACGGCTACTATAGATGTTAGATAAGAGTACATCTTTTCAGCTTAAAGATCACACTTTCCAGAAATATCATCGTTGAGCCAGTCCGAACTTATTACTAAGCTGACGAAAGTTTGTTAGATCGTATAGTGTGAAGAGTTTGATATCCAGTAGCGTCTTGTAGTGGTCTGTATCTATGTAGGGGAACGAATTTTAATAGACACTTGTACCATTTTATTTTTCTCTTCTATATGTATCTCAAAGAGCGGTTTCTTATTCTGGGTCACCCTGTATACTACTTAATCCATCGACATGTTATCATCATCATAAGACATAAGCAAATGATTCTACTTGCAGTATCTGCTACCATATACTTGACACAATCTGTACTGTCCTTTTTCCAATTGTTATATATTGATAAAATGGAACACTATCTTCTGTAAACAATCTTGATTTCTGATTGAACAGTTCGAAAAGTAAGTTATGGATCACTGTGAAAAAGTATCCAGAAAGAAGAATCCCAGGGAAAATGCGAATTTTCTGTCGTTGATTATTTTTGGGTGAGTAGTCTGCAAGTCATCTAAATTAAAAGCTTATTTGTGAGGGAGTAATCGAAAACTGTGCGAAATAGCATTGCACGATTCAAGTTTTGGCAACACTGGACATTCGTGAATGTTTATCAAACGAAAAAATTATAGTAGATGCCCGTTAAGGTGATTAGTACGGAATAGGATGCCTTCTGGCTCGGATTATTTGCATTTGTTGTTAATTATCCAGAGCGTGCGCTAACAGGCACAGATAGAGCAGCATATCTAGAATTTGAGAGAAATTGTAATGAGCTGTTTTACAACGAAACTTAAACGTAAACTTCTATTATCAAACGTCAAAGTTGTAAAAACACTTTTTTGGCATACGTTCAAATGACTGTGAAATGTTGGAGTAAGGATAAAAAAGTTGTAGGGGAAGAAAATACGTTTAAAACTCGTCACAAATCGTCGTATCCTACATTTATTTTTTACTGGAATACGTATAACGGTACAACTGAATCAATAGTCCAAAGTTGAAACCTTTATGGTGCTTAACATAGCAAAAAATCAATCAAAAATGCTGAACAGTTTCTGCAACTGTCTAATTGCTACGGTTTTTTTTCTTGAGAGAGAAAATTGGTCTTATTTGACGAGCTATAGAGCGATTTTGGATCAATCGACCGGGCTCATATTGGGCTCATTCTCTTTCCAGAGACTTAGTTTAACTTTATATTAAAAGAGATGTCAGAATTTCTCATTCTAACCATGTGAAAAAGCGTAATCAGGAATACATCTATTTTTAACCTTATAAACAATCAGGATATGTCTGTCGTTTTTTGACAGTCGTAATAAGAATGTTCACCACTGAAATGCCGATGAAAAATGGCTTCTCACGCTACGTTGTCATCAGATCCTAAAGGATTATGTTTGGCACAAGTTAGCCTTTTTGGGAAAAAAGTTAGCTACGAACATGTATAACAAAAAATTAAATGACCGTCCTCCTCCCCCTGAGAAAAATTGCTGTAGGTGCACATGATCATTGCGGTGACCGTACCCGCCTGAATGACGATATTGGCCTTCACCATGCACAGTGCACACAGCAGTGTGGAAGCGATTGTCAACTGTCACGTACAACCATCGACGACAATAAATGTACGGGCACATCTAGGCTGAGTGAAAGATACTTAACATATGAGCAGTATTACTGGGGTTGGAGGCGTATAAATATACCAACGTAAAGAGATTGAGATATAGCAATCTCACTCCCTGCAACCCGTAACTCGCCATTTTTAACCCCTACAAAAAAAATTCCGAAAATGATCAGGGTAGTCTGAAACGTCTAAAAACGAGGTTGCAGCAATTATAATTTTTTTATTATTGGCCTTTTTCTCCGCCACTGGACCGATTTTTAAAAACTACAAAGCTGCTACGTTTTTGGCATAGTACTAACAGCGGAGAGACCAACAGACAGAGAATCAGACAGATATCCGGGCGCGAATGAGTGACATGGATTTTCGTGATGTCATACTATATAATAATAATAATAATAATAATAAATTGCTTTTATTGCTCATGTAACTACAGAAAAAGAAAAAGTACATAAATCTGATGCAGTGAGGAAACGGCAAGGTTCGCTTGATTGACAACCATTAGTTGTCAATCCGCGCTCTTCCACCTAACCAAAAAAAAAAGTAACATCCAAAAAACATAAAATCTCTTTTTCCAAAATTTTAGCAACTACAATAGTTCCACGCCAGTAGATTTTTTGAGCCTTTGGAAACCGTTGGAAACTGGATATGATTTTTTTATGACAGAGGCTTTGTGACATTTTTTTGTAATGACAAGTCAACCGTTACAGCAAATTGCCTGTACAAGGACTCAGTTTGAAGGAATTGTCATCCCCTACACTTTTTCGACAAATTGCACCAGTGGTGCACAAGTGATTTTTCCAACTTTGTTATTTGATAAAATTTACCCAGCAAAACTCTCTGTACCTCTGAATTACGATCCTTTTCATATATCCTCAAGAATATAATTCCGATGTAAAACAGCTTATTACACGTTTTCTAGATCAGGGTCGATTTTTTGTTAGTTAGCTAGGTCTATGAAAGTAAAGTCACGACAAGGGGACGTCCATTGATTACGTGAGGCATTTTTTACGAATTTTGACCCCCCTCCACACATAGTGAGATGTCGTGAGATTTGATTCGATCCCCTCCCCGCACGTGAGGTTTTTCAAAATTTCCATTTTCAGTGTAAATGTGCCGATTTTACTTCAAAAACCCCATTTGCTTCATTACTTTATTTAAGACTAGCATTCAAGATTACTTGGATCGTAGTCTTGAGTCGCAGTCCACGCTTTTCACGTGATATTAGGTTCGCCTTGACCGCTTAGAGTTATATTACCACCAGTATTTCACAGCCAGACAACATAAGTAGCAGAAATGCCAACGCTGGCTTAATGATGCCTGCCTAATGAAGATATTCACTTGTTACTCTATCTCCCCGATTTGCCAAATCACTCAAATCAGACCTTAATTAAGGTATCCTCCCAGATAACACTAAGCAGGTCATTCAATTGACACTGCCCATTATGCCCCAGTTGTGTAATGCTCGTTGTAACATACCGCATATGTTCAGTTGTTATCCTAGAGGACATATGCTGTTTCCTGGAAACTAACGAGCATTTATAATACATATATCAATATGTGGCAAAAATAGAGGTTCTTAATCTTTATGAACTGTACTTATATTACACCGAAATATAAATAAAATTATAATAGAATTATTAGTTTCAAATGTATAAATAGCTAAAACGTACCATTATTTCATGGAATTCAGCAAAATAACATTTGTTGTGCTTGATACAAAGTTCCACAGCGACAGTTGAACGTTTCCATAATATGCTTTTCCCACCAGCCGAGTTATTTGGTTTGCTACTATTTCATTTCCAATAAAAAGCCTAAGATATAGGCACCCAGTAATTATCGTGGTAAATTCAGAATACCAGTCAAGAGAATTGTCTATGAATTGGTTGTCATCCCAGAAGACTAACCAGTAAGCCGCGAAAGGTTTTTTTACTTGTAATTATTTTATCCATAAAAAATCATTGCCGTTCACAACTGGCTGTTAAAGTAATACCAATGATTAATATATATTCAACATGGTTGAATAGGTTAATCAATGGTAATACTACTATGTATTTAAAACATTCATTTACAAACAAAAATGATTATCTGATGAAAATTACATGTTAATATTCACCTTTCCTTACAATTAGTTCATTGATCTCCACGGTTTTCTATATAATATGTATTTGCATATGTTGACACAATTTTCCACTACCTATTGACTAGAGCGTATCTCAAAGTGAAACAAGCTATACCATATATCTATATGGATAGTATAAATAAATTAATGTTTATTATCTTATTGAAAACAGTGCATCGCAAAGTGTAAGCCAGATATGTATATCTAAATGGGAAATAGGAATAATGCACGAATAACTGCTCAATTAAAGAGTCAGTTTGCATTAATTTCTTGATAAGGGACAATATTGTTCGTTTGGATGTTCATTAACGATGTTTTTTGACCGATTTTCAGTTTTTGCTCCCGCAAATCTGAAAATAATTTTATTTTATAATTGGCAGCGAACTCCGGGAAAAACTAAAAAACAATGAATTGTGTTGTATAAGAGAAAGCTTGATTTAGCAATATAGATTGGTAGAAGTGAATCATTCAAAAGATTTTTCGAAAAAAGTGGATAGGATGCTTTTTATTTATATCATTTATTGTTCTTTTTTCGCCAAAATTATATTAAATTCGGAGTATAAGTTACAGAGAACCGCACTTCATAAAATACAAGTGATAAAACTAAATCTCGCCTGGAATTTTGAGCTTTCAACACGTCTCTAAATCAACACCAAGCACTATGTTGAAAAATATCGATGAAATTATTTTGTTTACGTTTGAAATTTCGAGCTTTGTGTTACCTAAATTAATTGAAACAAGACATTTGAATGAATAAAAAATGTTGATAAAAAAACCAAAATAATCTATTTTTCTAATTGATAAGCACCGATCATTGTTCTATTGTGACTTGTCAAACATGACAAAGTTCAGAAATGCAGAAAAGATAAAAAACCGAGTCCCGTCCTGAATGTTTAAACCATTTGTATAGATTTACGTTACTCCTGGGTAAGTTTGTTATTGTATAAAATTTCGTCAAAATTGGTTTATAACGTGTGAGATATGGGATATTAAAGATTTGGCGTGTTTAAATAACCGTACATATACCCTATATATATATATATATATATATATATATATATATATATATATATATATATATATATATATATATATATATATATATATATATATATATATATATCCATAAACACTTTTCAGATATGAAAAGGTCTCTGTCCATTCTACCTACCATTTTACTATATCTCTTTAAGCCCAGAAAACACAGAATTCATTAATACTCCTGTAATAACACTAGAAAGAGGTGCTCACTTTGCTCGGGTCTGTCCTAGACAACAACTGGTCTTTTTATCGTCGTGGTTACCATCACTTGAAATATTATTTTATTCAATATCAATGAATATACAGAAAATCTCAGAAATGAAAGTTTTGCACTGCTAAGTTCCGTAATATTTCGAAATTTCTCACTTGCATCTCACTGTATTTTGATTTCTACAAATACCTCTTCGACTTTTATAGGCGGTAGTTGTTGCCAATTCAGGCTCCCGATTATCCTCCTGTCTGCAGACCCTATATCAATCCTAGAATCTTCTAGATAAATCTTTAAGCTTCATGTATTTTGAACATATTGCAGATACACAGGAACACTTTTCGCAAAAGGATTAAAAAAGGACTTAGATGATGACGATCTGTACGAAGTGGTAAAATGCTGCCAATCAAAAAAATGTGCAGACAGGCTAGAACATGCCTACAAAGCAGGTGATAATAAGAAGAAACACAACGTTTATAGAATCCTCTGGAACACATATGGAATTAGATATATCATGCTGGGGTTATTCAACCTTATTTGGAAACTATTCGTCAGGTAACCTTAGTATTTTGGAAGATACTGCTATTAATAGATCAGTTTTCAACTTTATCTGGCTTATCTAAATCTGATCCAAAACTAGGGCCCAATAGGTACTTTAATAGAAAGATTATTCGGTCATCTACTTTATATAATACAATACTCATTTCACCAATATCTTTAAAATAAAATGAAATAGAGCTTATACATTATGCCTTGATCTTTTATCGAAAATTTAGGGTTATGTATGATAAATGATATTAAATTGCCCGTATCTGGAAGCTGGATGAGCCTAATCACTCTTAGTTATGTTTTCATCACTTCTTCAGAACCTCATACTGTGTCCCGGCGTGCAAAAAGGGATCTAAAAGATACTATCGCCATCTATGAAATAGTTACCGAACACAAAAATAAATTTGGAAAGTTATTTTGACTTCGAGTTAGAGTGATTGGTTCTGCTGCTCTCTCTCAGAGATTGTGGTGATCTTTCAGATTCCGTTTTTTGAATGCCGGTACATGGCTGGAGCTATCTTAAGGTAGAATATGTTAATTAACGTATTTACTCTGTTGTCATAAGCATGAAACCTTGACTAGATAAATCTTTGAAATTTTAGCATCATGGAGCCAGAAGCGGTATCGAAACTAGTCGCCTACTTTGAAAATAGCAAGAAGATGACTTTCCATGACGCTGTCTACTACGCAGGGATTTTGGTGGCTATCAAATTCCTCCATTGCTTTTATTTCCAAAATTATATGGTTTACCTTAGTCAGCTGGCAATCCAAATTCGGTCATCATTTTGTTCTCTAATTTACAGAAAAGCTTTAAAGCTAAGTCCTGCTGCTCAAACCGAGACAAGCTTAGGTAAGTAAAGACAACTTCGAAACATTTTTATGAAACTCATGATGAAAGTTTGATATTATTGAAAAGTTGAGAAATTACATGAGTTCCAAAAAGTTTGTTAATCTTGGAAACTGAATACCAATTTTCTCCAAAAGGACTTTACTTCCTTTATTTTCTAGGCCAAGTTGTGACTGTTATGACCAAAGATGTGTCACAATTTGAACATGCGATATGGCTGTTCAACGACCTTTGGATAGCTGTAGTTCAGACGATTGTTGTATGTAATTTGATATACAGTAGAATAGGGTGGTCAAGTATGTTAGGAGTTTCCATACTGTTGGCTACAGTACCAGTACAAGGTATGTATAATATAAAGAATAAGAACATGGGCCTTGACTTCGAATTAATTTATATTATAGCTTTTATGAGTAAGTGGTTGAAGAAACTAAGGATCAAGATTAATAAGAAAACCGATGAAAGGTTACAAGCAACGCAAGAAGCATTATCTACAATAAAAATAATCAAAATGTATACATGGGAAAAAGTATTTGAGGACGGTATTAGCCATACAAGAAGGTAAAACTATATATGTATCATATATTAGACTTTCAGGAATTAATCCATTCATACCGTATCGAACTAGGGTCATATAAGCATAATACGTAGCTGCAGATTTTCTCCAGTTCATATTAGTAAGCACCTCGTCAAATACTCTTTTGGTTAGCGGCCAGTCTCAGCACAACTGTTGATATAAATGATAAATCGACTCATTTTTATATGATTTTTATGTACCATTTATGTTTATGCACAATGAGGCCTGACTTGGGCCTCCCATCCCAACCTTGTCGAACTTCGTACATCCAGAACTGGTCAGTACGACCTGGGGTGCCATGATTTGTTTAGGTCTAAGAAGTACTTTTCTCTACATATCCTCCACCCTCTGTATAAGGGCTACACAAGACTCAGCCTCGCGTACTGCTCAAAGATTCTGGGTGCTGTCGCCACGATTACAATGTCCATACTTGAAAATGATCGATGACACTTCTCTATCTGACGGTCTTGGAACCTTCTCTCACTGACGGGCAAGCGGTCGGCAAACTGGCTGTCTTCTTCCGATATGGATTTTGCTCCTCAGAGCTGTTCGTGTCTTGAACCTGCCAGACGGAACCGCCAGGCTTCTGTTTCCCAACCCAACTCTGTCAAACTTCGTACATCCAGAACTGGTCGGTACGACCACTCCTTTGTTCCTAGGGAGCCGACATTTTGGAACAATCTGCCTGAGGGGGCTTTTCTCAGATCTAATGATATTAGGCGGTTCAAAAATCTCAACAAGGTGACTTTAAGCTCTTTATAGCAACCGAGGTGCCCCGGTATTTAGCCCTACTATTGAAAAAAAATCAAAAACTAGCATAGCTACGATTCCGATCAAAGACTGTTCTCTGATGACAGTTTCTCGCTATGATAGATGGGATCACTCAAAGTAAAGTTTCAAGACACTAGGCACGAAGGACTTGGAGGTGGTACCCGAGGCCTGTGCTGCTAGAACAAATACGCTGAAACCGGAAGACGAGACCACTAAAACTAAAACAAAAATATTGAATGGATAAGATATCCATTTAACGTTAATACATGCCAGAAGATTTGTATTACGGGGAAGAAGAACAGTTGTTGGAATTGGATTCTGACGGATTCTCAAACAATAAAGATAATGAATGTGGCGTAACATAATTCTGGTTACAAATGCAAGATGCGTATCCGCCTTTAACAGAAACAGTTTTGAGATACAGCTTGCCCGTTTAACTTCACATTTTTGTGATGTTGTCTTTTCAACACTTGTAGACATTATGTCAAAAAAGAACATGTTATTGTACGGGGAATGGCAACTCAGCTTAAAATTAACACCCATAGAATCAAAATATCACAATCTGATTTCATTCCGGCACAGAACATTCTAGGCTTCCCTTTGTTTATGTTTTATAATGAATATATTTTATTTTTCGTTTGTTAGTATTTTGTGTATGTTCCAGAGAAAGCAAAAATATATACAGTGCTTTTCTTTAATGTCCCCCTCCCCTTTGATTTTTACTCTAAAATATGGTATCCACGCAACAATGTCATTACCCCAAGTTTTAATTTTTTGAATTGATCCGTTCAAATAATCAAAGGGGAGCCGGACATTTAAAGGAAAGCACTGTATGTTTTGAGTGTTATCATGTTATCAATACTCGTAATACATCAATCTTTTACTTCTCACGCATACGGCGGCATATGGCGGGGAAGTATTGTAATCACAAAAATTTTAGAAAATATATGTTTTCTGGATGTTATATGACACGTACATCAGGAAAAAATGTCTTACTGTTGGTCTGTCCGCTAATCTTATTATAACCCCCTATAACTTGAGAAGTATAGCTCTAATTTCGATAAAATTTTTACACATTGTTGCTACTATGAGTAGGACGATCATTTTCAGGAAAATTTTCGAAATTCGAGGGGTTGATGGTTGTAGGAGGTGGCGAGGGTATATGAAATTTTGTTGATAGTAATATATTTATATGGTCCCAGCTCCGGTTATTCTATTCACCTGTATGCCATATTTCACACATCTTAGATTTACCGGTACATTTACCTTTAAAACTTAAACGATAGAGAAATGTTTTCAATCTGCGTACTTCCGCCTGTCTAAGCTCTCCGCCTGGCAAATCGGTCCGGCTGAAGCGCAAAAAACATCCTTGCGCGAGGAGAAAGATAACTCGCTGCAACAATGCTACGCAGATGTGGAAAGGGACAACGTTGCCAGATGAGCAGTAGCTACCCGTAAAGCAGAGAAAGAATGTCTATAGACTAATTGTATGGGCCTGTTTGACACAAGTTTCTCTGTTGTACATTCCCGTAACTGACTTTTTTCTCAGAGCATTTAAATTGCGCTGCACTTAATCATTTATGAAGTGATGACGGCGTTGCGTAGGAACGCAGTCAACCCACTTGACGCCATTCGCGTTACGAAAATTACAGGAGGGGTTTACAAATATCACAAGTTTGGAAAACACTGGTATAATGGGTAAAAACGTAGCCAACGGCCACCTCGCTAACCAAGCGCAGTATGAATCTCCATATCCAGTCGGATCCTTACGAAATCGTAGCAATCGGGTTGACACCACCATCACACAACAACATAGAAGGATATCAAAACATGTTTTCAGGAGAACGAGTCGACTTTTTTTTAATACTAGTGGACTTTTTGGCTCCACCGTTTTATTATCTAGTTACCCAAATTCTCAAAAAGCATAATTTTTCCAGCAAAGAAATGAGATCGATGCTCAAAACCTTCTACTCCAAAATGATGATGATGGTGTCTAGCTCCCTAGTTGCAAAACTAGGCTTCTACGCCTTAATGATGTTATACATTCATCTGACAGTCAACGCTAGTGCCCAGACTATCTTCTATGTGATGAGATGCTTCGACACACTACGGTACAGTCTAGCGGTCTCGTTGTCATGGGGCTTCGCGAGGATGGCAGAGCTGGGAGCGTCTTTGACAAGGATCAACAATATTCTCAACGCTGAGGAGCTACAGGATATGCACCATGTGGATAAGCCTGATGATGATCCACAGATTGAGTTAAGAAACATTTCGGTGTCGATCAAGGATAAGGTAAATGGTCAGACTGTGAGACCGGCAGGGGTATTACATAACTTAAAAAATGACATTGTCGCTTTTTTGACATTATATAGGTTTTTTGTGATATTATGTAGGTCTTTCTACAAGATTTCAACTTAGAACTAGCTGTTGTTCACTTAATGTGCACTCGTTTTGCCTAAACGCCACGATGCTTCAGCTATCAATATTTGGCTCTGATGTGATGTAACATATGCTTCAGAGATAGCATTATTCGAGATCTAAGCTGTAAATTGTATACTAGAGCTGCAAGAAAACGGCAGTGCTTAGGTGCATAGTAAGGATTTATGTACTAATAATCTGTGTTGATGATAATTCATTTGGTTTCTTGTCTCGAATACACTTACTTGAGATGCACGCAAGGTTAGAAATTAGTTGAGCGTCCACTTTTTGAGAGAGATAAGAAAAGAAACTCCGGGTGAAGTATATTACAACTCACAGTTGAGAAAATATGGTACAGAGAACTATTAGTGAAACGGGATGTCAAGTAGAAAATACAAACGAGCGTCTAGATATGTGCGTTGGGGTGGGTATAGGTGGTGTCGACTTGAAATGTTTTACAGACAGTAGGAAGTCACTGACCAACTTCAGGGGCGGATCCAAAAGATATATATATATATATATATATATTTAGAAGGTAGAAGGTTAGGAATGAAGTTCCTGTTTTGTCCCCAAAATTGCTTCTCGTTAAAATAATTTTTAATATGTTTCGGGTGTATTGATTTAGAGTAGGGCTGTCCAACATACGGCCCGCGAACATCTTTCTTGCGGCCCGCTTCACGGGTCATGTATACATCACATGTATAAATTACTCTCAAATACCGAATATGCACAATTCTTACATTAACGATAAAATACAATAACATGTGAGGCCACTGGCGACCGATAGCAGGCCGCAGCGAATTCACTGGAAATTGGACCGATCTCTCGATCATCCCCGAATATTCGAGAAGCCACGGGCGCGTATATAAGAAGGTTGAATCAAGCGGGACAGGCAGTTTTGTTCTAGTGCTAGTGCGTTTCAGTACACAGCAACTCTAAAGCCTTTTTAAGTGAAATACTCCGTGGGATATGTCTTCACAGAAACGAAAAATAACGAACGAACATCGAGTTTATAATGACCGTTGGGAATCAGAATATTTAATCTCAAACAATAATAATAAACTTCAGTGCATTGTTTGTATGCAAGTACATACTATCGGTTCCTAAAGAATATAATATGAAACAACATGACACTACGTTACACGAGAAAACGTTTCGGCAATATTCAGGGGACTCGAGGCAGGCTAAAAAACTAAAACAAAAGCAGCTTTTCCAACATGAAATTTATCAAGTCAAAGTATAGATGTTCCCTCTCTGATAAGTCACTTACTCAGTTACTTCGTTTATCAACAACAAATATTAATGTTAATATTGATGCATTAGTATTAGAAAACCAACATCCTCAAATTCAGTAATAATGTTGTATAGAAAGATTTTATAATGCGGCCCTCCAAACTGCATTTTTTTTAAGTGGCCCTTGGGCCACATTAAGTTGGATAGCCCTGATTTAGAGTATTAACACCTAACGATGGTATCCGTCGTTATCAATAAGCTGAATGTGTCCGTCCGATTGGTTTTACAATTGTAACAAGTGCTCTCATCCCCGCGTTCGTTTTGAAACACCATTTGGCTGCAACCTCAACGGCGACTCCTGATGAAGGCTCCTTAGAGAATTGCAGAAAGTTAGATATTACCGCCAAAAAAGTTAAGTAAAGCCTAAAAGGTTTGCCAATTTCCCAATTAACAATTAATTAATTATATATATATATATATATATATATATATATATATATATATATATATATATATATATATATATATATATATTTATTTATTTATTTTTGTTTCTATGATGAATTTGAAATTACCAGCTCAAAAAAGTGCTGATCGGATTCATGTTCAGGAGGATGTCCGTACTGGGAGTGATGAATGGTGTAAAACGTATAATGTTATGATGAACCTAGAAACACATTGTTTTACCGAACATATATGCCTCCAGAAATGTATTTGATAAACGTCGAATCAAACTTCAAAATGATAATAAAACACTTTCTATTAGCTTTTCAATTCCATCATTTCACGAATTGGGTATCTAAAGATAGCCAACCATATACTGTATTCCGACGTCCAAGGGGGACCTGAATGATACTAGAAACCTACTTAAGGAGGTAAGATTGTTTGGTTCTGCATCTGTCTCATAGATGGCGCTAGGATCTTCAATCCGTTTTGCCGCTTACTTAAGGTTTATTTTAATTGGGTATCGTCAGACATTGATTAACGTATCCCACCTGAAAAACCCAATTAAACTAAACATCAGAGGGGCCAAAAAATGATAGAAGATCCTAGCGTCATGTATAAGACCGTAGATAGCATAACTAAAAACTCTAACTCTTTTCAGCAGATTGCTCCATTTTACTTACGCCACTGGCCAAGGAAGTATTGTATAAACCGGGTGACAGTGAAAATTGAAAACAGGATGTATTTTTTTGGCAAATAAAGATATCGCTCCAAGATTGAGACATGTTCAGTTAGTCATTAAGAGGCATGTCTGGAAAGTTGAATGGGTTATCTCTCCCTTCTGGTTTAACCGGAAGTGACCTTGACTTCCGATTTTTCAAATAGAAACCTGTATATTTTCTTTCATAATCGTACTCTACGCATAATTCCCTTTCAGTGTCACAAGTAACATTTTTGTCTTGAAATGGCGGCGCTATAAAGGAATTTGTGAATAACTTAAGATCCGCCATAGTGCTTACAAGACAAAAAAAATATGTTTAATTGTCAAGGTGGCTATGTGATCAAAATAAAAAAATATAATTTCAGGGAAAGTAATAAATACAATGTTTTTATTTTCTATTCTATAATAACAGAATATCAAAACTCCGTTTGATTACGACAAACTGAAATTATTAATATGATCCTCTTCTACCTTATTCTATCTATTTTGCCCAACTATCCTAGTTATAATAAAATTATTACAAAATTGAAAATTAAAAACTATTATAAAAAACATTTATAGTAAAGCTAATACAGTTCAATGCGTCCTCCATTATTTTCATTTATTGACCCTTCTTATGGTTTCTGCATGGCCATTGTTTAAAAAATCTTCAGATAAGGTGTTAATTGCTGCCGTTATTCGCTGATCTAAATCTAACAGATCTATAGGAGTCGTGACAAACCTCCTCGTTCAAGTAGGCCCAAATGAAAAAGTCTAAAATGGTTAAATCGGGTGATCGTGCGGGGCACCTAATAGGATCGTTTGTCCCTAGCCAACGATTCCCGAATTTATCCGTTAAATATCTTGTAACTTCTCTGATGTTCTATGAAATATAACATGCCTACTGTCAGCCAGGGGCAAACCATCAAGAAAATCTTCTACTACATCACATGTATAAATTACTTTCAAATACCGAATATGCACAATTCTTACATTAACTCTGTAATAATGTTGTATAGAAAGATTTTATAATGCTGCCCTCCAAACTGCATTTTTTTTAAGTGGCCCTTGGGCCACATTAAGTTGGACAGCCCTGATTATAAGTGATGGTGAAACAAAGATGTCCGTGTACGGAACAGTATTCAGACCCATATTGATATTTGGAAGCGAGAGCTGGGTATTAACGAACAGGCAGAAAAGCAAGTTACAGGCTATTGATATGAAATATCTCAGGGCAGTCAAAGGAGTCACTAGGAAAGACAAAATTAGAAACGAAGTTATTAGAGAAGAGCTGGGAGTGGAATCTGTATTACAAAGGATTGAAGAAAACCAATTAAAATGGCTTGGGCATTTAGTGAGGATAAAGGATACAATGCCAGTAAAACTCATATGGGAAGCTAGAGTTCAAAAGAAAAGGGCAAGAGGGCGACCGAAAAAGACGTGGAATGATGGATTGGCGAAAATACTCAAGAACAGGGGAATAAGTTGGAACGAAGCAGTGCGCCGGGCGAGAAATAAGAAAGACTGGGTTAAAGTTGTATATAATAAATAATTAGTTTAGAGAATGAACTAATGTAATTCCACCTTACACCTACGGGTATATAAGGTTTTAGATGATATATATATATGTATATATATATTACGAAAACAGTGCACTCTAATGAAAAACACAAGAGTAATAATCATTTGTTGCAAATTGGAGGTGAAATTCGAAAAATTGCGCATTTCGAGAAAAAACAGTGGCGTACTATTTTTATTTGGAAAAATAATGCCTCTAATCCACTGCATCTCCACCACTGGTGCAGGTTAATGTCAAGTAAGGACTTTTGAATGTGGACAATACTTAGATAAAACTACATATCAAAGTTTAGTTCATTCCAGTTGATGGTTTTAAAGATATTAAAAAAATTGTTTTTTATTTTTAAACTTCAACTTAATGAAACCCTCGAGAAAAAAATGTTATATAGAAGACCTCAAAATGCGGTCCTATGTATGATGTTTCTTTTTTGGTCACGACTTGTGAATCACCCTGTATTTATTTACTCACGAAATGCAATAGAAATGGAAATAGTAGATGTTGTTTCTGGGACTCCTCCATCATCTATAGTTTTTTTGATTCACGGCGCTTCGAGTGATGTGACCTTCAATTCTCATTAGGTGAACTGAAATGTCGTGAATAAAAAAAAACTTTATAGACAATGGAGGAGTAGTTTAAAAATGCACTTAAGTATGACACCAGTGGCGTAGTTGAGATCTTTGTAATGACATATCTTAGGACCCATGAACGTTTATATGTATGCGGTAATTTTGTGTTACTTTTGGATGTTTTGCTATCCTAGGAATAATACCTTCGTTTTATGAATCACCCTATAAAATTTACAGGAAATCCTTCACAATTTAGACACAAAAATGAACGTGGGCTTAAATATCGTCACTGGCCAACTAGGATCGGGCAAAAGTTCCATGATAAAAACAATTCTAAAAGAATATCCAATAAGCAGTGGTGAACTCAGAATAAGAGGAAGGAAAAGTTACGCGTCTCAAGATCCATGGCTGTTTCCCTCTTCAATAAGGCAAAATATTTTGTTTGGAGAAAAATACGACCAAGAGAGGTACATGCAAGTAAGTAGATAGAAATCTCGCTGGAAGCATGTTCAATCTTGGAACCGTCATTTAGCCCAAACTTCAAAATGCGTTCGGAATTAAACCATAAACTGTTCCCATGGGTGTTAACCAAAAATTCTTATCCTCTAAAAACTATTTTGTGTGGATTTTTGCTAATGGTTCTATGAAATTACAATCCAAAAGTCAAATGTAACTTGATGTAAAACGTAGCATAAAACAAAAAATGTTTGCACACATGTGATCTAGATCAAGGCTAGTTTCATTAGTGCTTGTTTTGTGTTAAGTAAGGCACTTTTGACGATTTTCTGACCCTCTTCCCTCCCTCCTGGTGAGATCTCATGAGATGAGCTCTCCCCCTCCGCAAACCTTTAGCTCACGTGAGATTATTCAAAAATTTTAATATTAGTGTTAATGTGTTGGGGTTATTCAAACAACACAGCTTGTATCACTATTTAAGACTAGTTTTTAAGATTCCTCAGATCGTAGTCTACGATCACAAGGATAAAATTCAACAATAAAATTCTTGAATGGAAACCGCTAAAATTAATAAATTAATATTTGTTATAATTCAGACCATGCAGACTCATTTTCCGAAAATTCTCTCGATCACAATGCTTCCCCGTCAGTAGGCGTGGGAAGTAAAAAATGTTACCCCTGATTTTTTTTTTAAATAATAATGATCCTGCAAAACGAGATTGCGGGGTCAATGATTAGCAGAAAGAGAGACAGAAATGAGTAACATGGTTTTCTGTCTTTACATGTAGAAGTAAACAGGACTATTATTTTAGGTTATTAAAGTATGTGCACTAGAGTACGACTTCAAAATATTAGACAAAGGCGATGAAACCATAGTCGCAGATCGTGGATTAAATCTAAGCAAAGGCCAGCAAGCAAGAATCAATCTGGCAAGAGCAGTATATAAAGACAGTGACATCTACCTGATCGACGATGCTCTTACGGCACTCGACCCAAAAGTCCAGGAGCAGATCTTTTCAGAATGTATTTTGGGATTCTTGAAGGGAAAACTTGTTGTTCTGGTTACGCATAACGCCAAACACATAACAAGTGCTGAGAAGGTATAGTATTTGTAGAACATCCTGAACATTTATAAGAAATAATTTATTGTAGGTGTTCCAGTACCATCACTGTTTGTTTTGCGTTTTATTTACATGATCAATTTTTTGAACAATCTTTCAAAATTCAATTGCTGATGACACGATTTGGCTTGAATGCACCTTGCTACTTTAACAGCCGCTGCTAAAATACTGGTTGTCTGCTTAGAGCTAGGGACTAGTTTTCATCATCTAACTTCAAAGCCCAAATGTCAGTCGTCCCTGAATACTTCTTTTATGTCAAGAGACCTACTGCTACACTGTCTATGTATGATTGAATTAAGACTAGGACACTCTACTACTAAGTCACCATTTCAGGCGATTATCGATTTACATAGTATAGTAAGGGCTAGCACACACGTCTAAGAGCCACTGCGACTAGGATTGCCAACCGTCCGGCTTTAGCTGGACATGTCCCGCTTTTTTCGATCCTGTCCAGTCAAATTTTTATGTGTCAGGTCTGTCCAGCTTTCGTTAGGTTTTTTGGTCTACGCGGTATTCATATAATCGGCTCCTGAATTTTACAAATGTTAGAGTCTCCTGTTCAACCCCTTTCCCTCCGCTCTTCATTTATCACAGTGGCATTTTCCCTTGGTCATAAATGCTTAACCGCGGGCAACCCCCCGTTTCTCGATTATCACTCAAAGGCATGGTCTCTCAGAAGCACTGTTGCAGCCAAGTCGCAGCAGCCCCCCGACAAATAATGTCCGTCTTTGAGTGCCAAATGTAGAACCAAGCACAGTGTTACAGATTTGGCCATTACTAGTTAACCTGCTTTCTACCATTTTTGAAAGACGAAAACCGAACGCAGCATAAGTTCTCGTGTTGAAAAGATATCGAAAAAAACGTAGTCCAAACTCAAAAATGTTGTATTCTATTACTATTTAGGTGGAATATTTCGTCATAAAAAATATAGTATTGAAAACATTAAATCGTAACTAGACATACATTCAACAATAGTCTACACTCCATACTTCATTATTCTATACCAAATTATAATTTGTAAAAACGACCCCAAAACTTTACGCGTGGAGTACCAGTGCTTTGACAGGGTGGGTTGTCATGTTGGGACATTTTCTCCCAAATTTGGGAGATTTTTACTTGGGGATTTTTTTGAGATATAATGTTCTGGGGAAAATCACACGTTTCGCGGATGGAAAGCACCTCCTGCTCTTTGAACCAAACCTACCCCTTTCCATTAATTAAGTGTGACTTCAAGGATTTTTCTGAAAAAGTAGCAATTCTGACGGATTTTTGTGCTTGTTCTGGTGAAATTCTTTTCGGCTCATCTGGCAATGGTGTGCTTTGACAGATCCGCCATATGAACACTTCCCTAACAGTCTAAGATCCAGCCGCTTGAATCTGCGGGTATCTGTTTTTTTATAACACTTCATTTTATTAATAGTATAATAGATTACAGCAGGTTTGCCTGGCAAAGGCAGATACCTGCAGATTCCAGCGCCTGATCTCGTTTTATATCTTCGAATACCCTGAGCAAGCGCAGTAGCAGGTACTCGCTTCAATCACTGCTTCCTCAGTCTGGCGTCAAGTTTTGGTGTTGTTTATTTCGCCAGTTCTCCTGGTATGTAGGTCCCATCATTCTTATAGCGGTGGCAGCAATATTCGAATCCAAGCAGTATCGTTCCTGTTAAGCAGTTTATCCAAATCCGATATGTCCCGGTTTGTACCGCAGCCGCTGAAATCAAAATCGTCGAGATCGAAACAAGCAGAATCGAAATTATCGGAATCGAATCCGCCGGATTTGGGATCGGTATCGATTACTTCGATACCCAATGCATCCAGGATCGTCCGAGCTCTGATTCCTGCCCTGAAGCTCCGATTCCATATTTTTGGCACAGGGCTTTGCTTGCATGTAGCTTTCCAATGTTGGATTCACGATTCCAAGAAACCTTAGCCTCGCCAAGCCTTTGTAGTGACCCAAGTGTCTCACATGTCGATTTAGATGATAGAGTCCCGTTAGAAGACCCACTTATAAAATCCGAGTTGGTCCTAATGCAGGCTTTCGTTCTTCAATCAAATATTTTGCTTGCTCCTACCATAACTGACTGTTCCACTATTTTAGTGATTTTTTCTTGGTCCAGTCTTTTAATGACTGGTTGATCCGTGCTCTAATCACGCCAGGACCTACAAGGCGATTTGCCGCACCTTTCAGGCAAGTTCATCGGCCTTCTAATTTCATATGTGTCTTTCATGCTCTGGTACGCATACCAATGTTACCTTGTTTCCACTTCCCAGCTCTTTGAGAGAATTCACGCAATCACTTACTAGCTTAGACGATATGTGCATCGAACTTGATGCCTTAATGGCTGTCTGAGCATATGGTGATTCATTTGCTTGCAGCCTCCTTCCTGATTAGCTTTTTTGCGCAGACATGCATGGGTGTCACTTTGGATAGAAATACTGTTGCTATATCACCTAGTCTTATAAAGATCTCGGCTTTTGGGCTTGCCCCATAAATCTCGGCTTCAACTTCATCTTCGGTTTTCGAGCTGTCTGAGTACCAACAGCTTTTGGCATAAGGTCATTTATTCCACTCACGTTTTCCTGGTACTATTGTTTGATATTTTAGGTGATAGTATTGAAAGATGGAGCGATAACTTTCGACGGAAAACATCAAGAACTCACTAGGGACATCTTGGAAGCAATTGAAGACGAAGAAATTCATGGTGATGAGACTATTACCAAAGACGAAGAAGTTGAAAACCTTGATGAGAAATCTAAGCTGTTAGCAACACCACTAAAGAGGGTTCATGTTTATCATGAGGTGAAAAAACAGGGTGGCGTTGGTTGGGATATCTACAAGCAGTATTTCAGATTTGGTGGCGGAATTTGTTTCGTTTCTTTCATCGTTTTACTGTATTTCGGCGCCACTTTTGCTGAAAGCGCTTCTGCGAAGATGTTGACGAATTGGTAAGTAGGTAACTTATGCGATATATATATACAGGATGTTTTACAACTTATCGGACAAATTTTAACTACATATGCACTTACGAAAGAAGTTGATTTCTAAAAAATGTAATAAAAGACCTACAGAAATCAAGATGTTAAAATAATACAGCTTAACAGTTCACTTACTTATGAAAGCTGCTCAAAATTTTTTCCATTGGTTGCAAGCGCCGCGCTGTTGCATGTGACACTTCTGGGACCTGTTGGGCCAACTACCTTGTGCTTATTCCCGGGTTTTCTTCCACAATATCCAGAATTTCGTCTTCGGCATTTGAAACGCGTTGTGGGTGAATCCGACCCCCATCTGGGGCGCAAAACTCCACTAGCACGTGTACGTAAAACAATTGAACTAAATGTTTCGTGATGTGGTATGTGGCTATTCGGAAATCGGTGTGCATACAAACTAACTCCTCGTTAGTGTACATATGTGCCATTTTTATTAATAAATAACTAAAAACATAAACTCGTAAAATACCTTCTTATTTAACTTCACACACGTTAATTTTTTGAGGATATTGAATATGAGTTTCCCGGAAGACGTGAGGATTGGTGTCACTCCAATAACGAGAATTTGGTCTATGCACATTACCGTTGAGAAAAATGCTTTCCGTCATAGTCTCGCAGAATTCTGTTCTTCTATCAGGATCATCTTCAGTTAGCTGATGTACCATTTGAATTTTGTATGGGTGATACTTATTCCTTTTCAAAAGTCTCCATACAGTAAAAGGACAAACCTCACATACATTCGCGATGGAGGAAGTAGACTGTTGGGGATTTACTATGATCTCACCAATTCTTTGAACTTGGTTTTCTTCCGGGATGGTCGGATGACCTGGGGGCTTTTTGTTGTTTACACTACCAGTAGGTGTAAATTTAGATACAAGTTCCCTTAAATATTTTCTACAGATAGGACGATTCGGGAAACGATCATTAAAAATCCTTTGGTTCTCGTGAAAGCTACGCGTCGCACCATAAATAAAAATCGCTTCGATTTTTTCATCCAATGGACGAGAATTGACCATTTTAAAAATAGTTCAAACAGTATCTAGCACTAAAACCGAAACCTAATAAATTTTTTTACTACTACTACTAACTATACTAAATAAGTATATTTTAACTGTACAATGATGTTTGTTTCCGTACTGATATCTTGTCACTGCCAACACAAAATAAGAAAACAAGTTTTTATAGCAGTTGCTGTGGATACGGCAGGGAAATACAATTATTTGTAGAGATAGATATGCATGTTAGTGGGTTTGTGTTCAAGTAATTATTAAATGTACCACCATTTTGTAGTAGGTAAAGGTATTGACTTTATATTCTAGGGTTAAAAAGTAATCGTCAGGAGCTTCAAAATGATGTGCCACAAGACCTCAGTTTTCATATAATTTTTTTTTCCAAGATGAATTGATCCGTTCAAAAAATCAAAGGGGAGGGGGACATTAAAGAAAAGCACTGTATATATATATATATATATATATATAGTATTCATATTTAATTGCCTTAACTCTTAGGAGAAGATATCCTTTAATTTCTTTGGGTAGAAGGCAAAGTATTGCAAAAGTACACTCTTATAAGTATATATATATATATATAACTTGAGACGTGGTCATTGTCGTCTAGACCAGTTAGGTGAAAAATTAAAGCTTCCGCCTTTTGTTGGGTACTTCGACAAAATTTAAGCAAAGAGGACTCTTTATAATTTTTTTATTCTCTCTAGCTTTCAATGGACTTTGCCATCATCATCAGGAGCTGCAATTACGTTGATAACAGTAGCAACAATAGTGTAAAATGAATTTAAATTGACTTAACTTACAGTGATATGTGAGGATGTTGCTAATTGTTGTTTACGTTCAGGATGAGGGAAACACCCAGTAACATGGTGAAAGCTGGATAGATGGTACAATGGTCAAAATTATATAAAATACACACAACTGTGTGACAAGAACAAGTTAAAAACAGATTAAAAATTTTTAGAACATGAAAGCATTATATATATACAGGGTGACCTTGAAGTTGAGTCATTAATTTTCAGATAATGATTGTAGAACGAAGATAAACCAAAATATGTGTGTAAAAATAAAAAAATAAATAAAAAAAAATGTTACCTTGTTTAATAAAGTATCGTCCCGACAAGTATTTCAGTGCGGACCTGTATTTGATCGTGTGGTCTTGGAGCAGCATGCCCTGACCTGTGAGGTCTTAAGTCACCTGATTCACGAGCCCTTTGTACTACATTAACAACGGCACGAGGGGTTGGTTGCACTCGATTGGGAAACCGATTCGCATAAATCCGTGATGCATCCGGGAGCATTTTGTAAAGACTGCCCCTCCGTAAATAAGAATCATGTCCACAAGTTCAGCATTTTCGTAAACATGTGCCATTTTTGATTTCGTTTGAGCCACGCAACAAACACTACTACTATTCACTAACGCGTTATCGACTGACGAAAAACATCGTGATAAACGTTTCAAATTCTTTCGCTTTTTTGTTTCCGATGCGATGAACCGGTCAGGCGGATTATATCCGTTGTCGCCAAACACGAACATATAATACTCGTATTATTATTGAGACAGGGCGGTACTCAAACTTCCAAAGGGCTATAACTTTGTTACTTTAATTTTACCAGAAAAATGGTAAAGGAAAAAAACATTTCTTTTGATCAGATCTACTCACTGTTAAAATAAATGACTCAACTTCGAAGTATGTATTATGTATGTATATATGTATTTATTTGTTGCTATTGTCAATAATTGTTTCCAGCTCCAGACGATGAAGACATAGATCTTCGAAAGATTGAGAGTTTAAGTTATAAGAGGGTATTTTTGCAATACTTTGCCTTCTACCCAAAGAAATTAAAGGATATGTATATATATAAAATACAATTAATTGTTAATTGGGAAATTGGCAAATTTTATATATATATAGCGTCAGTGAAAACTGTTTCCGATATTTCTATACGTGGACCAGACGGTCCTTCACCTTGTTTTATCTTTATTCTGATAAATTGTTATTGTTGATCTCTTGATTTTATTACTATTTAAAAAGGAAGGGGTGCGGGAATATAGTACTAAGTTAGCTATCCTCAGCTAGAATATATTCATCAGGTCATCTTGGATTTGCTTCTCTTTTACGGTGTATTGTAGAGGGAATTCATAAGTCATATATAATACGGCATTTTGCAGCGACGGCCATATTTCCACAGGGCGAGGAAGTTTTTTAATCGGGAAAGATTTCGAAAATGATATCTTATGCTTTTTGTACGTCTGTCGGTCTGTCTGGTAATCCTTGGCCCGTCAATAACTTTAGAAGTATCGCTCTGATTTTGATGAAATTTTCATATAACGGCACTACTATGCCAAGGACGAAAAAGCTTTATAGTTTTCGAAAATCGGTCCAGTGACAGCAGAGAAAAATGACAAAAACGGGAAAAATAAAAATCTCATTTGGACGTTTCAGAGAATCCTGAACATTCAAAAAAATAATTAATTGGGTGGTGGGATGTTGTAGAAGGGAGGGAGGTGTATCGCAATTTTTTCACACATTATAGATTTCCACATACGTTTGTCCTTAGAACGATAGAAAAATATAAATATTATCTCCCTTTGAGATGGAACACAAGTGAACATGCTTACGGAACAAGTTTAATTCTGAATTGCTCTTTACGGAGACTGCTCCCGACACCTTGGTATCGCGTGTTTATTCAGCGTACGAGGAGACCTGCATTTGTACATATATCAGGGGTGATGGAGTAGTAGTTAGCAGTGTATAATGCAGATTAGTTTCCTTCCGTGCTACTGCGTGAGTACACAAATTACTTTTATAGGGCGTCTTAGCATATCTCCCCAAAAAACAGTTTATAATTCAATTATTCTACCGCATTTACTATATTGTTAGACTATCTTTTTCACTGAATCTGTATTCTCAAAATTACAAGTCCGATATAAAGCTATGAAAATAATATTGAATATAAATGAGTACAACAAAATAAAGTCTATGTTACAAGATTTCATTATCATTTCGTATCATTTTTGATATCATATTTGATTCTTATTTTTATATTTAAAATGAAAAATCATCTTTTGCCACAACAGTTAGAGCACTACATAGAATTGAATAATCATTATCGCAATTATTATACAAGTATATATTTTCATTATTACAAAATTGCAATAGTAATATAACTAGCAAATCTATATTTCAGAAAGGATTTTTAGAATATAATAAACTAAATAATGGTATAAAGCCTACCTGTAATTTAGATATGTTTAAAAGAAAGTTGAAGGAAGTACATTCTTAGAGATGCAATTTTTATTTTTCTAAATATCTGTATGTTATGTAATTGTTGTAGTTTTTTAAAAGAATATAATTGTATCAATCATGCTAAATAAATCTTAAACAAACAAACAATCAAACGGATGGTAGCGTTTCGTGGGAAGTGCAGAGTCATCCTACTTGACACCATTTTTTAATAGTGGGTGTCAATATACTGCCACTTTGATCAAAACCAACTATTACACCGTTCTCATCAGTCGCTCCTAGGCTGGCCCACGCGACGGACTTTGAAGCAAATGTTGATATTCTTCTTGACAAATAATCCTGTTCTAGGATAAATGCACAGGACAAGCTGACAGGAGTAAGAAGAAACTACACCTTGGTATCCAATATGACGCAGGAATCTCCAGACCAACTCGCGTTGACTCTCGGGAAAATGGGCATAAATGTATCAATTGCAACATACCTCAACGAATCGATGGAAAAGATTGATCGCCTAGAAATCCAATCTGCCAAATCGATTAATTTTTACACAATTCTGTTGGTGTCAGGTACATTATGCGAGTTGATCAAATACTACATGATCTTCAAGTTTGCGCTAAATGCCTCTTTCAACTTGCACAAGGCGATGATCCATAGTATAGTGAATGCTATTATGTCATTTTTTGATACATATTTCATCGGGAATATATTGAACAGGTTTTCTCAGGATTTGGCTGTGATTGACGAGCATTTTCCTTTTGTGTTGACCCACTTCATAACGGTAAGTGTGCTTGCTTTATTAATTTCTATATGTTATATACCGGGTGTTTCATATTCGACTCTCACCATTGGGATCTGAAAAACGGTAGGAGATACAAGTCGCTTGAACAGAGACAAAGTTGCGTATTTGGGTAACTAACAAGATGCCGTTTAGACATTTTTGTAATCCAAAGTACTTCCAGAGAGAGGCGGAAAAACTTGAGTTTTACAAGGTCGCTATAATTTTTTTCTGGCCTTATTTGCAGTGGGGTTTCAAAATAAATTGCACATGAACATGGCCACTTGTTCTCCTCTCTACAAGATGGTATAATTAGAATTTCAGTATGACATTTCGTCTCTTCTCCTCTTGCATCAACTTTATTTTTTTCTAATCGATGAATACAGTTTTTAATTCTGATTCCAAAAATATATAATATGTCATACATGGACTTTGTCAAACCTTAGTTATTTAAAAAAATGCTAGGCTTGGCCATGAAATTATCAGATAGTCATTTGTTTCTTGTACCGGATTTATTAAAAAAAATGTTGATTTTCTGATTTTATTTGAAATGAGATGAAATAGATTGCATATTAATATTGCCACTCTTTCACCTCAACTAGAATTCAAATTTTCAATAAGACGTATCTATTTTTTTTTTAGTTTTCGTGTATTTCAAATGAAGTACTCTATTCTTAAACTTCAATTTTAGAATCCTTCGATCGGTCTAATATTATTTATTTTTTATTTTAGACCTTGTTTCACGTAGCTGGTATGATAGGTCTCATAGCGTCAGTCAACTGGAAATTCGTAATACCATCAATAATTCTTATTATATGTTTGGTTATAATGAGATTCCTTTACATTCCTACATCTAGGAGCTTGAAAAGACTTGAAGCTGCAAGTAAGTACCTATTGTAATATACAGGGTAATCATGGATTTAACCACTGATTAAAAGAAAAAAACGCTAAGACACGTCAACAGATTTGTAAAGGTAGCGAACTTTTTAACCAAAAACTACTTCACCACCCACCCTCTGCCCCCAGGGCCATCCCCTTAAAAACTTTAAATGACAAGGGATATCGAGTAACAGCTTGTTTGAAAGGTCTCTCGAAATCTTTTATTTTGACGTTTGCTTTCTTAAAATCGGTCTATTCATTTTCAAGAAAATAAGAAAAGTCTTAATTCATCTTAATTTGTTCAGATAGAATATAAAACACATGAAAATATCACTTTTTATTTCAATAAATGTTGCCCGTTATTGACCAAAGAATAATATAGGCGATGTTCAAAATCCTCACGGACATTTTCAAAACATGGCAGCTTTTGATGATACGTTGGCGAAGTTCATCCAAACATTCAGGCTGGGGAGTAAACACAATAGATTTCAAATGGCCCCATAGAAAAAAGTCTATTGGCGTCAAATCAGGAGATCTGGTAGGCCATAATAGGCCCTCTTCGCCCTATCCATTTATCTGGAAACTCGTCATCTAGCCATTGCCGAACTGGAATAATATAGTGAGTAGGAGCGCCGTCTTGCTGGAAATATATTTCATCATCATCAAGTATACGGTTTCCATCCTTTCGATTTGGTTTTCAATGTTTCAGTGATAAGCGGATTGATGGTGTTTTTCAACATATCCAAATAAATTTCTCAATTCAAATTCCCATTAATAAACAATGGCCACATTGTTTCCTAATATGTTACAATACTTTACATTTATGCTGATTAACAAATCCATTTATATAAAATGTACATTCACCACCGAAGCAGATATTCTTTACATGAATGGTATTATCATTAATCGCTGCACTCAACTCCCCTATCAAAATCATCTTCTGTTAATTCGTGCAATATTTTAATTTTTTTCAATGGATGACATTTATGGAGCTTAGTGACTGTGTGTACAGAGCCTAATGAAATACCAGTCGCAGTAACAATTTTGCGAAATGATCCAGTTTGAGTAAATTTAGTAACAAGGTCCAAAATATACCTATGCGAAGTTATCTTCCCGGATGTCTGGCGTTAAACGTTTCGGCAGATCTCCGAGCACATTGATTTTGGGCACCATAAATTAGAATCATTTGCACTCTTGCAGCTAGTGTATAAACCATTTTGGAAGTAAAATCCAAATCAAGAAATTATTTTTCACTATCCCACAAAGGTAACTGACATCAAATTAAATTCTTTGTTTTCCTCAATATATTGATACAAATAACTAAACAGGTATAACAATAAATACAGTTCGCCCAGGATATCCGTGTTGATGAAAATAATGCGGAAAAAATCGTGTTGTTATTCGGTCGTAACAACGTCTTTATTTTGGTAGTTTCCGTTTTAAATTATAAACGAATTTTGAACACTTATAAAGTGATATTTACGTGTATTTTTTGTTTTCTATCTGAACAAATTAAGGTATATAAAGATCTTTCTAATTTTTTCGAAAGCACTCGATACCCCTTGTCATTTAAAAATATTAAGGGAATGACAATGGGGGGGCGAGGGTGAAAGGGGGTGAAGTAGTATTTTTGTTTGAAAAGTGGTCCCCCTTGACAAATCTTTTAACGTGTCTCGGAGTTTTTTCTTTTAATCAGTGGTTTTTGATAAGTCCGTGGTGGGAAGTTTTCAAATGAACATCCTGTATGTATTCTAACATATCGCAATGGATTAGTATACAAAATCGAGGTGACATCAAAATTCCTATACAGTTTAAATCGAAATAGGATAACGCAAAGCGTCGCCTGCTAGCAGAATCGAGCACTGCGAGAATGTGTAGCAGCTCTTGGTTGGTACTGAAAAGATCTGTTTGTGTTTGAAAGCCCAGTTACAACAGTGACCTTTAGAGACTGACGATTGTAGCAGGATAGTAGCTGTGGTTTACTCATCATTGAACAAAAAAAAAACATGTTGCTTTTGTCCATCCGACCACAGATGGTTGGACAGCTGTTTCATGCTTTTTGGCAATTGATCCGCATAGTCTAGGGTCTGTCTCTGGGACAACGAACGGTTGGCTGTCTGTGGTCGAACAAATGAAAGCAGCATGTTTAGTTGTACAATGGCGAGTATGCCGTATCTACTATACGCTAGAATCGTCAACCTCTAGCGGCCACTGTGGTGATGGGCTATCAAAGGCGAACTGAGATCTTAACAGTTAGTCTGGTAAAAGATGGCGTTTAGGGCTGTCTTATTTCCAAAAAGCAGGAAACAGCTGTCCAAGGTTGGCTGTCTGTTTTCGGACGGATGAAGACTGCATGCTTAGATCTTAACTGTTTTAGCTCGTAGTCCAATGGTTGGACACTTGAATTCTTCAATCGAAGGTATTACAACGATACGTGCATATAAGGCTCAAGACATTTTGTGCGATGAATTTGACAGACATCAGGATTTGTATACTTCTGCTAACTACACGTCCTTGGTCACCAAGAGAGCTTTTGGATTTTATATGGACTTCTTTGCTGCTGGTTTCATAACTCTTATTATTGGAAGATTTCTGATTTTCGACATGGGTAAGTAGGAATAGCAGTTTCGCTTGGCATTTAAAAAACTTTTTTTATGCGCCAAACGTTTTTTTGAGTTTTATTTTTTCTGTGAGGAGAAAGTGACAAAACTTGTCATACAAAGTTCAAACGTAAAATTTCTCGCTAAAGCGAGATAAGTTTTTGTATAACCTAATACGTTCTGCCATGCAATGTCCTTAGAATGCGACTCTATTTTCGTCATGGAGGTTATGCTTTCGTCAAATGTGAACAAAATAAACTGTTTCCACTACTATCCAGAGGCATCACATAATGTCAACATGGGGGTTCCCCAGAGATCGGTCTTGGCTCCGTCATTGTTTCTATTGTATGCTGCGCAAGCCGATCCTTCACGCAGCTGCTACTCGCTCTTGTACACACAAATGCATTAGGTTCGTCCGACCGAACTTTCTGTTTCGATCAGTTTCGATCCAAAATCAGAGTTTCGGTATAGCTTCGGTTTCAGCAGAAAAACCACCGAAACTTCAATCGAAACCGAAACTAAGTTCATATGTTTCAGGCGCCTTCGAGCAAATTAATTTAGACCAAAAGTCAAATTTGCTAGAGGATAATGTTGAAAAACTGTTATTGATTTCATATAATTTTAGACTGTTCAATTATGGCTATTAGATTACATTCTAATGGCCTGTGGCACCAACATTGAATTTGAGTTTTTGTATTTCCTAAAAAATGCCATGGTTACTAATCTCTTGAAAATAGTTTTTGTTTTTGGTCTGTGAATAATTCTAAAAAACCACTATTTATTAGTTTAAGTATATCCATGACATCGTTATACATATCATGACTAATCAAATCCATTTTTGAAGACCTTCTTTAAACTCCAAAATTGATCGTTTGAGTTAAACACACTTTACAAAATTTTAAACGGGGCTTAAGCACTTGAGCAATAGAAATCTCAAAATTAAACTAGACTTCCGTCTAAACTAACGTTAGGTAGTATTGGTGCAACAGGCCGTAAGTTGTTATTTTTGTTTTATTGTCTGTTTTTTTACCACATGTTGAAAGCAAGAAGACATTATTATTTTTGTGCTTTAAGCGACTCTTTTAGTTTTCTTTAAGAATCCATGTCTATGAGCTTACACACAAAGGGCGGTAGGATATCTATGTGTGAAGGAGATGGATGTATGAAAGCAATTCTTGTAGTTTTACTGTGAAGAAATGCTATCTTTATCGCACATTATACATAGAGTCCCTTTTCTGCGCACCATACTGTGATGCAGACATTGCATTGATATACCTGTCAGTGTTGCTGAATGTTAAGAAATCGCTATATTTCTTTCTCCCAGTGAAAATAATTATATTCTTGCTATTCCTCTGAGCGCTTGAAAACACTATTATCTAATAGAACAATGCTTATCTCCATATTTTTACAGCTACAATAGATAACCTCAATAATGCTCAAGCCAGACTTCTTTCGTGGCCACCTAGACCTCGAGACCTTTCGCCCATTGAACATGTGTTGGGCTATGTAATGACCTCTTTACCTTATCCTCTTCAAACGCCAACAGCTTTTCGGAACCAAGTATAGCTAGCTTGGGTTGATATACCCCAAGAAGGCAAAAATTACCTCATCAGAAGCATACGAGTACTCCTATGACTGGAAAAATACAGCAAACGTTTCCACTTCATAAATAATTTAATTCCTCTTGCTCATGTCTAACTGTATGTTGAGGGTTTGTTCCAACAATCAGTTTTGAAATAGTTCAGAACTGATTTCGAATTATTTTTTGAACTATTCTGTTGGACCAGCCAATTCTAATAGGTCAGAAGGAGCCAAGCCTTTAGATTCACATTGCATTGTTTTTCGCTAAAATTGCGTAGTTTTAGTGCATACTTCTGACTTATTTGTCTACCAATGCTTACCAAAGTGACGGCGTTGTGTCAACATTATAATAATACCGGTGGAAACATGTAACTTCATTAGGCTTGTGTCTAATCGTCTAACACCACAATCATCTGCAAACACTCGCACTTATAAATATTGTAGCAAGAATGAATGGTACTACTAGTGCCATCTGTTGGGAATCGCGCCAGGGACTCTCTTTCGGCATCAACGCGAGATGCCAGACTGACCCCGAAGGTTCTGGACTAGTCGCTATGTGGCGTACCAGAACTTTCTCGAATTAACGAGTATCTGGGATGTGGAATATTAGCCGGCGGCCGGGAGAGGTAAACAGAGTTGAGTGAATGGCGCGACATAATACTCGTAATTCGTATATAAGTAGTCAGACATAAATAGTGGTGTACATATATAAATGTTCTATCTAGTTAATTAACGTTAGTTGTGTTGTGTTTTAAATAAATTAGTGCATTTCTTTTTGTGGAATCGAGTGTTTTGATCCACAGCCAAAAGAACCCAGAAAAACGCTACATTGGTGTCAGGTACGGGGTGTGGATTATTGTACATTTAGTGAAAATAAATGGGACGATCAGTGAAGGAAGAATGGCGAGATTGGTTGATCTGAAAATTGCCGATTTAAAAAGAGAGCTGGAGGAGAGAGAGTGCGGCACGTCTATAAAGGAAGCGGAATTGCAAGAGTGGCTTCGTAAAGCACTGATTGAGGAAGGCGAGGACCCGGATATTTTCATTTTTACCGGTGCAGGGGATATTGGTTTAATGCTGCAAATCCTTTCGATCAAGTTATAAAACAAGCACGTGGAAAATTAAGCCAATCTTTTAGAAAAATCGGCCAAGTTAGAAAATAGGCTCGTGGGAAATTGTGCCAACCTAGAAGGAAAACTCGTGGAAAATTATGCCAATCGAGAAGAAAAACTCTTGGACTCACACGAAAGTACATCCAAACTAGAAGAGACATTTTTGGAAAATACCGCCAATTTTAAAAAAGAATTGGAAGATAAAATTATGGAAAATCTTGCGAGTTGGAGAAACGCATTTTAGAAACTATAGAGGACAGAATTCAAGAAGTTCAAAGCAAGTTTGCCGCTTTAGACGTCAATACCATCGACGAACGACAGCGTGGACTTCCGTTGGAAAAATCAGGTTGGATCTTCTGTTGGGTCAGCTGGTCATCTGCCAATGAAACCGCCGCAATTTGATGGTACAACGCCTAGGAATGTCTACTGGCGTCAATTTGATGCAGCCGCGAATGCAAATGGTTGGTCATCGACGGAAAAGGCAACTACATTCACTTTGGCCCTGCGAGGAGATGCTGCAGCTATTCTTCAAAGAATATCACCCGAAGAGCAATATGTCTACTAACAGCTAGTAGGACATTTGGAGATGCGATACAGCCAATTACATCTAGAACATGTCTACCATACTCATTTAAAGAATCGGTTCCAGAGGTCAGGCGATTCCTTGCAGGAATTCGAAGCGGATATTGCGCGGTTGGTACGATTAGCATACCCCGATGTTCAGGAAAATGATAATGGAGCGATTGGCAGCTCAAGCATTCCTGGATGAACTTCATGATGGTGAAATGAGGCAAGCCACACTACTAGCACACCCACCTAAGCTAGTAGATGCGCTAGCTCGGGCCTTAGATTTCGAGGCCGCTAAAAACACAAATTTTCAACAGGTCCGAGTTTGCTAGATGGTACCAGGAGATAACGAGTTCGAAGAGTCCGTCAAGCGCGTTGTTAAGGAACTTGATGGTGAACGTCGCCGCCAGAACAGCAAGTTGGAATGTTGGAAATGTGGAAAAATAGGGCAGGTTAGGAGACGCTGTCCTTAAGGTGCTAGTCCTCATCCGGCCAGTCCGGAAAACTAAAGGAGGTCGATGTGAAGGGGCTATCGTCGACCTGTAGCCAACAAGTTCCATCAGTTAATACCGCCCAAGTCTCCTCGCTTTAGACTTTAAGACCCTTGTTAGTGAAAATAATCAGACCCTGACTTGACATTCCACATTGCCGCCAACTAGATGTCTAACCAGATTTTATGTAATGAGAAAATTTCTTAGAAACCAGCTCCAAAAATATTTTGTTCTCGAAAACTATGCAAGATGGCCTGTTTCTATGAAAAGTAAAACATTAAGTAGGTAGAAGGATCTTTTGAATAAAAAAAATTATTGTATTAAAATTTATATCGGGGTGGGGGTAGTTGTCACCCTTCTCGAACCCTTTTGGTTTTTTTTGTAAAAAATATTTGCAAAAAAATGTTTTATTTTGAGTCTAAAAATACGTGGTGTTTCTACGTCCACGGAATATTTGGACACCCTTTATGAGAATATTACTAATAACATGATCTATGTTATTTCCGTTTATGGTTCTTGGAAACCCTATAATCAGCTCAAGATCTTCATTCTCACTCGAATCTGTTCCAAGGTCATCGTCATCGTCACCTACTTTGTGAGTATGAGTATAAGAATGAGAATAACAAGTGTAATAGCGTTTAAGACTTGGGTGCTATCAAATTCGAAGTTTTTGTTCTTTCTCATAACCGTAAATGTTAGAACCAGTTCGGAATCAATATGGAATTTCTTGGAACAGGGAACTGCGAAATACCGAATTAGTTCCATATTCTGTTGGGACGTTCAGTTCAGAACTTATTTCCCCCGATCTGTCTGTCTGTCGGCCTGTAGGTCTGTCGGTGTGCCCGCTAATCTTTTGACCGCCTATAACTTGGAAAGTACTGCTAGGTCACTACTATGCCGAGGACGAAGAAGCTTTGTAGTTTTCGAAAATCAAATCAGCGGCGATCGAGCTACGGGCAAAAACATGAGAAAAATAAAAACCGCTCAAAATTCATTTGAGAGGCTCCTCATCGTTTCCAGAAAAAAAATTATAAGTGTAGAAAATCGGTGTTGGAGGGTTATATGGGGTGAGGGAAAGTATATCTCATTTTGTTGGAGGCACTGTACTTATATGCTTACAACCACAGTAACTTTACACACCTATCAGTACATACTTCACACACCTTGCTTATGACGTGTTTGACTGGTGTGGTCCAGCAGCGTTGTCAGATGGTCAATACTTAGGGTAGTGAAGAAACTATCGCTAGAGTTATCAAATGAATGTGGACTATGGAGTATGTACTAATTGTGTATAGAGCTGTTTGGCCGACTTGGCCCATGCTTTTATATACATGTTTATAGCTAGCTCACAGGGATTAACATAATCCTTTATGAACTAGTGACTGCTTGGCGTGGGAAGTGCAGACTCAACCTAATTCATATCATTTTTTACTGGGAGTCCTATTTTCTTTGCCACTGAGTATATTTCTTGATTCCAGACACCGCAGCTGGAGACGTTGGTCTTACAATCAGCAAAGCGACGTCACTGGCCATGATTATCCAGATGGCGCTCATGCAGTGGGCAGAAATCGAGAATCTCATGACCTCCGTGGAACGAGTACTCGAATATACAAAGCTGGAGGTCGAGAATAAGAGTGGTCTCGAAATCGACAACTGGCCCAACAAAGGCGAGATCACTTACGTAAATGTTAACCTGAACTACGCTAAAACTAAGGAGAGGGTGTTGAAGAATATCAGTTTTAGTGTCAAGTCGAAGCAGAAAATCGGCATCGTTGGAAGGACTGGGGCAGGGAAGTCCAGTATCATAGCAACTTTGTTCAGGTATGTTCAGGGTGATATAATATTTATAAAGTTCTACGCCCACTAAGGCGAAGCCACGCGAAAAGAACCTCAGCGACATTTATCATTTGCAGGCGTTAAAGACATACGTCACTTTGCATGGGTTCCTGCGGAAGGCAAAAAAAACTTGTTGGAATTTAAAATTTGCACATTTAGCATGCTTTTATGTGCCATTTTGGAGATTTTTAGAATACGACCTGAAAAGTTTTGCCATATCCACCTCTTCAAAAAGGTTTGGGGGCAGATACACTTTCACAAAATGTTAGTTCTTCCGTGTCGATGACCACAATTAGCGTGCACTCTAATCCTGATTGGAACAGACAAAAACAGGGTCATCAAAAAATTGGTCAATTATTTTTGAATAGATTATAGGAGATCCGGCAATACGGTTTTCGTGTACTTAGCCTGCTATAAGAATCAACACATTATTGCTTATTCTGCAAGTGTTGTAATGCAAGAAAATGATGAGATTCGTAAAGGTGGTTCGTTCCAATAAAAAAAAAATGATACAGGTAAAGCATTATTCCGAGTAGTAATAGCAAATTATTAAGCCCGAAAAGTACATGTCAGATGTCAAATTATAACTTATTCCTACCTGTTCCAAAGTGAGTACGGTTGCGGGATGTCAAAAAGTTCCAAATTCCTTTTGATTATATCATTGAAGCGTATTCTCATAAATATACAGGGTGGCCAATACAGGGTGACTTCGAAGTTGAGTCATTTATTTTAACAGTGAGTAGATCTGATCAAAAGAAATGTTTTTTCCTTTAACATTTTTGTGGTAAAATTAAAGTAACAAAGCTATAGCCCTTTAGAAGTTTGAGTACCGCCCTGTCTCAATAATAATATTATGTACTCGTGTTTGGCAACAACGGATATAATCCGCCTTATCGGTTCATCGCATCGGAAACAAAAAAGCGAAAGAATTTGAAACGCTTATCACGATGTTCTTACTACAATTTTATTCAGTTGTATTCAGTCAATGTGTTAGTCGGTAACGCGTGAGTGAATAGTGGTGTTTGTTGCGTGGCTCAAACGAAATAAAAAATAGCACATGTTTACGAAAATGCTGAACTTGTGGACATGATTCTTATTTACGGGGGGGAATTCTTTACAAAATGCTGCCGCGGCATCACGGATTTATGCGGATCGGTTTCCCAATCGAGTGCAACCAACCCCTCGTGCCTTTGTTAATGTAGTACAAAGGGCTCGTGAATCAGGTGACTTAAGACCTCACAGGGGAGGGCATGCCGGTGCTCCAAGACCACACGATCAAATACAGGTGCGCACTAAAATACTTGTCGGGAGGATACTTTATAAAACAAGGTAACATTTTTTTTATTTTTTTTTTATTTTTACACACATATTTTGGTTTATCTTCCTTCTACAATCATTATCTGAAAATTAATGACTCGACTTCAAAGTCACCCTGTATATAACTGACTGACATAAATTGCGTGCAATTTTGGATACACGGATTTCAGGAGGTGGCGCCGTAGTAGTTGTTTAAAGCACATCTGTCCAATTCATCATGGAGCGCTACAAGATCCCACAACACGTCAGTATTGTTAAAACGTTTTAATTATATAATGAGGCGATTGTTGCAACGATTCGGATTCGTATACTCCGGAAAATATTCCGTGAAAGTGTAGTCGAGCACCCTGAGACGTCTACCAGACATCGTTCTCAAGAACTGGGTATCGACTTATCGACGATACAAAATTCAGTTAATCTAAGAACTACAGCAGCTTAATACCCAAAATAACGATTTTTACCGACAACTGATAATGAGCGATGAAGCCCACTTCGATATGAACGGATTTGTAAATAAGCAGAATTGTCCTATCTCGGGATTAGAGAACTCTCGTGTCATCCATCAACGACCAACTACTTCCTCGTCGAGTCACAGTTTGGTGCGGTGTTTGGTATGGAGGTGTCATTGGACCTTACTTCTTTGAAGACGCTGCAGGTAATTCTCTTACTGTCACTGGCGAGCGCTACCGTGATGGTGCAAAAATTTCTGGCTCCTTAAATCCAACAATTTGACTTGTAAAACATGTGGTTACAGCAGTACGGAGCAGCTTGTCACACAGCAAGGGAAACAATTAATATTTCCGGGACGTTTAATTTCTCGATTTGGTGGTGTCAACTGGTCAATAAGGTCACCGGATTTAACGGCTCCTGACTTGTTTTATGGGGATTTTTGAAAAATAGGGCTTATGCCAACAAACCGAATACTGTAGAGTATCTGAAGAACAATATTACGGAAGCGATTGAAAATTCCTCCTAAAACCTACAAAAAAGTGATGGAAAATGTAATCCAGGGGGCTCAGGCTTGCGCGGCTTCTAGAGGCGGACATTTGTCTGATATTATTTTTTATACATAATTTCTAAGTTTCAATAAAAGAGTAAGATGGAAAATATGGACGTATTTTATTTCATTTCACAAATATTCAAGATGTAAACCAGTCAGTTACATATCGGCCACCCTGTACTTTTTTGCTACAAAAAAGGAAAAAACTGGGTGGGCCAAGAACGTAAGCCACTGAAATCGAATCCGGTGCCGATTCAATCCAACAAGATCCCGTACGATAGGAATACAAAAAAAATGCATATCTGTAATATACCGAATCCGATGTCAATATAGTTCTGGAAGTAATGAGTGACACCTCGCGGGTACTATAACTGTCTAATCAATAAGTTCTTTTGTAGGTTATACAATTTTGAAGGTCAGATCTACATCGACGACGTAGAGACGAAGACGCTAGCTCTGAAATTCCTCAGACAGCACATTTCAATCATTCCTCAAGATCCTATAATGTTTTCTGGTACAATTCGCGCTAACATTGATCCGTTGGGCGAATTTACAGATGAAGAAATTTGGAAAACTCTTCACAAAGTCCACCTGGATGCTTACATTCCTGAACTTGAATGTAGGATGGAGGACACCAATTTTAGGTGAGATGATTTTCAAGGTGCAAGGATGTTCTACTACATATTTTGTTTTCAAATAAATCGGATAACTTTGGAAAAATATCATATTCGGTTATAGGTGTAATATCAGAATGATGGAGTTATGTTTTATAGATGATATTTTCCAAATACCTCCTTTGACGCTTTCTGCAGATCACCATTCTTCTACTAACATTTTCAGTGACCTTTTGGCACAATCTCGCCTTAGGATCATCACTAACTTGAAGGTCATTAATCGTCTGCGATTTGTTTGAATAGAAGTAGCGGAACTATGTTTATTCTGGAATCAAAATGTCTTTAAGCTAACATTGAAAAAATGTTCACGCCAACAGTGCGTGATGTTAGGTAGCACATTCTACAAAGGAATAGTCATATGTCGCAGGCAGTCATCATTTACGGTAGCTTTTGTATAAAAGCCGCAATCATATTTAATAACGTATTCCAGTGAAAATAAAATGTGTGACCCAGAGTGCAGACGTTCTAAAATTTATCTGACATCACCAAACCACATGTCTACGAAAGGTTGGGAAATCTCTAAACTGGAGATCCTACAGATCAAAATATGTTAATTGACCTAAACATGCCTCAGTCCAAAAGATGATAGTTTGCGAGATACAGGCTGTCAAAGTTACAATTTTGATTGGTATTTAAGAGCTTTGCATAAAACTCGGTATAGGGAGGTTTTCTAGTATGAGAAACAAGAATCCGTTATTTTTTATGACCAAACTTCTAGAGGGCACCACTTAGAGCACTATTTCGGTAAATAACTTATAACCTGTTTTGAACTACCCTGCATACAACAAAATCTTATTTTCTCGTATTCCCACAACAAAAAAGGGTTACTTGTTAGAAGTGTCTAAAGCTTATAGTTTTCGAGATATTTAAGTTCCAATGCATTATTTGTACCATGATGATAAAACATTTTTATAACATAATAATCAAGTTGCTTTGGATAAAATCATAATATTGCTTTGAACTTCATGGATAATTTTAAGTTGACAATAAGTTGTTAATCATCATGGAGTATTCTTTTTTTTATACTCCAAGTACCACAAAGGCCTAAGGCCTAAACACCCATTGGGTACCGTGGGGCTATAGGGGGATACAGGGAAAATGGCGAACGTCACATGGACTCTGGCGAGGGAACACAGCATGCACACATTCTGGGTCCGCCTACGAGATCCGCCGGGTGGTACCTCCGCGTTCGATAGTCAGAGACCCTGTACCGCCTACGGACAATCACAACATCCATAGCCAAGGGAAAAACTTCTCCTGGGACGGTATTCGAACCCGCACAGCACACGGCGATTGATCTGGAGACCGAAGAGTCTACTACAGCAGCCACCACTGCTGCCTAGTTTAATAAATATTCTGGTATGCGTTTAATGTACGGATTGGCAAGCTGTAATGCTTTGAAAGCACGAAGATTGTACGCTGTCAAATAGACACCTGCCTAATTCAAAGACTTTCCAACGAATCGTTCAGCAATTACGAGAAACTGGTAAGAAATGAGTAAGAAATGAGTATAGCCTTATTTTGAGTAGTAAAAACCATTTGGGTTTTAGACAGTTTTGCTCAAAATATGGCCCGACATAGTGGAGCTCCCGGAACTGTGCGTACAGCTGAAGTTGAAGAAAATGTTTTTGATGCTGTCTTTGAAAATCCTACAGTTGGAGCTAGGAATGTAGCTGGAGAATTTCAAGTTTCCAAATGTACAGTAAATACAATTTTTCAAGAGCAGCTGCTCCATCCATACCACCTGCAAAAAGTACATGGTTTAAGCACGGATGATGAACCCGCAAGGGTAGAATTTTGTACAAGGCTCTTAAGAAAGTTTAACCAGGACAGTGGTTTTACTTCGTAATTATTATTTTCGGACGAATCAGGATTAGGAAGGGATGGGCCCATAACTCGCATAATCTTCACATTTATGCAGACGAAAATCCTCATGCAATAATACAAACCCGCCACCAAGTACAATTTTAAATTACATGAATATGTGGTTTATGCACGACGGCGCTCCACCTCATTTTAGCGTATTAGCTAGAGAGCACCTAAATGGAGTTGATCCAGACCAGTGGTTAGACCTATCAGGACCTGTATGGTGGCCGGCTAGATCACTAGATTTTAATCCTATGGATTTCTCCTTCTTGGGTGATTTAAAACGAGGCGTTTACAATACGCCAGCGAAAATTGTAGATGATATTCGACAAAGAATTTTTCACCATAGCCAGGAAATGAAAAATAACATCCAAATTCTTTGGAGAGTGCAGCAAGGATTAGTTCGTCGAGCTCGAGAGTGTGTTAGGCAAGGTGGTGCTCATTTTGAACAATATTTGTAGTTACTGTTTCCGTTTATTAGTCTTGTTGCCATTCTCATTTGGTATTGTTAAAAACCATAGCACCGCTACTCAGATATTACCCAAAGCAACTTGATTATTATGTAATAAAAATCTGTTATCATCATGATACAAATAATGCATTGGAATCTGTAAAAACAAATATCTCGAAAACTATTAGCTTTAGGCACTTCTAACAAGTAAACCATTTTGTTGTGGAAATACGAAAAAATAAGACTTTTTACTCAGTTGCTGTATACAGGCTAGCACAAAAAAGTTATGATGAGTTATTTACCAAAATAGTGCTGTAAGTGGCGCGCTCTAGAAGTTTGGTCATGAAAAATAACGGATCAACTTTTGGACTTAGGTATGATTAAGTCAATTCACATACTTTGGTCTGTAGTATCTCCAGTTTTGAAAATTTTCAACCTCTCGCAGACACCCTGTATATAGCGAATAGTAACGTCCCTAATTCACTCCCTTGTGACACCCGTACTGCGCTTGACATAATTTTACCAATTTTAGTTTAAAACCAAAGTAATATAATTCCATTAAAAATGTTCCCTATCTACAGTCTCAAATGCCCTTTTAAAGTATAAACATACTGTTACCGTACACTCTTTCTCTTCTATACTTCTTCTCCAGTCTTCCACCACCATTTGGATTGCTGTTTCTGTGAAATATGTTTTTCTAAGTCAAAATTCAATGAATTTAATGATTTTTGCATATATTATCCCTTCGAACAGCTTTACGACATATACTATTTTCTTGACCATAGCGTATCTCACATATTTATACATATTATCTGTAATTTGTTCGAAGTAGTTGTCGGAATTATTGATAATTCCAGGTATATTGGGTTATAAAAGGGTTTCTCGTAACTTTTTGAAATCGATTACTGTAATTTCCGTCATTCAACTTTGATTGAACATATTTTCCACGACGAAACATATTCATGAGTGATTACTTATTTTTAGAGCAAATTTTTTTTTGTTCTTGAAAAGTCGTAATCCTTGTATAGTGATTTATTTTCTGTCATAAGCTATGGAGGCTTAGCACCTGTTTAAATTTTCTAACATAAACTAACAAACATTGAAGTCTCCTAAATGTACATTTGAGCAATTCTTGTAATAATGTTTTTCACACATAGTTTCAAAAAACTCAATAAATCGATTAACGCTTCCACTTGGAGATCGGTCACAAATATACTGATTGTAATTTTGTTGTATCATCATTTCCAGATTAATGTACCACCATTGATATTCGACAACTTCAATGTTCTGTACATGGATTTCAATACTATATAGTATATATACAAATATACCACCTGTATGCTTCGAAACAGTGTTTACTCTCACCGTGAATATCGATCTCTCCCTCTCAATGAGCCGTATTCATAAAACAAAGGATATCCTTGTACTTGCAAATTTTGAAGGAAATCCTCGAGATGGTATTTATAATAATTTGAAGTAAATGTTTTTGCTTTTTGAGTATAAGCATAGCCTTCAAAGCAGTAACATAAGTACAAGGATATCCATAATCTTCACCTTATACTTGGCATAGGAAGCATATCCTTCAAAAATTCTGAGTGTGGTCAGTAGCAGACTGAACTTTGTAACGAAAGGTGGTCAAACGATGATGGCTGAAATTGTGGATGTTAGGGATGTTAAAACGAATATTTGCCGCGTAAAGTTAGAAAATGTGCCGAAAATAATTATTGCTTGTATTGTACTCCATAATGTTGCGAAGAGCTTGGGCGATCCTGACATTGAGTTAGTTGAACAAGACCCAGATGAAGATGAAGGAAATCATTCGAATGGCGAACTTCCTCTCCGCCAACTAGGTCTACAAATAAGAAGAAGCTTGAGTATTATAATAAATAGTTTTACAGGTTAAAGTGTATTTATAAGTTTTAATAAGTTTTATTTTCGTGAACATCAGGTGGCTTCTGACGCTGCATCATTTCGTTTTATAATACTCTTGTTGTAAAATACTTGTTTGGTACTGCTGTAATAGCACTAGACGTTGCAGTTGTTTTGTAGTTATCCCTTTGGTTTCCTCAGTTTCGTATTTCTCTGTTGTTAATTTTCTTTTTGGTTGCAATGTCTTCTGAATTGCTGGCGCTGTAATACTGTTTGCTCACTGCGCTCGGTATATAGTTCACGTCCTTCTTCTTGAACACTAACAACTTGAATGGCACCTCTAATTTTCCCAAAAGTAGGATTACAGTCACCTTCCATAGCTTTCAGCAACTTTCTTTCTCAATCTAACAATTTAATTGCTTTATTACCAGTTTTTTTAGATCTGTTTTTTTTTTCTTCAATTTTGATTTCATGTTGATGATTTTTTTAATAAGCCTTTATTATCTAATGGTTTACCGAATGTTGATTCGTATTTTTTCAACATTTTTTTCAAGGCATCGTCCTTTCTCATTTTTATTTTTGTAACTTGTGACTTATGCAATATAATGTGAGAAATGGCAATTTCATCTGCGATGAACTGCAGGTCATTGCCATTATTTTCTATAGTTTCCTCATCACTTGAGGAATTAATCTGATAAAAAACTGTATCCAGTCAAAATACTTAACGGTCTGTGTAAGCTCTTGAGTACAACTGTCAGTGATGCTGAGAGAACGAGCTCCCACGTCTACTACAAGCTGGAATAAGTCAGGACATGTCGCTCAAGATACAAATACCAGTCAACCTTTTACTTCTTCTTGGAGGATGTCCTCGCGAGTATAAGGTAATCATTATGAATATAAAAACAAGGATATGCTTATACCTTTTTCTCCGAAGCAAGACCCTATACTTTTACCTTATGCGTCCGAGGAAATGCTTCTCATTCATGAATACGGCTCAATATCTTATGTTATATGTGTTTCTGTTAAACAAGGGATTAGTGGTTTCTCCGACACCAAGAAGTTTAAAATCTCATCGTTATGTGACAAAAAGCCTTGAATGTTTAATGTTAGACCAACGACTTTGTCCGGTTAAGTGCAGGTAAACATGGGCGGAGCGAACATTTTGTCAATGAGGAGCTTACAGTCGTTTAGATTTCAGAATTAACACAGTTCCTCTACTACAGTTGTAGTCACCGTTCTTGGCGTTACGTCATCAACGCCATATGAAATAAGTAAACAGATCGAGTCACCCTGCCATGGACAGATCAATCTTCAACGAATCTGCTACTCTCTCCAGTACGCATGAAGTGAGTAACAGGGCACCGCTGTTTTCATTCTTTTCCTGGAAATACTCTAATAAATTTAGAACGAGCTGTCGGCCTTTTCCATTAATCGTATTTCCGGGCACTGTACAATTTTGTATTGAAGATTGATAATAGGGCAACTGAAATTGCACGCCGATGTCAACTAAGTTGTCACTCTGACAAATATTAATAAAGGACACTCATATGTAACGAGAAAGTTTTCGTGATAAACAACTAGAAAACGTATGTCTTTGAGCTTACCGAACAAAGTTCACACACAGGGGCACGTTGCATGTGTATGTATGAGGGAGATGGAAATATATAAAGGAATAATGGTAGTCTTATTTTGACCCGCTAAGAACGGTGCCTACAACTATAATAGACTTTATCCTCGATGACTCTGCCAATAACACCTATACTTTCTGATGTATTATGTTTCTGTTAGAGAACACATCCCCAAGCAGCATAAATGGGATGCTACTGTTAATGTGGTGTGTCTTTGAGTAAGGTGCACTGCGCGCGCACGTACACAAAGACGCGCCGCGTAGGTAGTGGCGTACCGAAGTACTATTTCCATTTTGATATATATAATAAATGTTTGAAAACAATGACTTTAGCACTGGGCAGAGGCAACTGATTTGTTTAGCAAGAGCCATCATAAGGAAAAACAGAATCGTAGTTTTAGACGAAGCTACTGCGAATATGGACCCAGAAACAGAATTTTTAATACAAAAGACAATAGTTGAGAACTTTTCTTCTGCGACAGTATTCATAATAGCCCACAGACTACAGTCAATTTTAGACTGTCACAAGGTAAATAATCAAATTTCTTACTTGATTCACATACGAGTATAGGTAAACAAACCTTACATATTTGCAACATGTTGCTCAAAGACGTCTTTCAGTTACCTTCTACAAAGTTATAATCACAAATACCCAAATGGGTTCTTTATTGACAATTTTAAGCCTGGTTGGGTGAGGCTTGTAGAGAAATACAGAAAATTCTTAACTTTTTTCAGGTAATGGTTATGGATAAAGGGGAAATAATCGAGTTTGAAGATCCACTAGTGTTGATGGAAGACAAAAATAGTGTGTTCACTCAAATGTTAAAAAATGCAGGTTTGGATGTAACAAAGACATCAGATGAAAAAAAGGAAGCAAATTGAAACCATAGTTTCTAAAACAAGTGCACATCGAATAAAAATATTGAAGTTACATTGTTAGATCTGGGAAAGCAATAAATACATTTTAATAAAGAAAATAATACAAGAATTAACAGTTTTGTCCCAATATCAAAAATGTTTTGTGCAGGTTGAATATTATTGCTTTTACAGATATTCTGAAGAGTCTGTCAGTTTTTATACACTTCCTTGTATTTATTGAACATTTTTGATTAATTATTGTGTCAAATATTGTACAAAGAAATAAAACAACAGTATTTTATTAAATAAATATATTTTATAACATCTCAGCCCACATTTATTTATAATTTGGTCAATATATATTATTTGTCCACGTTTTCCCAAAGATATACAGTGCATATGCAAACAATAATATACACTTACATTCAGTAAAAGTGAATATGATAGGCCAATCGGTTATATAAACTAAAGAATTCATTTCAACTCCTTGAATTTACATTAGGTTCAGAATAAATATATCAAAGTTCCAACTTCCAACAGTAAACTATGCCTTTCAATACCATATGGCATAGATCGCAAATACTAGATATGTGAAAGAAATAACAGGGATTTTTAAAATGCGGCGCAACGAAGTGTCTTAGTGTAGTGCGGTTGGCAACACTGTGTTCGTCATAATTTCCCGCAATAACTACCATCTACGGATTCTGCTTGATTGTTTTTTGATTGCATGTTGTTTCAGCCTTAGTGGCGATTTTTACAATGTGCTATTTTCAGGAGCAGCGATGCACCGTGATGTTTTGCGTGAAATTGAGAAGAAATTTTTACCGAAACCTTTGACCCTCTGCAATAGGTTGATGGAGGTGATGCTATAAGTTATACAGGAGGTTACGAACGGTTTTGCCGATTCAAAAGCGGTCGTCAGGTAGTTGAGGATGATCCTCGATACTCGCATTCAGAAAATATGTCATCTGGTGCCTGCAAATCGTCGACTGAACGTCAGAGACCTATCAGGAGATATGGGATCTCAATGGGGTCGAGTCATAAAATTCTGACCGAGAAAGTGAACATGCTCGTTTGATGACTGAAATGTCGAAAGAAAATCGAGTAGAAGTTTGGCAGAAACTCCTTCACAATCTGTTACGGATTCCAAATATTTGGTGTACGGATCGAAACAAAAGTTGAATCATCCCAGCGCAAAAATCAAGACAGCAAAACAGCAAGACACTCTTGATCCAATGTGAAGATTTTCTTTCCATGTCAATGGAACTGTGTATTTGGAATTTTTGCCTAAGCAGTCAACCATCACTACTATGAAAACAGGCCCAAGTCAAAAAGTAGTTATACCAAGAGAAGACAGTAGACAATGCCAATAAACTAGAGAGGGACAGGTTACGAATACGAGTATGTAACAAAAAACCACAAAACAGCTGATAGCGTCTCAACAAGAGATGTTACTATTTGGTCAAAGATGGATGCAGTGTTGTCAGATAGATAATCCTTCTTGTATTAATGTGTTGTCCATCATGTGAAAAATTTTTTTGTTGAAATTTACTTTTGTTTGGGCATTTATACATGATGAGAATATTGATCAACCGTTTGCAGCCTACGATATATTTCAAACAAACAAAAAATCATAGATGAAAAGCAGCTGGTTGTTATTATCTTACTGTTAACTCTCATGCTGTAAACAAACAGCCTCACATGTTGGATGAGAGTTTGGATTAAGAAAAAAATTACAATATAATTGAATAATTATTAGAACTAGAACGGAAGATCACTATGTTATAAAAACTTTCTTCGAATGACCGCTGCTGATTTTCGCTATTTGCTGAAAAAATTAAAGTTTGCAATAGAAAAACAAGGCACACATATGCTAAATGCAATTCTAGCAGCTAAGCGGTTTTCGTCCATGGCTGATTTTCTCAGATTTCAAATTTCAAATTGGGATAACATTCATATAACTCTACTATCATGTTCTAGTCCAGTTGAAACTAGAATTCTTACATTTTAAAGCCCTTTTTTCACTTGGTTCAATCAATTCCGTAAACACATTAAAGAAGATTAAACTCTCATGAGACATTGTTTCAGGAGATTATCTCGTTCCTCAAAGGAATAATACTTTTCGTGAGATTTTTATTTCGCGAGACAAAAATATCACGACAAAATCTCGTTGTGGATCCGCAACTTAAGACGATATGTTTACTCTTTTCGTATGTCACCGCATCGGTAAATGCAGAGTCACGTATGAGCGAAACACACGCGGATCCTAAGCAGCATGTCTATCCATCTATGAGCGAATCAACAAACTAAGGACGATCGACTCAAAGATTTTTGTAAGCCAGTAATTGTCCAAGATCCGACAGCAAAGTTTTACTCACATCACAAACTGATATGATATGTTAAAAAGGCAAACATTACCTATGTTGATGCTAAACATCAAACCAGCCGAGTTTGGTGCTTAGCTGCAGATTATAAGGACATTTCACGAAGTTTCTTTCTTGATATAAGCACTCTTTGCCAAACTTGTGGCGAGGCAACTTACGGTAACTTGAGCCTTGATAATTAGCCAATTTTGTTTCGGAAATCTAATTACTGTTCTCCCTCAACCTCCCCACTTGCCAGATCTAGCTCCTTGTGATTTTTTCTCTAAATTGTAATCAGTTCTGAAAGGGAGCCGTTTCGACGCCATTGATAACATTAAAACAAATTCGTCATAGGCATTGCAGAACATCCCAAGATAAGCTTACTAGGACTGTTCTGGAAAGTAAAGACACGCTGGAAAAAGTATGTGAATAGAGGAGGGGACGACGAGAGTACTTTGAAGGTAACAAGAACCAAGAGCGTGTAAATTTAAAAAAAATAAAGAAGCTCCGTTAGTTTTAGAACAACCTCTTATTTTTTTGAGTATAATTGAACCTTTTTTACGTAATCCATCAATTAGAGAAGGACCTATCATATCCATTATGTCAAAACAGCATCGAGATGAATATAGTCAAGATTACTTGGATATTGTATTTATAGTTATATTAGACTGCCAAATACTCAACAGATCTGTATGAACATTGACCGCATTGAATGATTGAAAACCCCAAGCTAAATAATAATGCCATTTGAAATTGAATCATGTCAAATTCATTTTGCCAGTTTGACAACTAAACTATATATTTCGAATTATTTTATAACGACTCAGAAATAATTGTAATTTTCAGTATAGATCCTCATGTAATTTTCCTTCTTGAATACCCCCATTAATCGACATGATGTTTGAAAACAGCTTTTAATTTTAATAAAAAGAAGACATTTGTACCTTACTCCCCTCGGATGGACCAGTCCAAACCAAATCTGCTGGATATTCGTTAATTTGAACTTGTCAGTTTGACACCAGGTAACCAAATATTTCAAGGTATTTGTAAAATGAGTTGGAATTGTTATGATCGAGATGTAAAATCGATATTTTTGTTATATAAAGTGTTAGTAGTAAAACATGATCTATACATACCTCATTTGAGAAGGCCATTACTAATCTCACCTAATAATGGCCCACTTCAAAATATGGCAGGTAATATACTTTTTACTTCAAAGTACTCATCTTCAAAAAATATTGTGTGATACTATCTGTTTTTATTACCATGTGTGTTAACCAAATTCCTTGTAGTTTGTTTGTACCTTGCCAGACTAAATATACATAGATATAAAATATACCAAGCATTCTTGTCATTTTCCCTCAAATAACATAATGACACACCATTTACCTCTGGTAAACATAGAGGCACAAAGACACTTAAAAAAAACATGAAAAAGTAATGAGAAACATTTCTACACCAAAAACCAGACAACCTTCCTTGAGTGATGTTTATACCAAATCTACTACAGTGTCCTAAAATTCAAAATATACACAGATTACGAATTATAAGGAAAAAATAAAGTCGAATATTAGCTCTAAGTGCCTCATATGTTGAAGAACAACAAATAATATTAATAACAATCATATGAAGCTATAAATCATCATACGTACAACCCATCAATTGCGAAGGTTATTTATCAAAAACTATAAAATACAACAAAGTCAAAAACATTGCAAACACCAAATATATGTATATGTAGATGTCTAACAACAAGCCATAGTTATAGAGTAATTTTTGTCACTGACAATTTTCATAAATTCATGTGAATTTATATATTTTCACGTCATTTTCATGAAAATAATCGGTGTTTGACATTAAAAAAGTTATAACCACTGTTGCGCACATAAAATAAGGTGATCGGTATGGGCGGAATTATGGACATTTTCCTTGGTTCTTTGACCATGGTGGGAACTAGACGTTACAATTTCGAGTGTTATTCTCAACTGGTCATAATAGTGCATCGAATACTGTGGTGTATGTAAGGAAACTAAGGATATTCAAATAGAACATCACTAGATCATTACACCGCTATTGGTAATCTGCAAGGGACACCATTGGGGTAGTAAGGGAGCAAATTTATTTGTGAATATTTGTGCCGCATGGTAATACTGTTGAAAAATTGATCAATGAATTCCTGATATACAGATTTAGGACTTCCAAATTAAATTAAGAAATGGCCCCATTTTATAAAATGGGTACTATAAGTACCCACTTTAGATCTTGAGTTTAACTAAGAACATTTTTGCTACAATGTTTATGTGTAATATATTTTTAGTTTAATTTGGAAGTCCTAAGTTTTTTTCTAATATATTCATCGTTCTTGAACATCTATTAGTTCCCCTAATTTTCTCATGATAGTGTTTATATGCTCCTATTTTTTCACACATAATACCGATGATTTCTTTCCTAATACTGCTTATTATCATTTACTGAGCACTAAACATCACATCAAAAAGATCATTATCAACATGTCTCTTCTAATAGCTCTACAAAAATTAGAGATAGATATTTCAAATGTTCATCCCTGTTTTGTTACAACCTCATTTAAAAATATTGCTCATGTATAATAGTCATATGTAATTTTTGAGATCTAATTTAATTATTATGAATTTTATAATAAATTTTCATCTTATACGCAATAACAATTTACTAAAAAGAAATGTAACTTAAATCATAAACGAGATATGTAGATAGTAGTTACAGCAAGTGTAGTGTCAAAGATTGTCGGTGGACTATTTTAGCCTTCAGCATTAAAAATATGTCAAAAAGTTTTGTTATTCTAAACCCGTAAAGTAAACCTTTAGGACAGTTTATAATGTGGAGAAAAATAATACGTCAAAACTGCGTAACGAATATATCGTTGTATCATTTTGCGAAGTTAATGTTCCAAAGAAATCCTAAAGGTATTTAATAAACATTTCACATGTCAAAGAGCTTTACAATATTATCGGTTATAATTTTATTATTATTTGACAAATAATATTTAAATGTTTCGCCTATTCGTTTTTTATCAGACATAATTGTATTCATAACCAAAACAGGTCTTTGTAGAATAGTTGTGTTATTAAACGAGTCGAAAACTTCGCATTTGTGAGAGAAATTTTCCAGCTCGATTTTGCTTCCCACGAAACTAGTGAAGAAGTATTGTAATCGCGTAAACTTTCAAAAATGAATTATTATGTTGTTTGGATGTCATATGGAATGTTCAACATAAATAACCAGGTCACTCATTTTCGTCAGTCTATCTGTCTATCGGTCTGTCTGTCATTCTGCCTGTTTGTCGATTTGTTGTTGTTGGTCTGTCCGCTAATTCTTGGCCTCTCTATAATTTTTTGGAAGGCACCGGTCGGATTCTGATGAACAAAAGGTTAATAATATGCTACACAAAACGATCCAGTGGCGGCGGAGCTGGGAGCAAAAAAACGAAAAAAATAAAAATGGCTCAAGCTCCTGATCACTTTGAGAAACATTTTTGTATGGGCTGAAATTTGGGGGTTGGGGATATTAGGGCTTATGAATGGTTCTCTGATTTGCTTGTCATGCAAATCGCACGACTTGCCGGAACAACTTAAATCGTAAAGCAATAGGGAATATGTGTGGTGTCAAGTCGTCCGTTTTCCCCTGTCGTGTTCCGTCAATTGGTTGACATGAGTAAAATCAACGGAATGTTGATTTTTTGCACGTACACCAACATGCATGAAGGAAGGACTATGTGTATTCTATTTACGATTTGCGAAAACGGATAATTTGAGATTGATTGTTTATGGTGGATGAAAAGTAAGCATTATTTGAATAAACAATAATCTATCTTCGATTTCTAAACCTGCAACATAAATCGGAATGTCTGTCGGCATATAGTCTTCCGTCTTGGTTGATGACAAAACGTTGGATATCACAAATCCTCACCCTCAAGCAAATCTATATTTTACTTGAGGTCTATGAGGTTCATTAGACACAATATCACACATTTGGGCATTATGTATTGATACCAAGGCCTAAGAGAGTTTCATCTATTCACAGCGTCGAATATAAAGATACCAGAGTGGCAAAAGTTTATTTAGATACTATACATGCTACATATTCACACAATCCATTTGTCCAGAATTGCGTAGGAAGTACGGAGTCACTCTACATGACGCCATTTTTTCATATTCACGTATGTTGGATGCCAATTGACATGAATCAAGGAGTCGTAAGAAAGTACTAATTTGTTTAACCATCTTTTATATAAAACACACTAGGTAATTTGTTTTTTATGTTCGAACAAAGTTTTACTAGGACGAAATTTCTCGCCAAATCAAGATCACATATATGTTCAGATTCCAGTTTATTATATGATGCGACAGTGTATTGTCACAGACATCAATTCTACTTCTAAATGACTACAGTGGTGGTCGAAGCGTCGAACAATAAACTGCAATCTAAACATATGTGTGGTTTTGATTCGGCCAGAGAATGGAACATGACGATCACAGAATAAATTTCAGAAGTTACATTTAGTTTTCTTATGCTTTTTATGATCATTTTGAACAAAAACATAACGTTAACGGTTTTCAAGTTATTCGAAAAATCTTAAAAATGGTTGTAATTGGTTGATTTTGATTCATATTAAGGGGCATCCACCAAACGGGAATATGAATAAAATTCTCTCACAAATGCATGGTTTTCGCCTCATCTAACTTAGCTCCGCCTACTTCTCGGGCGCGGCCTATTATTTAGGCGTAGCCTGTTCTTTGGGCGTGACCTTCTTGAGCACAATCGTGAACGTGAAAGTATGTGCGGGCGACGAATGGGGCGTGGAAGATGGGGAAGAGGAGGAGACAGTGACAGAAGGCGGAGGAGGGCGATCAGGGGCTGCAGGCGGCGGATGGTGCGCAACAGTGGCCTTATGTTAGTTGGAGGAGTGCTTGCCGTCGGAAGAGGCCAGTTCGGAGGAGGCGCTGCTGCTCAACGTAGTGTTGCTGCCGTAGGGGTCCGAGGACTGCACGGACATGCTGCGACCTTGAGCTTGGCGTCTCACGCGATTGGGCGACAGTTTACCGGGGTCGATGCTTGCTGGGTCTGCCTGCAACATGCGCTGCTGATGCTCATTCATTCGGAAGGGTGGGGGGAGGTGACAGTTTATTTCCAATGGTTGAAATATCATTATAAAGCTTGAATATTGGCCAATTCTTACGCATCATCTGCGTATCATTTTTGCAGAAGCCGCCAGGTCCTTTAAGAAAACCTCATATTTCACTTTGTCGTCGGAACTGAATCGCTTTCCGACTAAATGTGCTTTTTCAACTTAGGCAACAGGTACTGTCAAGAAACTCAAATGTGCAAATCAAAACTGAAGAAGAGAATTTTACATAAGTATCCACCACGACAACGCAAGCTCACACGATGCCCGTCAAATGGTTGCTCTTCTTTTTTTAAATACCGACACGGGTATCATGTAAAAAACCTATAAAACGTCAAAAAAAAAACCTATCACATGTCATCTTGCAAACTAGGTTGTTTTTAGGGCGCAAACAGTCATTCCACGTTTGCTCACTAGGATCGTTGTGAACGTCCATCTATGGAGGAATCACTCAACTAAACTAGACGCATTATTGGTTGCATATGTTTTGTGAGGCCTAGTGGTCCTTGTCTGTAGTTTTGATCTCTGAGAAGAAAGTTGGTTGAATAGTTAGGTCGCATCTGGATGATTATCGGTATTGGTCTTCATGTGTATAAAATCAGTGGTACTTGCTGTGTGAGAAAATCATTACTGAAGATTCTGTCAATGAAGTATATCTATTGGATGAGCTCGATGGTTATTTTTATGTTGTGCTTTCTGAGGAGAGGTTATGTGTATAAAATCCGTGATATTTGCTGTGTGAGAAAATCATTACTAAAGATTCTGTCAATGAAGTATATCTATTGACTGTGCTCGATGGTTATTTTTATGTTGTGCTTTCTGAGGAGAGGTTATGTTCAAAGTTATAAATTACGAAAAACTAAGGAGAATTACGCGAAATGTCACCGCGCCCGCGTTGTGTAATTACTGCTAGCATGTATATGGCTTGTAATTCGACAGTGTACAATAAATATAATTATTTCTTTTCTCTCTCATTTCTTTCATTCAGCAAATTTGTATATGTAATTTCCAGTATGGATAAGAAAAAGTGGAGGAGCAAATAATTTCTGGCTTTGAATCTCAATTAAGTGTATTTGAGACAAGAACCCAATGGAATCATCATCAGCACATACAACTTACAGCTTAGACCTCCAGTAATGCCATCTCAGAACCAGATTTTACATCACATCAGAGCTAAAGATTGATAACAAGCATCATGACGTTTCGGCAACATGCACAACTAAGTGCTAAGTTAACATCTTGTAGAAAAACCTACATAATGTCAAAGAAAATCGATACAACGTCACTTTTCAGGATACGGAGCAGCCGCGTAGCAGAAACCTAAATACCAGGGCACCACAGCTGCTATAAGGAGTTTAAATACACTTTGTTAATCTATTGTTTAAAAGACATGACAACAGCCACAGTGGCTGTCATTACCGACCATGGCTGAAAATACTTCGGAGGATGATGGATTTGGACCCATGCTCGAATTGTCAGTTGTCTTCTACTTAATGATTTTTATGCATAATTCAAAATATCGCCGCTTTAACGTCGAGCTAGTCAACGTCAATGGTAGTCGATTTCGATTCGCGTTTTTTTTTTTCAAAACAAATCACAGTTTAACTAACCCTTTGCGGTCAGATGTATATTTTTATTTTTTTACACCGAAGCAGCCGCGCAGGCAGAAGCCTAAATGTCATGGCAACGAGCTGCTTGCAGGACCTTCAAGAAACTTTGTTAATCTGATTTTTGAACTGCTTAAGGGTGGTAGAGCTGGGAAAAGCCTTATTAGGTAGATTGTTCCACAATCTCGGTACTATAGGGACAAAGAAACGGTCGTGTCGACCTGTACTGAATGTACGAAGTTCGACACCGTTAGGATGGGAGAGCTCTGAGGAGAAAAGCCTGTTGACAGCGGTATTAAAGAACGGAGAGAAGAGAGAGAACAGCATCGTGCGTGGATAATGTAGTCGGGACGGCAGCACCCCAACCGTGTGAGCAGTACTCGAGACTAGATCTTATCTGGGCCTTGTACAGAGTGAGGAGGTCATGTGGGAAAAATACTTCTTAGCTCTAAACAAATACCCTAACTTTTTTCCATCAGCTACCGCTATAGACAAGAAGTGTTCGTGCCAGATCAAGTCCTCGGTGATCTGGACTCCGACCAATCGAAATGAACGGCTCTCTGGTACAACTAGGCCATCCATCGAAACGGAATAAGCGCTAGGGAGCTTCTTGTTAGTAAGGCTACAGTACTGCGTATTGGAAACATTAAACTGTGCGTCCCCAAGCAGTGATAACCTCCAGGTCTCTTCTCTTCTCCAGCTCACTAACAGAAATCGGTTTTTCACTCTGAATTTCTACATGCTAGGAAGCTGTCATCAGCGACAATGTGGATCGGATTGATCATACAGGAAAGGAGGCCGTTAATAAATGGCGTACAGGGGAAAAAAGATGAATGTCACAGCCGTTGTATGAAAGAAAGATGAACGTCCAGTGATCGTCACCGAAACTAGTACTACTACAACAATTTACCATATATTCATCAATATGCGACGAAAGAAATAAACATGAAGTAATCATTTCTTTGTTCTATATTCTTCTATAAAGCTTTTTTTGATTCGTTGTTTTTTTCTTGTACCAACTAAAAAATTATTTTGAAATAATTCTGTGTTTGAGCTATTGAGGTTCTAGGCGCTGTGTAATAAATTTCCTGTTAAGGCTGTTCTCATATTAGAACAGATAGTAAAACGTAAGATTGGCATTTTGCGATACCCTTAGATTTGATAGGGTATCGCATATTTATGACGAAATGCTCATTTCTAACCTCAATATCTCAAAATTCGGAATTCAGGCATAGACGCTAACATAAAAAATGTTTAAAATCATAAGAAGAATCTCAAAATACAAAAATATATAGGAAAAAAATGTTTGTAATTTTTTTCAATTTTTTATAATACGGAATCTATGCTACTCCGTCAAATCTTAGACCCACCTTGTACAACGAGTCTAGGAGTCTTCAAACCTTTGAATTCACTTTTCTCCAAACTTACTTTTTGTGACATTCATCTTTATTCCCCTGCACCCTTCAAATGTAAAAGGAGCAATATTGGAGCCAAGACCGATCCCTGGGGAACACCCGCGTTGACATTCTAGGATGAAGAGAAGAACCCGCCAATTACGATGGATATCTTCGGCCAGAGAGGAAGTCAACCACCTATATACTCTAATTTTTGGATTACTCTCGCATGACTGAGGTTCATCGTAAAGGCGCCCTAGGCATGATATGGTTTAAGAAGAGAAGACTCCACTTTCCAATAAGGTGCCGCTAGTTTTTTGATTTACTTGTTCGACGTGATTACCATTGATTCAAGCAAATGTCTAAATGCACAGGTTCATAGGTATTTTGATTTACAAAAACACAGTAAATTGAAATAAATTGCTGCACCTGATATGCCAGAGCATTCATGATGATGTGGTATGGCACCAAACCAAGAGGGTGGATTTCTCTCATCAAGACGTTAGCAGGAATTTTGTGGAATTGGATGTATTCCAGGAAATTACCGATGACGTCCTTTAGACTGGTACTCGGGTTGTTATCGCAGTATTTTTTGCCTGGAAAGAAATATCCACATGTGACTAAACGGGAAAGAAGAACATTAGAATAAAAGCCTATCTACAACATTCAGCAAAGAAACCAGTCTATTCTTTTTCATTCTTAAGCAAAAAAATACTAATTTGTAAATTATAATAGCACAGCTTAGATAACAATCGGCTATATCAACAACGGCCGCCTTTTCGGAGGAGAAAATAGCATGTAAATTCCCCTAGTACCTACAACGATGAAAAATGATTTAGTGTTGCATCAACCTTATTTTTTCTTATGAACGCCATAGTGGATTTTTGCACAGATGAATATAGTTTTCAATTCTGATAACAAAAATGTAAATAGGTAAAAAGGAGAAATTCCTAGGTAGGCGTTGTAATTATCAGATTGTTTCGTTTATACCATAATCATTTTTACTTTTTCCTGACTTTATTTGGGATGGAATTCTAACACAACACTGCCACTTTTTCTCCTCTACAAGAAGGTATAATCAGAATTAGCATATAACGTTTCGTCTCTTGTCCTCCAGCATTAACTTTATTCTTTCTTATGGACGCCATATTGGTTTTTTGCGCAGATGAATAAAGTTCTTAATTCTGATTTCAAAAATAGGCTTTGCCTACAAAATAGCGGACAACATTTTGAACATCTGCTATGCCTCTGCTTATTCATGATTATTATTGATATTAACATCAGTAAAATGTTCATTTTGAGTTCAGGTTTCACAATAGATTTTTATTCCCTTATACTGTTCATTGAACAACGAACTCACGGCCAACTAAGGGAACACATCACTGAATTTAGGATTGATAAGTCCATTTAAATATACAAAATTTGAATATAGCGTCTAATGAAAAAACAGAGTTGGTGATGGAATTGATTTGAATATTTGGTATCGTCATCTTGTAGAGGAGAATAACATTGACAACATGCAATTTATTTTGGAATCCCATCTCAAGTAAAGTCAGGAAAAAATAACAGTGATTTTGCGATAAATGTGGTCGGCGAAGCAAATCTTCGCTGGAAAGACATACGGGCGTAAGTCGGAAAATGCCCATTTGGAGACCAGAACCAGAAATCTGTAAAACTAGATATACTCGTATAGTTAACGTAATATGACAAATCAGTATGTGGACGGATCTCCTATTCTTACTAATGCTTAAAGAACAAACGGGCGTATATCGCGCCTCCTGTAAAATAGCTAAATTGGAGTTACGCCTCTTTCCAGCAACGAAATGACTGCCAGATAATTTCTAGGCCCACCTAAAAAAAATTGCTTTCTTGAAATAACTAAGGTTTGGCAATGCGAATGTACGACGCATTATACATTTTTGGAAACAGAATGAAAAAGCCTATTCATCTGTACAAAAATCCAGTATGGCGTCTATAAGAAAAAATAAAGTTGATGCTGGAGGACAAGAGACGAACCGTCATATTGAAATTATAATCATGCCTTCTTGAGGTTTTTAATGTGTAATTTATTTCAAAATTCCACTGCAAAAAGAGTCAGGAAAAACAAATTTGTAAAAATTTGTTTTTTTTTTCGCCTGTTCCGGAAATGCTTTGGATTTCGAAACTTTTTAAGCGGCATTTTGTTGATTACCTAAATACGCAACTTTGCCTCCATTTAAGCGACTTCGTATCTTGCATTTTCTGAGATCCCAATGGTGAGGGTCCAATTTGAATGCATACGTATACATACCATAAATCAGAGCGGATAACCTTAGAGAGAATTTTGCAAATACCTTTTTTGTTTAGAATAAAAAAGTATTCGTACAAAAAGGTTTGATGAACAATGTTTCTTGAAACTTTCATTCAAATGTTCATGCGGGCTCATGGGCTCAGAATAAAATCTGAGGATCGGATCTTCCTTACCAAGCAGTGGCCGATCAGCAAGGGTAGCAAAAATTCTACGGGCCCCGTGCACCAACTCCTAAGAGAGAGAGATCACTGATACAGCCGCCACCCCCTTCCCCAATCATCAATTTTCAATCGTCCCTGGGCCCCTTGATATAATTTGCTAGAGGCTCCGCGTTGACTCGATCCAGCGCTGTTACCAAAATAGCATTATTTCAAGCAAATGGTATACCTCTAAGATATAAAACGGTCAAGAATTAATTCTAAACGCACAACACTGAGGATGTGTCTACACATAAACATATCAGATAAGACACGTCTAAAACCTATAAAAAGGTGTAATTGCAATACTTCATAAAACTTGCATTACGGGACTGTCCCTATTTGAGAAGTCGCTATTGGTAACTAGGAGAAAAGTTTGCTACTTTATCTACAAGAGTGACTGACTTACAAGCTATCAAAGCTCCATGTTTTACAAAATATCCCGTAACTCCATAAGTAGCAGTAGAGATGGTATAGTATGCTATATAAAAGTTTTTTTGAAGCGGCATTTCATAATATACTGGAATGTTTTGGATACTTCATTTGAAAAATATACATATATTTGTGTTGTGATATTTTCCTAGTAATGAGCGTATAGACCTACAATTTTTAGAATTTACTTTTTTAGGTACTTAAAATATCGGAACTATGGACCTGTATGTAAAAGTATTCTAGATGAAAAGTTGCGTTGGTTGTCATTTTGCTGGTAGTTTGCTCTCGTTTTTTCTGCGACAAAGACTCCATAAATTTTATGATAGAGTGAAAAGCCGTATTTGTCTGGTGTTTTTAGCACTGGTTATACATTGAAAATGCAATGTATTTTTCCGGTTCTTGTAAATACTTCCACTATTACAAATTTATTTTAAAGATTTTTCATAAATAAATAGACATCAATATCCCGTCACTTCCTTTTGAACAAACACTCCTTTTATCATTGATTTACACAAACCCCACTAGATCATATCGAAATATTATCTTTTTATGATTGCAACGAATATCTGCGGCCACTGGCATGGTACGCGGCAATACCGGCTACTGCTGAACACTAAAACCTCTTTCATCGTTGTACTAGGGGAATTTATGTGAAATTATCTCCGCCGAAATGGCTACCGTTTTCGACAAAAGAGAAGAGAGAAGAGATTGATTGATATCAAAGCTGTGATAGGAGTGTGAGCCAGAGTCTCTTTTTGACTACTATACAGAGTGATTTGAAACTTAGGACTTTTCAGAGATAACTACGATTGAAATATTTCTAGTACTTACCCCACATCAAAGCAGCTTGGAACTTAGTGAATTCGTCGGCTTGTAGTTCATCACGGGCCAAAATTAACCTCACGACATGCTGGGGTAGGAGGGTAAATGAGCCTAGATTCAAGACTTCATTTCCGTGCTCATCTACAAACTCTAATACCTAGGAATGGAAACAGATTTTATTTTAAGCTTATGGCAAAAACTATGAAAACAATACGTTTTGAGTATTTTTATTCGAAACGTAAAATACAGAGCGGGCCATTAAGTTGAGCGGATTTTAAAATATCATAGAAAAAAAACTACAAAACGAACGAAATATAATTTATATTTTTAATAGAGTAGACAGATTATAAATTTATTTTTAATAAATAACATCGCTGAGATGTGAGCCATCGAGACGTACGGACTCCTCGAATCTCGACTTCAAATTCGTGAAAACTCGCTGGCATCGCTCGTGTGATAGCGGACATCTCATCGGAAATTTTGTGCTTGAGTTGGGCAATCGGCGTTAGTTTATTGGCGTAAACGCGGCTCTTGAGGTAAATCCACTCAAATGAAAATGAGCTTTATCAGAAAAGACAATATTGTTCAAACTTGGTAAGCGCTATAACATTGTTTCGGCAAACGCACGGCGTAGATGGTGGTCCGCAACTTCGCTTACAGTTTCCTCTGTTCGTATTGACCTCGGACGCCCAGCAGGTCTCTGGTTCAGTGTCGAACCGGTAGACTCGATCTTTCTGACCCACGACCTGATCACACTTTGACTAGGATATTGATTTAGATCATGTAAGCTAAACTCGAAGAGAAACAGATGCCGCGGAGAGAAACAGTTCCCGCATGCCTGTCCACCCTGTACAACTACTCTGTTCAAAGCAGGGTTTTATAAAAATGGTGAATGTGTATCATTTGTGTTGAAAAATGGTGGGAGCACTTGTGTTACAGTCACGCGTTTTAAGTATACATCTTGGCACATTGGCGACTTATGTCAAGCAAATTTTTAATCACGAGAATATGAGAACCCGCCGACAGGCGATTATTTAGTCGCGGTAACTAAAAAATTCCAACAGGCTCTGTTCACCAGGCAACTCAATTGTTGCCGGTAAAAATGGAACGCACATGTTCATACCTGTCTCCGCACACTGACCAAAAAGTATAACATATGCTACAGATCTGTATTCCATCAAGGGTTGATTGAATATAATAAATTATACACAGAGATAAAAGACCAGAAAACTTTGACAAAATTCAAAGTAAAATTGAGAAATCACTTCTTAAATCTACAATTATAGGTTGCCCAGCATTTATATTATTATATGGCTTGAATTTACTAGTTCTAAGTTGTTTACAATTATTCTGTTTATGTAGCCAAATGTGCTAAATAAATCTGTCTACTACTACTACTACTGCTGATTGAAAGACGAACAACATCGAACAGTATACAGCAAAACGACAGCTACGAGAAAGATAACAAAGATGAGCACGAAGAATCCCTAGAAATGACTGTCAATACTCGTGCCGACCGTATGACGAAATCAAGTACCCGGAGAACTATTTCAAAAAGTTACGAAAAACCTTTACTCGACATTTTGCAAGAAAAAAAAAGATGACAAGGATATTGATGATAAATATTTTCTCCTTTCCTTACTCCCCTCATTCAAAAAATTCAACGAGGACCAAAAATTCGTTGCTCGCACGGAAATTTTCAAACAGTGTGTGAAATTGTCCATCTATAAGCCTTGCGCTGATCAGTGGATGGATCCAATATTTTCTGTATTTTTTTCTCTTTCTCAGGACAAGAGCACAGACTCACGCAGTCTCAACAAAATCCATTATGAAAATTATGTTGTGAAACAACTATTCGGTTGGCAGTGGGCGCTTGAGAACAGCAGCATGCAACTTTCTGGCGACTAAATAATTTAATGTATATCTGGTTCTAAGCTATCGTAGTCATCAAGGCATGATGTAACAGCGCAATAAAACCTTTATAGAAATAAATGGTTTCCTTTCCTACCTACCTTTTGTACCAAGGACTTTGTACACTTGTACTGGATATATCTTTCAGCAGAAGCCAAAAGAGCACATACAGTGTCGACATTAATACAACATTGGACAAAGCCAGCACAAGCCCTACGTAGTTCGTCCAAGCCATAGTAGTCAGCAGCATTCATCACCCCTATAATATACATTTTATTTTCGTTAAGTCATTATAAATGGATTCAAACTAGGTAGAAGGAGCAAGTCAACGATTTGTTTGTCTCCAGTTTGATAGCCTATAGTCAGGATCAAAGTTCATACTACAACTCGGTCAGGCTTAAGCCGCCAGTTTGACAGTTGTTGAAATTTTGCACATATATACTGAGTGATAAAAAACGGTAAACACATACGTATGTTTATTAGAATTCAAGAATTTTTTACATATCGATTTATCTTGCCATGAATAATATATGATTAGGTTTTTCTGTTAAGTTTTTGTGGTGGCTGCGTGTATTGTTTGGTGATAAAGAAGCATTCAGTTTTCGCACATTTACGGTGTCAGTTAAATGTTGAATTTCGTGTAGCTTATTGAGAGGCCTAGAAGGCATAGAATAAGCTAAGTGACTTTGAGAGGGGTCGAATTGTCGGGTTGCGTGTGGCCGGTTTATCGATAAGAGAAGTTTCTAGGAGGACCAACAGATCCTTACTCAGTATACTGCAGTGTGAACGAGCGTGAACTCAGGAAGAGAGACAGATTCAGTAGTACTCGAGCGATCGCTAGTCACTGGTTTGAAGAGCATGGAAGGATGGTTGGTATGCGTACGGTATATCGCCGAATACGACAGTTTGGCCTTTTTTCTTATTACCCACATTGGGTGCTACCTCTCACAGCTTAACGTCGGCGTAACCGTTTGCTCTGGTGTAGAGAAATAATTCTATGGGATCGGGAATGGAATCAGGTGGTCTTTAGTGACGAATCCCGCTTCTGTCTGGGGTTGCACGATGGTCGGGCAAGAGTGAGAAGGCGACGTGGTGGAAGAGGTAAGCCACAATTTGACAGAAAGCGTCACGTTCACCACACCGTGGGAGTTATGCTATGGGGTGATATTGCTTATGGTAGCAGATCACCACTATTTGTCATCAGAGGCAACATGACAGCCCGACGCTATATTCAGAAAGTAGTGGAGCCTCATCTTATACCATACCTAAGCACCATCCAAAACCCGATTTTTCAGCAAGACAATGCCAGACCTCATGTTGCCAGAGCGTCGTTAGTCCTCATGGATCAACATCGCATCAACCGTTTACCTTGGCCACCACGATCGCCTGACCTATCTGCAATTGAACATGTCTGGGACATGATAGGTCGCAGGGTCTTGAATTTGCAACACACTCCGCAGACTTTAGCAGCTCTTAAATGATAAAGGTTTCTATGGAATGCAAAATGTCGTTTAAACTGGATAATCGATCGATAGATGTTAAAAATATGTCATCGGCGTTGCGAAAGGAAATGTACCTCAATAATGAGCTTTTACCTAGACAATTTGAGACAATTATTATTTATTTCAGTCCGTTTCTTATTTCTTTCACTCAGTCCGGATCTAAGGTTTGTTAACAACATTGAAAAATATACTGAAAAAGTCCAACTGATCTTCAACTGAGTCTTATCTACTGTAATTTCTAATCTTAAAGTTCTTAGGAAAGGTCTTTACTTTCACGTTATAAATAGCAGTTTCACGTTCTCATTTTATTATTAAAAAACTATGAATATCCAATCACCTAAGTTACAAACCTTTTTATTGGATAAATATAGTTACAATGATATACCTGTAATATGAGCAATTTTCATATCATGCTCAACTGTGCTTCTACCCAAGCATCTTTTTGCATCACAACAACCATTTACATTAACCGAGCAGAATTCAAGCAATGCGTTTCAATATCAGGTATTCCTCCATTAAAAAGAATCTTTATAGTGCTATACCGTTAATGAATATTAATTTACTTTCGTCTTTTCCCCTTATTTAATTTATCTCATCTTTATTAATAATAACTCAGCGATTCATATCACAACACACGTAGTATTTCTATCTCGCTAAACGTAGGTACACCCAGTACAATTCGCTACTAAAAAAAGTACGCCAATGTATTTGGCTTGTCACTTTAGTAGGCAATGGTAGGTAAAAGTATGCACTAAAACTACACACTTTTTGTGAGAAACAAGGCAATGTAAACTTATAGGCTTGTTTTATTCTGTTCTGTTGGTCAGACAGCAGCGGTGGCCGCAGTAGTAGACTCTTCGGTCTCCTGATCAGTCGCCGTGCGCTGTGCGGGTTCGAATCCCGCCCCAAGAAAATTTTCTCTTGGCTATGGATGTTGTGATTGTCTGTAGGTGGTGTCTTTGACTATCGAACGCGGAGGTACCACCCGGCGAATCTCGTAGGCGAGGCCAGAATGTGTGCATGTTGCATGCACACGTGTGGCGTTCCCCCTTTCCCCTGAATCCCCATGGGTGTTTAGGCCATAGGCCTTCGTGGTAGTTGGTGTATAAAAAAATAATAAATAAAAACACAGCTGGATTGGTCAGCCATCCAAGCTTCCAATACGTTTTTTGGGTCGCTGAAACCAAATCCGGAGAAATGTCCCATTTTCGAGATATCTACCGGTAAAGATAATAGATATTTAATCCTATAAAATTGCATAGTTTTGCAATTTTCAACTAAATAATAGAATTTACATTATGAACGTGAACAAATACAGTCAGAATAACGTCGAATTTGGTTTCAATGGTCATTTGAACCGCATGAAAAGCAATTTAATTCTTAGGGACCCTGTATATGGATTTTATTACAAAAAAGGACCAACAATGCTTATAATACATTTCTCGACCGCTGAATCCGAATCCAGAAGCAATTTAGTCTGGTGTAGTGTAAGAAAATTGCTTAGTTAGTCAGCTCAAAGCGTACTTACCTAACAAAGTTCTTGGTTGTAATGTGACACATCCTGTATGAATATACTCGATCAACTGCCGAAATACGTCGGGTTCGAATTCTTCAATGATGAGGGTTTGATGTTGCTGAGCTGAAGGCTGACAATACAGTTTATTGTAGTATCAAGTATAGTAACGAGGACACGCCACATGCAATGTGTACTAAAAATGTCTGTTGTGATAGATATTTATATACAAGTCAAGTACGAGGTCCATTTTTAAAGTAAGAACCGATTGCGCATCGTGCCCGCGCATCATGATACCTGACATCCGTTCAACCTCAGACACTCTTGTCTACTCCGCCATTACGTTTCACGTCTCTGTCGTTATTGGCTACGTGGTTATACTGTTTTGTTTGTCACCATGTCACTCAGTAAGCCCACCGATTGTGAAATGCGCTCAGTATTTCGGTTATTAAATTCAAAAAAGTTCCTCTTGCTATGAATGCTGATAGGTGCTGAGTACCATTAGAGAGTTTTTAGTGCACTAAAAATAACGAAACGTTAAGCCTTCCGCTGCGTTACTTTTGACAGCGACACCAAATAACGAATATCGATGAAAAAAGTTTTTATGACCACTAAAGTGAACCGTAGCGGCTCGATAGTAGTGATTTGATTATGAAAGGTTGCTCTTTTTTATTTTGACATGAAGCTAGCCCTAAAATTTCAAAATCTTGTTAATTTTTTTCATAGAAAAGTTTCGGTCATATTTGTATCCAAACCGGACAAGAAATAAATTGGTCTGGAATCATAGAACCTCAGAACGACAAGGAAAAATCGGGACAATTCAATTTATTTAGAACACTGCCTATTTCTTGCATTCATGTTTATTTCTCATCTAAACCTCATATCTCAATTATTATATTTTAACCAATATGTTTTTAAAACTTAAAATTAATATATGAATATAACCCTATAAAATAAGCCATCCCCTATTCTCCGTAACTAACAGAGCTTTCTTATTTCAATAACACATAATGGAGGATTGTCTCGCTGCTGCGTAAAATGGAGATAAGGAAGATCATAGCGAAACAGAAAAACAAGAGCACTAACAACTCTCTATTATTGAAGCTCCATAACTGCTGATGGGTTCTGCCGTCTAACGGCGTTGTTCTGCTTCACGACAACGCTCGGCCTGGCCTTGCGGCAAGAACAGACGCAACGGGGCAAGTTTCATTGGAAATTATTGTATCATCCACCATACAGCTCTGACTTAGCACCATCAGACATTCATCTTTTTTCAAATCTTGAGGAATTTCTTGGTGGAAAGTGCTTGGAAAATGATGACATGTTCAAAGAAACAGTTACTAACTGGCTTAACGGTCAGGCGGCAGTAATCTTTGAAGACGGGAATCAAAAGCTAGTGCCATGAAATGACAAATGCTTAAATGGTTATGGTGAATATGCTCAAAAATGAAAAAATGTTTATTTTTTAGTTTGTGCTACAATTTACGTTCACAAATAAAGTATCACTAACTCCATAACGAAACGGTCCTTACTTAAAAAATCGCTCTTGCATAAGAGATGCATTTTGATCTACAATCCCACCACCATTACCTACTCCCAATAATTAGAATGATTACTTGAAAATAGTTACAAGTAACAAGATACTCAATTTAAAAATATTTTGAATTAGCTTAAGCATAATCACAGAAATTCGAGATTTGGAAAACTTTTTCCCGTTATTTGAACTATTTCCATGCCTTTGAATCCACAATTGCCACAGCAGCAAGCTAACCCAAGACAGTTTATTCCAGCAATATTGGTCAACAGGATTTCTTATTCCAAGTGTACAGAAGCGATCTTTTGTAAGAAAAAATGTTGACCTTTTTGTCATTTTATTTAACTGCGAACAGTCAAGTACCAAAATGGAAGAGCATATAACACATACCTACAGATACGTACGACGCGTTGCACTACTCTCATCCAATTGGGTAGTTGATTACAGCTGCGGTGGCAATTAGTGGGTATAGAAGTAGAGAAAAAGATGCTTAAGTTCTTAACCTATTCTTCAAATATCTGTACATGTTAACCTACATATTTATTTTGTACAATACACATGGCATTTAACTTATGTCATTGATTAACGTATTCTAGCTGAAGATAGTCAACCTAAAACTATATTCACACGTCCAAAAATTTGAAGGAGATAAAATGAGATACTGCAGCGTCATCTTTGAGAATTTGTCACAGCTGTTTTTCTCTTTACCATATATACTCTCAAAAGTTTAGTGAGTCGTAGATGGCGCTGCCTGAGTATATACAAAGATGTAGGTGACTGCGGCGCCATCTGTGATACACTAACCGTCTCAAAGTATATATGGTATATAGAGAAACAGCTGTGACAAATTCTCGTAGATGAAGCCAGGCACTCTCATTTTATCTCCAATAATTTTTAAGTTTTTTTTATTCAGGTAGAATTCTTTAATCATTGCGTATGTACAAAGACTACGAGTGTGCTTTGAAAATTAGTGTAACTGTACAATATGCAATCAGTGTCGACAACCAATAAAAAACTGTGACTAACATGTGTCAGAGAGAAAAAAAATAAAAACTATCTTCAGAAAACGTGGCTGTAATTTGATGTTTTCAGTGAATCTTACGGATCAGATATGAGAAATAGATGAAATATAAAAGTCCCGGAAGTATCTTAATATCATGTCGCCAACCCTAAAATTGTGTCGAAAATTGTTTGAACAATTTTTATATTAATCTTAAAAATTTCTTTTTTTTCTTGCTTCGGACATTTTTTTTTTTTTTTAGCGAAGAAAACAATTTTTGGAATTTTTTGAAAAGATTTCCAAACAATTTGTGACACAATTTTGGCCCTGGCAACATGCAGGTTTGCATATTATACAAAAGACCGAATTATAATATTTTTTCGAGCAGATTGAAGATACTCCATAGATTATACCAGAAAAGTTATTTTTCTCACATCCGACAAAGGTCTAACCCGCATGACACAAGTTGTATCACATTCTGATAGGCCGAAGAAAAACGTATCAACAAATTAGAATATTTTTCCATGCAGATACGAAGATACCTCCCGGACAATAACTGATTGAGAATTTAATTTATTTATTAAAAATTCCTCGGTCACATTTTTAAGAAAACTGTACCGCTCCGCCCATGCGATCTGCTGTGTTATTATTTTACAACAATACGAGGGATGTCTTTTAAGTTTTGCATATGGAAATAAAACAACAAGGTAGGTAGTTTTAAATAACTGTACTGTTTTTCGAAGTATTCTCCACGAAGATTAATACACATCTGCATGCGCTCGAACCAATTTTCGAAGCACTTATTCCACTCGTTTGCTGGCAGATCCAAAACGGCATTGATGAATGTGTCAACTGTTTCTTCTGGTGACTGGAACCTTTGACCACACAGTCTGCTTTTAATTTTCGGGAAAGTAAAGAAATCGTTAGGACTTAGATCGGGACTATATGGAGGATGGTCCAATAATTCCACGTTTTCTTCCGTTAAACACTGCCTTGTTTTTTGGGCTGTATGCGAGCTTGCATTGTCTTGGTGGAGGATGATTCTTCTTTCGGGGTTGATTTTTCGAAGCAAGGTGACGACTTTTGGCAAACAAATGGTGGTATACCAATCCGCAGTAACAGTTCTTTGCTCATTAAGAGGAATTGTTGCGATATGACCCGCTTTTGACACAAATGTCGCGAACATCTCATTCGAAACACGAGATCTTCAAGGACGCCTCAATCTCGGGATATGTCACATGTCTATCTTCAATGATGAGTTTGCGCACAGCATCGACGTTTTCCTGGGTGACTGTCGTTTTTGGTGCACCCACCCTGGAATCGTCGCTAGACTCACCCGTCCACGTTTGAATTCTCCATACCAACGGGAAATTGTCGACTGACGTGGCGCTTCGTTGCCGAAAACATATAGTAACTCAGCAAGGCATCCTCGTTGCGATAATTGTCTCTGAAAGTTGTAATAAATTATGGCGCGAAAATGTTCTCGGTTGAGTTCCATTTTTCTAATGACTTGGTGACACTTAAAAGTTCAGTGTAGTGAAAACAGTGCACGTATTGTTGTGAAACTTTGATTTTAAGTTTACTAAAGAGTGAGGTTAAGATTCAGTACTGACGTTCGATCCGCGCGGCCTACTATGTTTCTATATGCAAAACTTAAAAGACATCCCTCGTAATAATAACACCAACAGGAGTTTAAACCAACACTATAAATTAAAAAGGAATGATTACTTTCAATACATGCTTTGCTCAGAAAGTAGGCTTATCGTTGCTTTAGTTTCATAGCAAAGTCTATAACAAGTATCTGAGATATATTAATCATAATTTTGTATTCACAGTGAAAACATGCTGTTCCAGGAGTATACAGGGTGTCTGCGAAAGGTTGTGAAATCTCAAAACTGGAGATACTACAGACCAAAATATGCGAATTGACCTAAACATACCTTAGTCCAAAAGTTGATAGTTTGCGAGATACAGGTTGTCAAAGTTACAATTTTATTTTCTATTTTTCCTTATTGCTTGAGAAGTATTTCAGATTTTGGCATAAGACTTGGCATAGGAAGGTTTTCTAGTATGAGAAACAAGAATCCGTTATCTTTATAGCTAAACTTCTAGAGGACGCCACTTAATTACAGCACTATTTCGGTAAATAATTTATCATAACTTTTGTCTGCTACCCTGTATACAACAACTGACCAAAAAAATCTTATTGTATTGTATTTCTACAACAAAAAAGGTTTACTTGTTAGAAGTGTCTAAAGCTAATAGTTTTCGAGATATGTATTTGTTTTTAAATGTTCCAATGCATTATTTCTACCTTGATGATAAAATATTTTTATAACATAATAATCAAATTGCTTTGGATAATATCTGAGTAGCATTATTCATGAAGTTTAAAGCAATATTATGACAAACATTAGAAACCATAGCAACGCTACTTAGATATTATCCAAAGCAACTTGTTTATTATGTTATAAAAATGTTTTATCATCATGCTAGAAATAATGCATTGGAACTTTTAAAAACAAATATCTCGAAAACTATTAGCTTCAGACACTTCTAGCAAGTGAACGTTTTTTGTTGTGGAAATACGAGAAAATGAGATGTTTCGGTCAGTTGTTGTATACAGGGTAGTACAAAAAAAGTTATGATAAGTTATTTACCGAAATAGTGCTGTAAGTGGCGCCATCTCTAATAACGGATTCTTGTTTCTCATAATAGAAAACCTCCCTATACCGAGTTCTATGCCAAAATCTGAAATACTTTCCAAGCAATAAGGAAAAATAGTAAATACAATTGTAACTTTGACAGACTGTATCTCGCAAACTATCAACTTTTGGACTGATGTATGTTTAGGTCAATTCACATATTTTGGTCTGTAGTATCTCCAGTTTCGAGATTTCCCAACCATTCGCATACATATAAGACAAGAATACGTTAAAGACCAAATGTATATACTGCTGTTTTCTTGTACTACCTGTTCTTTGACTGTTCTTCTTTACTATTTCTGAATTCAGTTGAAGAATATAAGCATTTAGTAAACAATCGTCTTCCATAGTCTCGTTATGTAGGTATTTGAGTAATACAAATTAATTACACATTGATACTTCGGATAAAACTGGAGAATCATCAACTAGTAAGTCACGTATTTATGTTTGTCCAACTGAGTTCAAAAATATCACTTAGCTTATTGTAATCACTTTTATATGACAAATTATTTACATGTTATCCTACTGAAAGAAGAATAGAATACGAAAACAAGAGAAGAAGAGAATAATACCGTAGAGATGGCGAGTGTTAATTTTGATTACCTCTTGTATAGGAGCCAGCTGCTGACTGAAGCCTCTCTATATATTACATAATACACTATGTTAACATCAGTCCAAACTGAATATCTTTGTACTGTATTATCTTTCACAATCATTGAGTAAATCCCTATATCCAGTTCCCAAGAGAGTGCTAGTACACAAAAATATATTGTTTTCAGCAGAACTAAGAACTCAGACAATGAATTCAATTATTGAAACCATAAGATGGAATTACTTTGCGGCCATTTTTTCGATTTGATATAATTCTGAAACATATGTCGAATCCTGTATTTATGGTATTAATCCAAAAAGTTAATAGTATACATTTTTTGAATTATCATATTCGCAATTAAAATAGTAACCATGCATAGGTACTCGTATTGCTCTGGTTCGCGCAAAGTTTAACATAACTGAATTATTAAAAATAGGTGGATACTTACTTGCTGGGATTGGTTTTGTAAATTCAATAGGGGTTCTGAAGATCTCTTCAAAAACAGGCGAAGTTTATTTTCTCGTGGTGGGGGTTCTTTCTTTCTTTGGGGACTAGGAGCCTGTAAAAAATAAAAACAGCTTTGCATATCCAATTGTTGTGTTCAAACTTGTCCGACTTTGATACTTCACCTTGCATTTATCGAAAACAAATTGAAATATTGAGATGAGTGAAAACATATCTCAATACACATACAAATGTATTAAAGCGTACATACACAAAATCGGGAGTAGCATTACACATCGTACGCCACTGTTAGCGTGGCACGACTTTATATTGACAATGGGGTGCACGCGGTTTCCGCCATATTTTAAACGAACGCCGAATAAACACTAGTGTACGATGTGTTTTGCTACTGTCATTCTGTTCCGATAAACAAGAAAGATTCTACCTAAAGGCTCCTCTTTGAATTTTTCGTTCAGATCCTAATAATAGCATATCACATACCTTGGTGGTTAGGTATGCCATTATCGATATATAGATATATATACTTTGAAGAGCTTACTGTCTCATAGATGGCGCTGTCTATATGAGCATATACAAGTTTATGGGTGGATACAGCGCCGTCATGAGGTACTAGTCTTCTCTAAGTAAGTATAGTAAATAGAGAATGAATGAATAAATGAAATTAGAGGCATACCGGCCACCACGAGAAGCGTATAACTCCTTATCTTGTTATGGCCAGGCAGCAGTCCCACCAAGAACCTTAGGTTGGCTCTATCATAGGACAAGTAAAACCGACCATCCTTAGCACTAGGCCCTAAGCACTTGGGTGCCTTCATCACAGTCTGGCTGTAATTCTTCTCCTAGGACCTTCCATCTCCAGAATGCGGGATATGCAAGCCAGAATCGTATAGATTTCCAACTGGAAAATAGTGGTGTATCCACCGAGAGGCAGTGAGAGCCTAGTCCTAGGTCAAAAGACCCCGGTGCCAGAGCTCACTTCAGTAACCAAGCCGTCCGTATACCAGACTTGCCCACTTCCCTCAGAGACCATGCGGCTTCCGGAATTCCACTCCACCTTCGTCGGATACGCCACATTTAACTTGCGGTTAAAGCGATACTTAGGGCTGATCAAATCACCCCTGCTCAAAAGGACGGGGTCCTCCATTTGCAACTCGACCAAGATAGAAGCAGTGTGACCCTTGACAGGATTCTTGAAGACCCAGCTGCCCTGACTCCACAGCCTCTCGCCTGTCCGCGGATCACTAGATCCAACGGTAAGAAATCCAGCAGAGTTTCCATTGCACTCAATGGTGTTGTAAGCACCACTGGTACAAGCCAAACGCTGAATTTTTTGAACGCGGGAATATCGCTTTAGGTTAGCTATCCTCTGGTACAATACGTTAATCAATGATTCAACATATCTGAGACTTTCTGGAACGTCCGGCAACACTGCCTATGTAAAGCACACGCAATGTCTGCTTCATAGAACGGTGCGTAGGGGCGGGGCGCTGTTAGTATATGATGACAAAGATAGAAGATGCTACGTACGCCGACACATCATTCTTTCGTTACAGCAACAGCAAGAGGGAGAAAGTGTGTAGCACGCTTTTATTTGAAAGCTAGAGACGAAGCAGCTTCATTATCGCTAAAAGGTTTAGAAGTATAAAAGGGCCTGTTTACAATCGGGGAATATGTTTATATTTTTAGTTCTCCTTAACATCTAAATATAAGCTTGTTTTGAAAATATAGCTACTTCTGACTACCTGATAGAGCATCTTGTGAAACACTCGACTTCTCGCCGCCAAGACGGCCTTGACAGCGCACACCGGCTCCCGGGTGTCACCTACGAGGAACGTGACGTCACACAACTCCGGCATCGAAGCCAAGAATTTCATGTCCTCCGCCAATCCGGTTTTGTTCTCGAAGGTGCTTAGGTCGGGCTCGGCTTCCGCCATTGCGACGTAGCTGGCTGGCAGCAACAGGCTGTCCGGCATCTGACAGAATAATTAAACAAAAAATGAAAAAGTAGCACACTATACCGATGTTAAAAAATAATCGATTATTTTTTTAAATGCACTTGGAAAACCTGGGCAATTAAACAGTTGTTCTGGAAAATTTTTATTACAAGTAATACATTTTTTAATTACTCTAAATAACTAAATTATTCGGTTTAATCAAACTAAATTTTCTGGAACCAGTTTAATTGAAAGTATCTACTATTAAGCTAATTGGCTTGAAAATAGCAACCTATGTATCTGTTTTATTAAACTGTTTATATTAATTAATAATAATAATCAGGCCTTATTTATACAAAGTACGAAATGGCGAAGTGTCGCTAGTATTGCGTTTTCAACTAAACCCAATTAGTTTAGGTAATTTATTTTTTATAGAAAAGATGCACTTAAAACAATTAAGCATTTTTATAAAAACAGTCAAACTATTCATTTGAATCGCGGACCCGGCCCTTCATTCGTGAATGATCATGAGTGTGCGACAGACGCGCAGTGCCTTTTCGCGAGAAGCTTCCTATTGGTATGCCGCCGCTGTTGGTTATAATATTTCTCGTTCCAAATGAAACACTGTGAGCAGGAGTTTCACTGCTGATGCGACTGAATAGGAAGAAAACTATATTTATGCAGCGTAGATCAATTATTAATCACTTATACCAAACATGTGCTTAAACTGGTTTGTTGAACTTTTCTTTTATTAATTTTATTGAAAATGTCCTAGTTTGTTTAAAGTGCTGTCGAATTTATTTATATATGTAAATGTGTTGAATGAGGATGGGTGCAATATTGTTTTATTGATAAAAATAAAAGTACAATTTTTGTACACATGATCAGGTGGGTTTATTCAGTTTCAGGTATCCCTTTCCCTCTGAATTTAAAACATAGAATTGCTTTGAATGATCAACTTCTGGACAAACAGATAAATGGTTGATAAAACTTGATCCCGTAAGAAGTTCATCATCTGAAAATAAAAAATATCGAATTTTAGGGTTATAAATTCGGAAGTTGTCCAATTTTTCAGTAAAATGCGATTTGTTTCATATACCAAATATTATCCTAATATCCTTATAAATCTAAATTAAATAATTCAATAAAACTAGGCAAACACTTTTACTTAAGCTAATTAAACTCATTTAATAAATATAATCAAATTGTTTTACTTGGAGCAGGTAAACTCATAAATCTAAGTAAACGGTTTAATACATTTAATTAAACGAGCGTTTTGGTTTAAATAACTAATTTCATAGATTCAAGTAAACTCTTTTAGAAAGCATAGTTCAATTAATCTAATTAAACTTGTTAGCTGTCTTATGGACGATTAATTTTTTAAATTGGCCTAACTAAAAGGTTAATTGGTTTAATTATTTTTTTTTCAGTTAAGATAAACGGTGTTACACCTTTTCTTACTTTGAGGATGGTAAACAGTAATTTTTGCTTAACAGCAACACTGCGATCACACTGAAAAACATTTAGAGAAAATATGCCACCATAGCAACATGCAAGTCGCAAGTGTTGCCCGAAGGAATTGAAAACATGTGGTCAAGGGGGAGCGGGCCTTTTCCTTATATAATACCTTTTGTGAAATGTAAGGCTCCCCCATGGAAGGGTCGAGAATTTCTTTTTGACCCCCTCTTCAGTTTTCAATGGTCAAGGAAAAATGGCGAGAAGTTATTCAGCACAAACTAGACTGTCTAAGAGAAAAGTCAGTCAAACAGGTCCATACAACTAGTCCATAGACATTTTTTCCCTGCCCTACTGGTAGTTCATCTGGAAATGTCGTCTCTCGCCGATTCCTAACTCTAGCAGACGTGGCACCGCAAAAAGGCGGCCAGGGCATAGAAAACACTATGCTATTGCGCGGCAGACATACATGTGATTCCATAATAATCATCACGGTCGGCCCACGACGGAACGCCAGCAGCAGCCGCGGCCAATAGGTACGGGATCCGACTTCCGAGAATAGTTGCCAGGGCTAATGTTCAGGGTGGCCAACCAAGAATGCGAGATACTGTATCTGGGAACCTATTCATCGTAGAGGCCCACGGCAAAAGCAGTTATTACTAAAACGGTCAAGAGAAAACCCTGGAAAATATACTAATAACTGCAATATTGAATCTAAAAAGTGATGTTTCGGTGAATTTCGCTGTATTAACCTAAAAAAATACCTGATCTTCAAATACGAGGATAATCTAAACCTTTTTTGTTTGACAATTTTTGCTGTATCTCTAAAAATAGAGTGGTGGTGAGTATTCAACGGTTTCCGTAAAAAAACACCCTGTATCTTCGAGACGGCTGAGCCGATTTTAACAAACTAGGGATAGTTGAGAAGAGCTATTCCTGGGCTATAAACGTTATCATATCCGAAGTTTTGTTAGTTTCACATGTGGCCGCTAAAAGGCTTTTTTGACGTTCCAACAAAAACGGTTAATTTTCTCGAAAAAAATAAATACATTGGTATGACTTTTTTATGAAAAAGTAGTTAAATGATGTCCAAACAAGCTCACGAAAACCGCATCTCGATATCTCGTTCCTAACCTAAAATTTAGGCCAAAGAAAATTTTATACGGAAATGTCTTAATTTTTTTTAAACTAATTTTCCTGGAATTTCTTTTTATTATTAAGTTGTGGCCCTAAAATGAGCGATTTACAAAACAAAGGTTTTTAATGCCCCCTGAAGCCTCTCATGGGCAGACAAAACTGTTGCTTCAACTTCGGCTCTGGGTATGTTATGTATTGCATTACAAATCCGGTTTTTCATATCTTCTCTGGTTGTAGGTTGAATCTGAAACACGATGTCCTTTAATCGCCCCCATAATTAAAAATCAAGGCAAGTTAAGTATGGTGATCGCAAAGGCCATGGAAAGAGACTTCCTCACACAATAATAATAACATGAGTTGGGCACCATCCAACTGCAAAAACAAGTTTTGCCGTGTTTTCAGTATCATATCTTGCAACAATGACGGCAATTAATTGTCCAGAAAGTCAAGAAAAATATTGCCATTTAGGGATTGCTCGGAAAAATATGGCTCAATAATTCTATCTCCCAGTATGCCACACCACATATTTAAGCTCTAACGCACTTGGTGCTAGACTTCACGCAACCAATGCGGATTTTCTGCAGACAAATAATGCATATTGTGTAGATTAACTCTCCGTCACTATTAAAGATGGCTTCATCGGTCCAAAGAATTTGAAATAAAAATTCCCTATTTTCGCGTATCGTGCCTAACATCCAATGGTAATAGTTCAACCTCCAATCAAAGTCTTCCTCTTTCAAGGTCTGATGCAAAAAGACAATGTGGGTGCATTCTAAAAGTAATTAAACAAATTAATGGTCATTAGAACTTACTTGTTCCTTCAAAATATTTTGAACCGTTGTTCGTGATATGCCCAATTCAAGGGATAATGCCCTTGTGCTAACATGAGGACTTCCTTCAATGTATCCCAGTACGCGGTTAATATTTTCTTTTGTTATTCCAATTCTTTGACATTGAAACGAAGGCCGAAAGCTACCATTGGTTCGTAAGCTTGCCACTAATCGGGGAAAACTCTCACATTGTAAAGACGCCAATTTAAATATCGAGTCGCGTACTCTTTTTGCTACTGCGGCATTCTGAAGACATACAAAATAAACTGCAAGCAGCTTTATCATTCGTAAAACGCATTTGGTGAGCACAAAAATGCTCAAAATAACGCGAAACTATTGACAATTTGAGGATTATTTATGCTTTGATTAGGTATTTGTTTCGTTGTATTCCATGGTCTGCTTCTATGAGTTGTCTTTTTCGTATATAGGTACCCATAGTGAATATGCATTTAAACAAAAAATGGGTATGCCTTTTGTTATTAGCATTACTTACTTATATTTTAACGATGTTTAGTAATATTTTCAAAAAGGGTGATTTTATTCTGATGAATAAGAAAGAATTCCAGAAAAATAAGTTTAAAAAAAAAATAAAAATTTAAGGGATTTCGGTATAGAATTTTCTTTGCCCTAGATTTTAGGTTAAGAACAAGATATCGACATGCGGTTTTCGCGAGCTTATTTAGACATCATTTAGCTACTTTTTCATAAAACAAAAATCATACCAATGCATATATTTTTTTGAGATAATTATAATATTATTCTCTGTGGCGACTTCAATGTAGATTCTTATAATCATAACGACGATAATGAGGCACTTGTGAATGCACTGTCTGAGTTTGGATTGCATCCACAGGTAGGCTGGCCAACAAGGATTGGGCGCACGTCTATCACAACGATAGACCAAGTTTTCACCAACTTCAATGATAAATGTTTGAATTGCGTTGTTGATAATGTAATATCTGACCATAGAACAGTACTTATAGAACTTATGGAATGTCTTCAAGCTGAGGATGCGGTAAAAGAAACAGTTAAAAGGGTTTTTGATACCCGGTCTGTTCAAAACTTCGTTTTAGACTTAAGTAATGAAAACTGGTCACCACTGTATAGTTACCGGGATATAAATAATGCATTTGAGTACTTCTTTCGAGTGTTTGACTATCACTTCCAAATACATTTTCCACTGCGTAAATGTCTGATTAAAAACAACAGCAAGAAATGGGTCGATGACAATGTAAAGTTGTCGAGTTCAAGCTTGCGTGAACAGCATATGTTGTCAATAATTATCCCTGAGTACAGACAACATTATCTAGATGCAAAAAAACAACATCAGAAGCTTGTCAGAAAAACAAAAAAGGCATATTATCAACAAAAAATATCCAATTCGCACAACGTGATGAAGGCTGCCTGGAATGTGGTTTCTGACATAAACGGAAGAAATAGAGTACCAAAGAACATTGTACTGCTTGATGATGGATTAACCATTAGAAATCCACAAGAAATTTCTAATTATTTGAACTACTATTTTAAACAGGCTCCTTTGGATATTATTCAAAAAATATCTAAGGATACAAATCCAGTTCCAAGTGATCATACCTGCGAGCAAAAATCTTTTATGTTTTTATACCCTTTCTTGGAGGAAGAATTCTATAAACTAATTAATGATAAGTTAAAAAACAAGCGTTCTTCAGGCACCGATGAAGTTCCGAATTTCTTAGTCAAGAAAATATTATTGTACATAACCAAACCTTTTGTGTTTCTAGTTAATTTATCATTCTGCACTGGTGTATTTCCAAACAACCTGAAAACAGGAAAAGTAACTCCAATTCTTAAGAAAGGAGATACTTCTTTGGTTAGCAATTACAGACCGGTGACTGTTCCATGCTGTTTTTCCAAGATTCTTGAATATTGTTTTTTAGATCGACTTCTGCTATTCTTGGAAAGCAATGACACTCTATCATCCAATCAACATGGTTTCCGTATTGGAAAATCAACCATGACCGCATGTCATTCATTTATCAACAGGTTAGTCTACTGTATTGAGGCAGGAGAATGCCCGGTTGGGATATTTTGTGACCTCAGTAGGGCGTTCGACTGTGTCAGTCATGACATACTATTAGCCAAACTAACAGACTATGGAATCGGTGGTTCAGCCTACCTGTGGATAAAATCGTACTTGCAGAATAGGTCACAATTCGTGGCAATAACACACAACAACGCTGGTCAACTGAAGCAGGTCAAATCGGATATGGTTAACATAAATATAGGCGTACCACAAGGATCTATATTGGGGCCAGTGCTGTTTTCCCTTTATATAAATAACCTGGAGCAATGTTTCCCTGAAGCACATTTCACGTTGTATGCAGACGATGCCCCCATCATTATATCAAATAAAGACGAGGCTGATTTAATAAATAAATGTAACACCTTAGTGTACAACATCAATAGCTGGTTTGAAGAAAATCAGTTACTCGCTACTTTTACTAAAGCTACTTTATAAGTAACTGTTTTTATGCAATTAGCGACTTTGTCAGCTTTTAAATATCGTTTTTTATCACTAATTTTAACTTGTTTGTTGTTGGATGTTATTTGTTTGTTTTTTTTATTTATTTATTTACTTTGTACATATTTACTTATTGTATCTTTTTGACGAAACCTATACATGTTCATGCATGTCTAATGGAAAATAAATTCATTATTATTATTATTATTATTATTATAGCTATTTCTGTCGGAATGTCGAAAAAAGCTCTCTAGCAGCTACATGTGAAACTAACAAAAATTCAAATATAATATTTGTAGCCCAAAAATAGCTCTTTTCAACTAGCCCAAATTTGTTAAGATCGGCTCAGCAGTTTCGAAGATTCGGAAACCTTTGGATACTCCCTACCCCTTTATTTTTAGAGATACAGCAAAGATTGTCAAACAAAAAAGTTCACATTATCCTCGACTTCAAAGACCAGAGGTTTTGTTACGTTAATATAGCGGAGTTCGCAGAAACATCACTTTTTTAGATTCAAGATTGCAGTTACGCCCCCTAGAGGACATTCCAGAAATTTGAGAATATTTTCCAGGTTTTTCACTTGGACGTTTTAATCAGATCTTTTTTTGCCGCAAGCCTCTACAATAGATAGGTTCCATATACAGTACCTCGCATTGATCGTTGGCCAGGGAAATCTATGATCTGTGAAATATGTCTAACAGGTGAGCAGAATTACCAGTGTTGGGGGCGTATACGTGTACCAACATCAAAAAATTGAGATAAACCCTCCCCATCCCCGTGCAACCCCCACCCAGGTTATTTTACCTCTAAAATTGAAATGTCAAAAAACGAAGTTTGAGCGATTATTAGCTTTTTCGCTTAATGCCTTTTTCTCTGCCGTGACTGGACCGATTTTCAAAAACTACAAAGCTTTTGCGTCCTTGGCATAGTAGTAACATCTTATAACAATTTAATCGAAATCCGAGTGTCACTTCCCAATTTATAGTCGTTATAGGATTAGCGGACAGACCGACAGACAGACAGATAAACTGACAGATAGACCAACGCAAATGAGTGACACGGTTTTTCGTGATGCACATGTCATAAAAATAAAACTTACGATAATTACAAATTTATAATTCGTCTTTATTGTAAAAAGAAGGATACATCTGATTTGTAATGAAAATTTTGTATATACCTACATCATTTTTAAAGATCTAGGTACTGTCACTGATTAATTATTTATTGGTATCTCTAATTTTTAATGATGTAATATTTTTCTTTTATCTTGATATCTGATTTATAAGGAGGTTAGGTGTAACCCAAAAACCAGTCGTACAAACCCCCCATAAACCGGATGTTAAAAAAAGCTTGCTAATTAAGGGAGTTCAAAGAATGTGGAAATATAGAGAGTGTTCCATTTTAAAATCGTTTATTTTGCTGTCTTGACCATCCTACATGGACTATCAAAAAACTGAAAAAGTAAGTGAATAGGGAGAAAATATGCGACCTTAGAATTTTTCGCTAGAAAAATTCAGTACTTTAGCTATAACAGTTGAGGAGGTACGAGTTGTTAACGCTAAGTGTTTTTTTTTTGATAGATTGTCCAATATCTCAACGTTTCGAAAATATAACCCTATGTATCCATATCTGCAATAAAATGTAAGGCTTTCTATATAAAAATGCATGTTTGGGTTACCACGAAGTTACTAATGACCCTGTAGAGAAAAAAAAAATCCGAGTAAAGAGAATGTTGTTGGCTATTGTTTTTTAGAATGTTTGTAATCAACTTTTTTAGATGTCATGCGTAATAACGGTGCCCACACTAGAAACTCACCCTGTTTTTATAAAAAAGTTCGGGGGGCTTGTTCGCCTCTCAAAATAGGAAGAAATTGCCTATGTATTAGAAATATTCGAGATAGTAGTAGATATCATGAAACGTGCTATTTATTAAGTGCCAATAGTTAATTTCGTTATTCAGTTATAATTTTTTGAATTTTAATTTCTGAAGCATATCTGAATAAAATGACATAATAATAGAAAACAAAGAGACATTCCTTTGGTTCACAAACCCCTAGTTTTCATTAAAAAGTTAAAACCTTATTTTTATCCTGTATTTGAGTACCAGTTTATGTAATGTTTGTGTACCAATGGTTATTATGTATCTTAAATGTGATTGTTTGAACCTCTCGATTATATACACCTCATGTTTGTTTATTTACATATTTTATCTATTTATATATTTAATCTTTTATCCAAAGTTTTTTCAATGTAGTAGAAATAATTTCCTTTTTTATACTTTGATTCGTCACATTATCTTTTCTGTGTCTCCCTAATATGCTTCAATCATATGTTGATGTTCATCTGTCATTTTTCTATACTACAAACACTGCAAGGGTACGTTTTCCTATGCTTAGTGAAGTGTGATTGTATGTATGTATCAGACAATGACCTATCCTCCTACATCATTTTTTAAATGATCAAAAGGATTAATAAAGTATATATCTATCTCACTCTAAGAGTGTTGAATATATGGATAAAATTATGGTTTATAGTTTTAATCTAAGATCCTAGGAAGTATGCACAATGTCCTAAATGACGTATTTATACTATTATATACACTTGCTTATGTAACTTAATATATTTTCAATGAAATGCACTATCCAAAATGAACGCATTTTCAACATGTATAAAGTAACTACGCAACAAGTAATCCCTTGCAACAATTCCTTTGCAGCTGGAAAACGCCCGGATTGCCCGATCGATACCTTCCCAGTTACCTGTTGAGTAGCTTCCTAGAACCTCCCGTGTAAGAAAATCCAGTGTAAGGGGTGGGAAGAGGGTACGTCGCGTGCACGATCGCCTTTCAAACACCCTTCAAAGGGTCACAAACGTTCTTGACGGCCATTTTCCCAGCACCACACATCAAAGTTCCACCGCCTTGTCGCCCGGACTTTGCTGCTCACGGCAAAGTCTTCCCGGAGTAGAGTAACGTGGATCCGGGGAGCTAAGGTGCGTGAGATGCGGTGTTGCCGGTGTTAGGGAAAGATATGTCTGGGGAGCTGAGCGTTATAGTCCGGTGGTAGTAGGTGTGTCGAATAAAGATTTGCTTTGGAATCGTGGAATGTTCATTATGACCCAGATATACCTATTAGCATCAGGGAGTGTAGCTCGTCAATTATCTGCAAGTGACTGAACATATAAGGCACACTAATGACAAGGCAATTATATTACTTTGCATCCCCATATCTGATGGAGTGACAGGCACATGATTCTCGCATGGGTGGCAAACTCGACAAGGCCTATTTATAACAACAAAAAATATAGGCAACTAATGCTAAAAATGGTGTTGCTCGAAGTATGCGCTAACATAAAGGTGCCGACTTTGCACTACTTGTGGTGTCTGGAATCCCTCCAATTGATTTGCAGGCTGAGGAGAGATGAGCATTATATAGAAAGGGCGACGAAGTTGAAGGTGACGAAAGAGAGGCATTTTTGTAATATAGCAGGAGAGATGGAATGAAACTGGTCATGGTACATGGACTAAAAGGCTGCTCCTAGATATTAAAACTTGGATTGATAAGGTAGCGATTACTGTACTGCACAGTTTATTTAAGTGTATTATTTTCGAAAGGCACACATATCCCCTTTAGGGCAATATATAATTTGTTTTAATCAAATCCATAGTACTCCCAAAATAGTAGTGTATTTGAGACAAGAAACTAAAGGAATTATCATCAAGACATTATTAGCACACAAATCCTCTCTAAGCACCTATGCACTGCCGTTTCGGCCCTTCCTTCTAGCTGTAGTATACGTATACAACCAACAGCTTAGACCTTCAATAATGCCATATCTGAAACATATGTTACATCAAATCAGAGCCAAACCACGATAGCCCAACCGTCATGACGTTTAGGCAAAATGTACAGCTACACAACATGTGTACATCAAGTGAAGAACAGCTAGTTCTAAGTTGATATTTTAAAGAAACCCCTTATAATGTCACAAAAAATTTGTAGGAAGACCTGCATAATGTCTTAAAACCGACACAATGCCACTTTTTAAGTGTACGTAATACCCCTGCTAGAGTCTCTCAAACGTCAAAAAAATGAAGTTTGAACAATTTTTTTTTAGTTTGTTGCTTCTTTCTCTGCCGCCACTAGATCGATTTTCAAAAACTACGAAGTTTTTTGGAATATTAGTAGTAGATTATGAAAATTCCTTCAAAGTCCGAGCGGTACTTTCCAAGGTATAAATGGGCCAACGATTAGCGATCAGACATACAGACCGACAGAAATGAATGACAAGGTTTTTCGTGTTATAGACGACACATACTCGTAACATCGAGCAGATATAATACATCATTTTCGAAACTTTTGCGATCACAATACTTCCTCTCTAGTGGCGTGGGAAGTAAAAAACATGAGTTACCATGGAGCTAGATTTACGATTTGGTGTGGTGGAGGCTTCAAGGCAGTTGCTTGCCAATTAAAGAGCAGGTAGCCATCACGCGGTTTACGGTTTCTGAAACACAAAATTCTACATAACTTTCGTCCTAGTGATTCCATCATTAACTTTCTTGTTAATCCCTCCATTGCTTTCATGAGTCTATATTGCCTAGGCTAACATAATATATATCAACTAAATAGATACATCATCAACATTCCACCAGGAAAATCTTGAATACCTGGCAACCACCTTCATGGATAAATGAAAGTTTCTCGTTTGAAAGCGCAGAGTCAGAAATAACGATCTCCAGTTATGAACGGGTTAATGACGATGAGCAGTCTAACTTTAGAGATAACGAGTGGATGCCTGTAGATTGGAGCCACGCATGCGATAGCCCATTATGGATCTTCACGTCCCAATAAACCACACGTTACAAAGTTGGAGAAATGGAATGAAAGCACGTTCAGTTCATTTTATTTATTAAGCCACTGTTTGATGTTCCAGAGAATGCGAATATCACCATTCAAACATCGTGAAGGTTTTGACGTAGAAAATACCCGTGAGTCCTGTAGTTAAATTGTCAACGGATTTGGAATGTTCTCATTCAATTTACCTAAAAGCTAGTTCTGATCCAGATCACAAATAGGTGGGCGTTTTTGAGTTATCCTAAGTAGGTAAATCCTTAGGAATTTATAGGGCAAAATTTTCGTTTCAGTTTGTTACAAGTAAATGAAGCATTGTACACTAACGTAATTTTGAGACGTTAAATGTGCAAATGATCGGTCAAAAGTCGTAGGCCCAAATTTTTATGTGGATAAAATTCACTTGTAACTTGGAACCACTCGCGAGTCCCAGTATCAAATTGGTGACAGCTTCGGAATCTACGCACTCATTTCTAGGCAATTAGTTTCCGTCTAGATCATATAGATACAAGGGGGTTTTTGCATGTCTACCTAACTGCGACATAAGGAGGGTAGTGTTTTTCACGCGATTGTCTGCCATCGGCTATATTAAAATTGTATAAAAACAAATTATAATAAAACAAAGCAACCTTGAAATTCCTATTTCACAGAGGCTACAGCTTAAACGCCTTGATGGATTTCTACATATGAAAGGTGTTCGTGGATTCATCTTAGCAGTGCGAGTGACACTGGCTTTATTAAAATCTCATAAAACAAAATGGCGGACTTCAATAAGAAAAAATGTACCAATTTTCATCGAAAATTTTCACTTTCATATTTCTATTTCACCGCTTGAACATCCTGATGGATTTTGAAATACGATGTGTCTTTAGATTCATCTTAACAGAGACCTATTGAAACTGGGTATGTATACGAAAATTTCGTAAAGTCAAAATGGCGGATATTAAACTTTCAAGATTGAAATTTCTATTTTACGAGCTACACCGACCAAACGACTGGATAGATATATTTTGACATTTGAGGTGTCCTTAGATCCGTTTTGATAACAAACAGTTGAAAATTAATCCTTTTCAGTTACTGCAGTCGGGCTTTTTGTGTTTTTATAAACATGTAGTTACCTACCTAGTACCTACCTATCTATCTGGATACTACCTAGGTAGGTACTTGTTTCCATCAAAAAATTAAAAAAAAATTAATTCATTGTGCAAAATTACTATTTTTCTAATCCGTTGTTGGATCTGGTGATCCGCGGTGAAGCGAGAGTAGTCGCTCATCGACTGTGGAGTCAGGGCAGCTGGGCTTTCTTGAATCCGGTCAAGGGGCATACTGCCATATTAGTCGAATTAGAAAGGGAGGACCCCGTCCTTCTAAGCAGGGGTGATCGTATTACCCCTAAATATCGCTTCAACCGCAAGTTTATTGTGGAGTACCCAACGAGGGAGGAGTGGGACGCCGGTAGCCGAGGACTCTCCGAAGTGAGCGGGCAGGTCTGGTACACGGACGGCTCGGTCACCGAAGAGGGCTCAGGTGCTGGGGTCTCTGGACCTAGAACTAGGCTATCTCTGCCTCTCGGTGAGTACACCACCATTTTCCAGGCGGAAATCTTTGCGATTCTGGCTTGTGTATCTCACATTCTGGAGGAGGGTGGGCCTAGGAGAAGAATAACAATCTTATCCGACAGCCAGGCTGCAATGAAAGCACTAAGTGCATGTAAGATTACTTCGAGTCTTGTATTGCAATGCAGGGAGGCTCTGGATTGCCTCGCAGCGAGGCATCCGGTATCGTTAATATGGGTACCGGGGCACGCTGGGATAAGGGGCAATGAGACGGCGGTCACTCTGGCGAAAACAGGATCAGCCAGCAAGCTCGTTGGTCCTGAGCCAGCTCTAGGAGTAACCGCGCATAAAGCTAGGAGGAAAATGGAGACGTGGGTTGCAAGACAACACTCTCAGAAATGGAGAAGTATCTCTAGACATCTCCGCCAGGCACGAGAGCTCATTGAAGGGCCCAGTGCTAAGGATGGACGCTTCTGCCTATCTCTGGGTAGAGCCAACCTAAGGTTGCTGGTGCGACTGTTGTCTGGCCATAACACGTTAAGGCGGCACCTGCACGTGATGGGGGTGGCTGAGGATCCCTTGTGCGAACGCTGCGGAGTAGAGGAAGAGACCTCGGCGCACGTTTTGTGTCGCTGTGAAGCTCTGAGCTACTATAGGCAGACTATACTGGGGTCCATTACTTTGGACCCTCAGAACGTAAAGGAGCTTGGACTCAAGGCGATTCTCAACTTCGCTAAAAGGGCGAGGCTTGTGATTTAAGTATTGTAGAGGTGCATAAGGGCCCGCTTAAGCGGCCTATGCACTGGCTCCTTATGGTGGCCGGGATGCCTCTAAAATTCAAGATTCATTCATTCATTCAATCCGTTGTTATAAGAGAGAATGAAACTTTGTACAATAATACCTGTGATATGATATATATATATATATATATATATATATATATATATTTTAGACAGAAATAGGTAGGTAGATGATAAATTTATTTCCAATAATTTTAAACTTTTACCCCTCATCCCTTAAGCGACGTTGCAATGACGTACAGGTAATTTTCTATGCAATGGTAGAACTCTCTGTAAACCACACAAAATAAAATTGAATCATAATAACTTTTTTATCCCTCAAAACTTCGTAAAGCCAAAATGGCGGATATTAAACTTTCAAGATTGAAATTTCTATTTTACGAGCTAACCCGACCAAACGACTGACATTTGAGGTGTCCTTAGATCCGTTTTGATAACAAACAGTTGAAAATTGATCCTTTTCAGTTACTGCAGTCGGGCTTTTTGTATTTTTATAAACATCATGTAGGTACCTACCTACCTACCTATCTGGATACTTACCTAGGTAGGTACTTGTTTCCCTCAAAAAATTAAAAAAAAAATTAATTCATAGGGCAAAATTACTATTTTTCTAATCCGTTGTTATAAGAGACAATGAAAATTTGTACAATAATACCTGTGATATGATATGTATATATTTTTTAGACAGAAATAGGTAGGTAGATGATAAATGTATTTCCAATAATTTTAGACTTTTACCCCTCATCCCTTAAGCGGCGTTGCAATGACGTACAGGTAATTTTCTATGCAATGGTAGAACTCTCTGTAAAACACACAAAATAAAATTGAATCATACTAACTTTTTTATCCCTCAAAACTGCATTAAGATTAATTTTATTGGATATTCCATGATGGGTGTTAAATATTTATTATCTAATTTTGTATGTAAACAGTAGTAGGGATGAGTCATACACATTTACATTTTCAATGTTCCCGCGTTAATCCAGATAAACTCATTTCTCTGCGGCGCGGCCAAATGTAGCACGTTTCCTTCGAATCTAGAATTCATAGGGTATCATATAGATCGTGTCCTAGAATGAGTACCTACCCAATTCGAATGTATTTGAAACTCAAAAACTATAAGAAGTTCCTATAACGAATGTCCTACACGGGGCTCCCCCACGGAAATACAGGCTTTTGAAGCACGCCACAGAAAATCGATTTTTCTTGAATAACCTCTATCATCCAACGAAATGTTGGAGCCTCAGATTAAAGTAAATGCAAAATAACCAATGTTTTTATGTCGCCAGGTGCGGATTAGCCCCAATGTAATACCTACATTTGCTATTTTTAAAAATCATGGAAAACCCTCAGCTGAAATAAAATTTCTTCTCGTTTAATTTCTGTAAAATGAGTTGTTTTTGACACACTGTTGGTTCAATACTGTTCTAATCGATATACATTGCAGCCAATCTGAAACACCATATCCTATGATCTTAACGGGTCGCTGATTACGTGATAACAAATCTATGTTCATTTAGTTTGTATAAATATCACATTTTGGCGGAACCAGTATAATCATTGAAGATATACAACCATATACTGAATTCTGGCGCCCAGAGAAGGAGTTAAAACACGCTAGCGCGAGCTATGAGACAGTGGCAGAATACAAAAATGAACTTAGAAAGCGCATTTGAAAAGAGAGTGTTTGGTTCGGCGCTAGGATCTCCTATCCCTTTTTGGTACCTCTCTAATATGCTTATTCTAATTGAATAACCTCAAACATTGATTAACGTTTTCTATCTGAAGATACCTAATTAAAATGGGCATTACACATGCTCAAAAAACGATTGAAGACCCTAGCGTCCTCTGAGAGACAGTAGCAGAAGCAAACACACAAACTCTTTCCAAAGTAGATTTTTGTATTCTGCTAATGCCTCATAGATAGAGCTAGCGTGTTTCAGATACCTTTGGGGCGCCGTACTGCCGTATATTGTTGGCTGTCTTCAGGTAGAATACGTTAATCGGTATAATGGATGCAGTATCATCTATCTGCTCAGACACGAGTCTGTGTATGGATCATTGACATCCACGTCAAATAAAAGTACATTCTTTCAAATAAATGCTCGGGCCTTCCAAAAATATCGTTTATGTTATATGGTTTTTAAACTTTTGTTTCCTGTAAGGATTTTCCAATAGAAGAACCGGCAGCACTGCTCACCGGGGACAACAGTTAAATTATGATCCAATAGATGGCAGCACCCGTAGCAAATATGGTAACGTTATGGTTATTCCTTGAGCTAATAAAAAATCTTGCCACTAATCATTAGAAATGGCATAAAAATGTTATCCGATATTAGTAACTTGTGATAATAAAGTTTTGTGATAAATCTAAAATATATCGTGTGTGAAATGTGCGGGAGAATATTATTTTCCCAGAGTGATCGCCGCAGAAACAAATGACTCATATTATTATAACGACAGCAGCTTACTAATAATGATGTGACAGCGTTGTAAAAAATCAGCTTTTTGTTTTATTTTTGAAGGTAATTTTAGATGATAATTTCCTTATCTTGTACTAAATTGTGCACGTATCATTACGAAGGCTTGATTCATCATTCATAAGTAGAACACCAGACGGTTTCTATGAATAAAACTTACAATAGCAATTAGCTTGAGTTGATATCGAATCCACTATCAAATCTCTATCTACTGTAAACCAGCATTATCTCCAAAGAGTAGATATGATGTTCAATAAAACAAATGTAGTATGCTCTGGGCAAGAAGCAGTGAACTAGAATATTCTTGAAAAATCACTACTACTACTGAAGCAACTAGTGATGTAGTTCTTTTGTGAAGCTCTGAGTGAGGTCTGTCAGCCTATCTTATGTTTGAATTTCACTAAATAATATAGTTTCTATGATCTATCTATTTGTGATATAATGGTGAAACAGCTGTCCTGCTCGCTTATTCAAACTTGATAGCTTTATGAAATGTTATTTGATTCTCAAAAGGCAATATACCAAACCCTATCCTAATGATGAATAGTAGATTCTATGAAACTGAGGAAAGGAAATTATGAAAATAGTTTATTTTATTAATTTATAATTGTCAGCTACAAATTGCACTTAGCTATTATTATCAATTACAGTTTGCAAGTAGATAGCTATAATTGATTCTTGTAATTGACAATTGTCTGTTATCTAACAATTAATGGTTGAGCAATTGTAGTATATCCTAGAACCTAGATAATCCTAACTCTTGGCACAATTTAAGGTTTTTTGAAAAATAATTAAATGAATTAGAAAGGATCAGGGTCCATAAGGTTTTTTTTTGAAAATAACTCATATTTAAGGATTTATGATATTATTGCATTCATATATTCTAGAATAAATGTATTTCAGACTTTTATCAAGATTTTTTTTATTATTTTACAACTTGAATGTTTTTTGAAAGTTCATGGTTTGCAAGTTTGGCTTTTTTGTCTAAAATTCACCCATTCATGAATATTAAGCTTATTATTCATTATTTTTTTATGTACACATGTGTGCAACAGCTTTTACTTCAAATCTGTAATAAAACACTGAGACACAAAACATGTATGAAAATATGTGTCATGGTACTGGGCTCACAATAAAAATAAAAGTTGGACCAAATACACCTTTGTAATGAGGATTCAGCTTTTGTTTTTATGTGACAGTACTGCAACATGTTTATTTCCATATACTGGGAGTTTCAAATTTGACCTTCACCAATTGGGATCTCGGCTATGACAAGAGATACAAAGTCAGGGACATAGTTGCATATTTAGGTATCTAACACAATGCCACTTAGAAGGTTTGTAAATGTTATACATTGGCATTGCCAAACCTTAGTTATTATAGAAAAACTGAAGTTCATAGTTAGGCCTTGAAATTATCAGATAGTCATTTGTTTCTTATATTAGATCAGACCTCAAATTGAACATAGTAAGTTTGGTAGACTAAGAAGAAGGGAAATAAAGCAGTGAGCAATGTAGACAGAAGAGGCAGGCTTTGCCTACAAAATAACGAGCAACATTTTAAACATCTGCTATGATTTACCTCTGCTTATTTGAGATTACTATGGTTATTATCATCAATAACATTTTCATTTTTTATTCTGGTTTTATTTGCTTGTAATTTTCATCTAACAACAAATTCATGACTAACTATGGAAATACATAACTGAATTTAGTTGGTGGTGGAAGTCGAAAAAAGATATCTCAAATAGAAAATTTGAAAATGCCATCTTATAGGGGAGAATAAGTAACAATGACAATATGCAATTTATTTTGAAATCCTACCTCAAATAGTCAGCAAATGATAAAAATGATTTTGGGATACATCTGATAATTTCAAAACATACCCGGGAAATACTCTGTTTTTTAAATAAAGGTTCAGCAATGTCATTGCATGATGTGTTTACATTATCCAATAGCATCTGTAATGAAAAATAAAGCTAATACTGGGGGTCAGGAAGCAAAACATCATATTGAAATTTTAATTATGCCTTGTTGTAGAGACATGTTTTTAATGAATTTGAAGTGAGGAGTGTTGTTACCACCTGCCTTATAAAAGTTGTTAGTTATTCAAAAATGAGTGAATTTTGAACAAAAAAAAACGAAATTGCAATCTTTGCGCTTTTAAAGAACAATGAACTAAAATAAAAACAAAAAAGCTGATGAAAATTTCATAAGCACAACTAATATAAAATTTGAGTAATTTTTAGAGCAAAATAACCCTTTCATAAGCTCACAGCATATGTGAAACCTGCAGTAGACCATTTTATTTCAGCATGTCGATAAAATTTTCGCTTGTACCTTGTGAGGATGATCGAAAGTGTTTCGAAGAGGGCATTTAGCGGTTCCAGTGGTACTTATAATGTTCACGCTTTAGAACTGGCTGCAGCAAGGGAACGTAAGCTGAAAGGGCTCAATGTAACAGTACGCTTTCTGGACGACACTGAACACGTTTTCCATGTAGAGAAACGTGCCAAAGGTGCCGTCCTTTTGGAACATGTCTACCAACATCTTGAGTTGGTGGAAAAGGATTACTTTGGACTGCAGTTCTCTGAGAATGGGTGTCCACATGGGAACAGAAGCTCCGAATGGATGGTAAGTCATTATCGGGGTGCTGGCGACTCACTTTTTTCGATCCATCTCACTTTTACGCACTTTTCATTAAAAACATTCCCTTTTCTCACTATTTTCGCTCTCGCATATTGCAGCTCATGAACGTTTTAAAGGAACTGTCCTCCTCTCAAGCCCCACGAAATTAAATGAGATTTGTTTTATAAAAGTTAGGTAACTAGGATTAGTTGAAATCTACATTGAATTTTAATTTAACCTTGCTAAAAGCACTCTCTAAATATATATATATATACTGGTTTCAAATCCGGAAACGATAATATGATACAAAGTCGTTTATGGGCAAAGTTACACATTTAGGTAACTAATAAAATGTTACTTAGATCGCTTGGCAATTTTTGGAGAGACAGGAAGACCGAATTTACCCTGAATCGTTTGCATTTCCTCCTGGCATAATTTGAACTGAGATTTCCATAATAAATTTCATTAACAGTGGCACTTTTTACAACCCTTGCACAAGTACCTGTTCATATGTTAGTTTGTTAGTATACATAATGAATTAACTGCCGCCATTTTGAATCTAATATGGTGAATGCCACATATTGGCAGTTTATCATTTCCATGGTATATGATATGGGTGTCAAATCAGAGAGCTCAATGAGAGAAACACAATAAGCAAACTGCCGTCATTCTCTCCAGTATGACGGAGGCCGCAACTTGGCCATTTATAATTTCCATAATCACCCCTATAATATGGAGATCAGATGGAAGGGCTTGAGAGAAGCACAACAAAAAGTCGTCATTTCAAATCAGATATGTCGCCGCCGCAAGATGTCGTTTATAATTTCTATAGTTACCCTTACGACTAAACGGGCTTGACGAGAGAAATACAGTAAGCAACGTGACCTCATTTTTTGCGGATTTTGCCCGTTATTTTCCTATTTTTTGTTATATACTTTTCTCCGCATGACCATTTTGTCTCTCTCTATATATATATACAGGGTGGCGCATCGAAAACGAAACGGACGCATTTACTGGCAGCTCAGTTTTTTTTTTTGGAAAAACGCTCAGACCCGTCGATTTTGTTTTCGAGGGGGACACAAGTTTGGGAAAAAATCAGGTTAACACGTGCAGCCCCCTGGGCGGGGGTGACACCAACCCTAAAATCTTAAATGAAAAGGGGGGTCGAGTGATACCTTATTTTAAAGGTCTTTCAATTCAGTTTATAGTGATGTAAAATATATGAGCTTCAGTTCAGTAGTTTTGAAGATTTACTGATTTAAAGCTTAAAGTAGACTTTAATAGGTACATCAGATTAGTTTGTACTACTTTCAGAAGAAATATGACTAAAAGAATTTACTTAATAAGTAAATGCTTTTCTTCACTACGCCCACGGTTTGTTTATCATTTTGTTGTTAAAAATAGCTATTGGAGCCTTTTTGTGGCAAAAAAGTTATTTCTTGAAGAAAGATAAGGAAATATCTCGTACTTATTTTAAATAGGAATTTAGTACATAGTTTGCGATTGATTTGACCAAACTTTGTTGCTAAAATAACTTGTAACGCTTTATTACATAAATTAACCATGGTATATTCCATAGCAGAAAGAGTTGAAATTATCGAAATATTTTTCGGAAATAATCAGTGCGCTAATAGAACAGCAGAAATATTTAATGAGCGACGTGAGAACAGTAACGTGCATCGAAAATATGTTCTAGAACTTGTAGCTAAATTTCGGGAAACTGGGTCAGTCGCCAATAAAAAACGCAACATTGAAAATCCCATAAGGAACGAAGCAATAGAAGTGAGGGTTTTAGGCCAAGTTAATGTGGATCCTACGTTAAGTACCCGCAAATTGGAGACTGTGTGTGGTGTTAGTCGACGTACTGTCCAACGGATTCTAAAGGCCCATAGTTTTCATCCGTATAAAATTCACCTGGTTCAAGAACTTAATGAAGACGATTTTGACCGGCGATTACAATTTTGTGAAGATATGAGTGAACGAATTATAAACCATAAACATTTTCTATTCAACACTTGCTTTTCCGACGAATGTTACTTTTTCTTAAATGGCGTAGTAAATCGTCATAACTGCCGATATTGGTCCGATTCTAATCCCAGACTTTATCATGAGGTTCATACACAGCAGCCACAAAAATTAAATGTTTGAGCTGGTATTTTAGGCGATCATTTAGTTGGTCCTTTTTTCTTACCATTAAATTTGACCGGTGAAATGTATTTGGAATTACTGGAAGACGCCATAGAACCTGCATTAACAGTCATAATTGAAAATCAGAATGATCGGCGGTACATTGCGAATAGGTTGATCTTCCAACAGGATGGTGCCCCACCACATTACGCATTACGTGTTCGACATTATTCAGATCAGTCGTTTCCAGATCGATGGATTGGTAGAAGAGGTGCCATTGAATGGCCTCCAACATCGTCGATTTATCACCTTTGGATTTCTTTATGTGGAGTCATTTAAAAACCAAAATCTATGCTACTCAGCCAACATCATTAGAAGACCTGCAAGAAAGAATTGTGAATGAGTGCCTTCAAATTACTCCTCAAATATTGCAAAATGTGCGGCAACGTTTTGAGCAAAATTGCATGGAGAGTCATGGTGGCCATTTTCAACATTTACTTGCCTCACGGGTCAGTTCATTCTTCATTTTTAAATTACTTTGCTGCCAAATGTATTGATCTCCACTAATGATGATGTATTAGTTTTATTTAAGCTTTAAATCAATAAATCTTCAAAACTACTGAACCTACATTAATTTTATATCATTATAAAGGGAATTGAAAGACCTTTAAAATAAGGTATCACTCGACCCCCCTTTCCATTTAAGATTTTGGGGGTGGTGTCACTTCCGCTTAGGGGGCTGCACGTGCTAACGTGATTTTTTGCCAAACTTATGTCCCCCTCGAAAACAAAATCGACGGGTCTGAGCGTTTTTCGAAAAAAAACTGAGCTGCCAGTAAATGCGTCTGTTTCGTTTTCGATGCGCCACCCTGTATATGTATGTATGTATGTGTGTATATGTATATACAGGGTGTTCCATAATTATTGCGACAAAATGATAGGGGTTGTAGAGGGCATAAAAATATGCAATTTTGCCTTATAAACCCCTGTTCGTAAATATGCCGTTTGAGCACTACCGCTAATTTTACCTTAAGAGCTCATAGGAGAAACAAAAATTTCACCAGCTGCAAAATGTTCGTCTAGCACATTTCATGGTCCCGCCGGTTTGTAAAAAAAAGCCTGCTGAGTTTACATTTTTGTTATCGTAAATTCTCCACACCGATTCATTTAATTTATCTGAGTGGTGCGTCAAACTAGATAGTAAATAACAGTACCTTATTGTTAAAATGCAGCGTTATTCGTATGCGGAACTTACGGATATGCATTTAATTTACGAAGGAGCTGGTGGTAGCTGAAGACGAGCCTCGCGAATCTACGCCCAATGGTTTCCAGAACGTCCTCATCCGCATCACGCCATTTTTGCAAGGCAACCAAACTTTGGTCGCTACGTTTTGTTCACTGACGAGTCCTGTTTTACAAAGGACGGTTATTTTAATAGCCGTAACAGTCACATTTGGGATGAAGAAAACCCTCATGTCATAGCCCTCCATAGAGACCAACATCAGTTTTCAATTAACATCTGGTGCGGCATCGTGGACGAGCATATCATCGGGCCATATTTGCTTCCACCACGTTTGGATGGGCATGCTTATGGTCGATTCTTACAGCATGTGCTACCGGAACTATTAGAAAATGTGCCGCTGAACATAAGAGCCAACATGTGGTTTCAACACGATGGCGCTCCAGCCCACTTTTCTTTACAAGTGCGGCAGTATTTGGATGACAAATTTCCAAATAGGTGGATAGGCCGAGGTGGCCCTGTGCCTTGGCCTGCGCGGTCACCCGACCTGACCCCACTGGATTATTTTCTCTGGGGCCATCTGAAAGCTTTAGTGTACGAAACTCCTGTTCCCAACCAACAAGAGCTACTGGGAAGAGTGATGGCCGCGTCCGCACATGTTCAGGACATACCGGGGGTATGCCACAGAGTTCGCCGATCATTGAACAATCGTGCACAGCTGTGTATTGAGCAAGGTGGAGGACACTTTGAGCAATTACTGTAGGTAAGCTGTTTCAAGAAACTGATCTTTTTTTTTGTTGCAGCCCAAACGGCATATTTCCGAACAGGGGTTTATAAGGCAAAATTGTTTATTTTGATGCCCTCTACAACCCCTATTATTTTGTCGCAATAATTATGGAACACCCTGTATATGAATGTGTAATATGTAAAGGGCTGAACTTGTATCATTTTTAAAAGCCTTCAGCCCTTTTTTGTAACATATCTCATTTAAATGTATTTTGCTACTATTTTCACCTAACTGTACAGGAACATTATTATTATTATTATTATTATTATTATTATTATTACTATTATTTTACATTCAGTATGGCGGCCGTCCCAAAACATCGATTTGTAATGTAATAGTTATTAATGTATTAAGGACCGTGTAGATATATTTTTCTGTAATATGCGCGAAATTAAAAGATGTTTTCTTACCATAGCTTAAGTCTTTCTTGATAATCAGAAATCTATTGTATATGATTGTATTACCAGCACTCTAGATACACATTTGTGAATTTCCTATCCGTTAAATGGCATAGACTGTTCGGATAGTGTAAACATGAAATAAATAAATAAATAATTTCCATAGTCGCCCCCATATTATGGATATCAAATGAAAGGTATTGATGAAAGAAACATTGCGCAACGTCCAAGATGGCGGACGTTTAAAATGACAATTGACAATGCAATATTATTACGATGTGGAGACGATCTGGTGACGAAGCCAGGAAGTGGCCATGGGAACCCATCGAATAGAGCCTTGCTTGATTCCTAATGATAAGTACTAGTCTTACAGTCTCATGACCAAGTCAACTATTATGTAAAAAATGGTCGTCTATAATAACTTTTTGACATTAGATAGTTCGCTAAAAAGTAG